GGAAATGGACGGGGCCTGATGTACCGCCCATCCGCAATGAGCCAATCGCGGCTCGCGCTTTATGCACCGTTTGATTTGCTTAGGAGCCGCCCATAAATGACGTCACGCGATTTTGGACGATTTTTGACCCCCCCCCCTCGTCACACGGCGTCACAAAAAGTCAGACCCCCCCCCTCAAATATGACGTCACATAGCTCTGCCCCCCCCCCAAATATAAAACGTGCTTCAAATCGCTTTAAACTATTGTCATTGTAGTGCGTATTTAATGTGGCGCTGCACTCTGAATTTGTAGGAGAAAACATTTATTAAGTCTATTGAATTAAGTAGAACGTGTTGTCTATATTTATTTAAAGTTGCGCATTTTGATGTGACGTCATATTTCAAAACACCCTCCCGCCTCGTCACACATCGTCACTAATGTCTGACCCCCCCCCCCCCAGATGCGTGACGTCATTTATGGACGGCCCCTTATGTAAGTGTCCGTTCTAGATCACGACGTTTCGATCGCAACACAAGCGGCCGTCATGAGGTGAGACCATCACAAACTGCGGAAGCAGTTTCCCTGCTGTGATTGCCTCACCTGACGACCTTCAGCTGTGTCCCTGCTGTGATTGCCTCACCTGACGACCTTCAGCTGTTCCCTGCTGTGATTGCCTCAACTGATGATCTTCAGCTGTTCCCTGCTGTGATTGCCTCACCTGACGACCTTCAGCTGTTCCCCTGCTGTGATTGCCTCATCTGACGACCTTCAGCTGTTCCCTGCTGTGATTGCCTCACCTGACGACCTTCAGCTGTTCCCTGCTGTGATTGCCTCACCTGACGACCTTCAGCTGTTCCCTGCTGTGATTGCCTCACCTGACGACCTTCAGCTGTGTCCCTGCTGTGATTGCCTCACCTGACGACCTTCAGCTGTTCCCTGCTGTGATTGCCTCACCTGATGACCTTCAACTGTTCCCTGCTGTGATTGCCTCACCTGACGACCTTCAGCTGTTCCCTGCTGTGATTGCCTCACCTGACGACCTTCAGCTGTTCCCTGCTGTGATTGCCTCACCTGATGATCTTCAGCTGTTCCCTGCTGTGATTGCCTCACCTGACGACCTTCAGCTGTCCCCTGCTGTGATTGCCTCACCTGACGACCTTCAGCTGTTCCCCTGCTGTGATTGCCTCACCTGGCGACCTTCAGCTGTTCCCTGCTGTGATTGCCTCACCTGACGACCTTCAGCTGTTTCCTGCTGTGATTGCCTCACCTGACGACCTTCAGCTGTTCCCTGCTGTGATTGCCTCACCTGACGACCTTCAGCTGTGTCCCTGCTGTGATTGCCTCACCTGACGACCTTCAGCTGTGTCCCTGCTGTGATTGCCTCACCTGACGACCTTCAGCTGTGTCCCTGCTGTGATTGCCTCACCTGACGACCTTCAGCTGTGTCCCTGCTGTGATTGCCTCACCTGACGACCTTCAGCTGTGTCCCTGCTGTGATTGCCTCACCTGACGACCTTCAGCTGTGTCCCTGCTGTGATTGCCTCACCTGACGACCTTCAGCTGTGTCCCTGCTGTGATTGCCTCACCTGACGACGGCTACATGTGTTGCGATCGAAACGTCGTGATCTGTTACTTTCTACCCACGTGACTTTACCGAAAGAACCAAAGAGTGTGGATTCCTGCAGTCACGAAAGCTTCAAATCGAGATTGCCCGTTCTAATTTGCCCCGAGATCCACAAACAAATACCCCTTCCACTTCCCATCTTTGGATCGCGATAAACGTGTAGTGTTGTAAAGGACGGACTTCTAAACTTCTTTATGGCACACACTGTTTATTATCCTGACACACAGTCTCCTGACCCTGCACAGCTCACACTCACTCTTCGCTCCTATTCTACGAAGGTACAGCCTTCGGACTTGCTGTCTATCTAATCTCCCCGCTAGCCTAGCGTCCTCCGGCTGGGACCTAGGGGAGGCACACTGACCCGCCGCTGGCCCGGCGGGTCCCCGACCTCTGGTCGCTCGAGACCTTCGCCCTGACAAGGGCGGGAAGGCTGGGAGCCAGGGCCCTATCCAGGACCTGTCTCCCCTGAACACTGGTTACACTGAGCCCCAGCCCTGACAAGGGCTGGAAGGCTTGGTCCAGGGTCCTAGCTGTCTTCAGCCGACTTGGGTCTTCGTGTAGCAGAACTTACCAAGAGCTCTCAGCGCTCCGGCTTTTATACCTGTTTGTGGCCGGGTTGACCAATCCCCGGCCACCTCGTGGACCCCTCCGATTGGTCCTTCCCAATCTGGCGTTTGGATCCTACCTTACTCCATTTGATCCTAACCGTTAGATTGAGTGGGAAAACCTTGTTTACTAACTGCTCTCTCACAGCTTGCGAACACCGAGTACTTATCACCACTACAACCGTATTGACCAAAGCTCTTACAATATCCTTCTAGATTGAAGAAATGTGTTGACACTCCCGTCTATTACAACCTTGCTCATGGCTGCTGCAGCTCCTTACTATTCAAACTCCTTCCTTTTGTTACTGCTAACCCTACTCCCTCCCTTTGTTGCTGCTAATCCTACATAATGCACGGGCATAATGTGACTTTGAGACCCCCCCCCCCACCTCCTACGCATTCCACAAGTAGTGACTAATCCCATATCTGCATTTCCCATAAATATGCTAAATTCCTCTGTTGATATGCAAATTCCTTTGTCAAGGCGCCCTTCCTCCTCTAATCCAGCTTAAATTTACGCTGCCAAGCTTGGTGGTGTTCATTCAGACGCTGTCTTTCCGACAGACCTGTTCTTCACCTGAGGACGGCTGCTTGCGTTGTGGCCGAAACGTCGTGAAAATTGTATTTTATTATGTTTTATTTGTATTATTTTATTATTTCCCTTCTACGTGACTTTACCAAAAGAACCAAGAAAATGAATCCCTGCAGTCACGAAAGCTGTAAATGGAAATTTACAAACATACCTATCATGCCATTCTGAGACCCAAATGACGCTTTCCTGCACAATGAGTGAGTGGACTGTGTGGCACAGACGAAAATGGCCGTCGTGTTAGTCGACATTCCGAATTGAAACCCAGTTCACGTCTGGCCCTGTGACCTCTTGCCTCCATCTGCCTTCAATTATACTCGATGAATATGAAGCTATATCATCACTGCCAACAGCAACTCCCACCCACAACTCCCATCACCCACACCACCCACCTCTCAACTCTGACCCATATCCAACAGAAGGGGTCGTTGCCTCTAAACTGTTTGCCAGCATTGGTTGAAGCAAGCCTGACTGCTAACCATCCACTGAATGTCGAAGTTGGTCCGGATTTTTCTTGTGTTGGAACACATTCTGTTATTATGCACGAGGTCGTGTGGCCGATGGATATGTAAAAAATAACATTTATTTACGTGAAGTTTCAGTCATAAGGGGCCGTCCATAAATGACGTCAAGCAATTTTGGACGATTTTTGTACCCCCCCCCTCGTCAAATATGACGTCACAAAGCTCTGCCCCCCCCCCCCAATAAAACATGCTTCAAATCGCTTTAAACTATTGTCATTGTAGTGCGTATTTAATGTGGCGCTGCACTCTGATGTTGAAGGAGAAAACATTTATTAAGAAGTCTATTGAATTAAGTAGAACGTGTTGTCTATATTTATTTAAAGTTGCGCATTTTGATGTGACGTCACATTTCTCAACCCCCCCCCCCTCCTCGTCACACATCGTCCCAAATGTCTGACTCCCCCCCCCCAGGTGCGTGACGTCATTTATGGATGGCCCCTGAGAAGGTGTATGACCTGTAACTTAGAATGCGGATCAGAACTCTGGAAGCTAACCAGCTCTTCCCTTGCAGTGATCCACTCTGGAATTGCCTTTCAAGGTCATGATAATAAGCTTGCTCAATTCCAGAGACGCGTTCATTCGTGTCTATTACAGCCTTAATTGTGCTGTTTGTTGCTGGCTGCTGAGTGCATTGAGCTTTTCGGCCTGTGCTCCAGTAAGTGTGTCAACAAAGTGGGTGGAGGCAATGGTTCGTGTTAGCTGCTGCTGCATCTACCGGTCATCTCAGTCAGCCAACCCATGGCACCTGCTGGGTCTGACCCGAAACCTCCTGCACCTAGCCTGGCACAGTAGGGGGGTACAGCTGGTGGTGCATCTACCGGTCATCTCAGTCAGCCAACCCATGGCACCTGCTGGGTCTGATCCGAGACCTCCTGCACCTAGCCTGGCACAGTAGGGGGGTACAGCTGGTGGTGCATCTACCGGTCATCTCAGTCAGCCAACCCATGGCACCTGCTGGGTCTGACCCGAGACCTCCTGCACCTAGCCTGGCACAGTAGGGGGGTACAACTGGTGGTGCATCTACCGGTCATCTCAGTCAGCCAACCCATGGCACCTGCTGGGTCTGACCCGAGACCTCCTGCACCTAGCCTGGCACAGTAGCGGGGTACAGCTGGTGGTGCATCTACCGGTCATCTCAGTCAGCCAACCCATGGCACCTGCTGGGTCTGATCCGAGACCTCCTGCACCTAGCCTGGGACAGTAGGGGGGTACAGCTGGTGGTGCATCTACCGGTCATCTCAGTCAGCCAACCCATGGCACCTGCTGGGTCTGACCCGAGACCTCCTCCTGTCAGCAGCGACCCTTCGACACTTCACGTGGCAGCCTCAAAGTGCACCTGGCCTGGCACAGGCGCCGTGGCGAATGGCCGGGTGATTGGTATTGGTTTGTTGTGGGCGTTTGGTGGTGGTGGTGGTGTTGGTGTTTGGTGAGAATTGAGTGTTGACTGTGAGGCGTGTTATTGTGGTGAGGATGATGATGGCTGGTGGTGGTGGGTGTCTGTGGTATGTGCCCTTCGTGTTTTTGACTTTTTGAGTGACGCACTGGAATACATTGATGCCTGTGGGTGGTGTCCATAGAGCTGGCATTTTCACCATGTGTTGGCCAATAAGGGGGGTTGTGGTATCTATGTGGGAGAGAGGGAGGGAGGGCACAACACACGAATATAAATATCAGAATCATGCCGCAGACCTTGCAGTGTCATCACTCTGCTCGTCTTCTTCCCTCCGATCTCCTCGGTCATCTCCGTTGCTCGTGAGACGATGGCTGAGCAATTCTTCGGGACGTGGGATCTCGACGAAAGCCGAAACTTCGACGAATACATGAAGGCGATCGGTAAGAGCTGTCGTCGTTGGGTTCTGGGCGTGATTATTTTTTTATAAATAAAAAACCGTCTCTGAAGCGTTCGGTTATCCATGTCGGTCCGTGGCCCGAGCAGTTGCAAGGCACGCGCCTATCAGTGCCGGATTATCCTCGTAGCAAAAGTAGCTACATGTGTAGTAGCTACATATGTAGAAGTAGCACAAGTAGCTACTCACGTGTAGTAGCTACACATGTGGTAGCTACGGGCCCCGCACTTTCAAGGGCCCCGCGCTAAATGCTTTCAAGCTATCAATTCCGGTTCAGTGATTCTGCACTTGCTCTATTACTGTAGTACTAGACTGCCTTCAACTTTTATGAACGACTGGGTGTTTAAGGTTAGCGATTTGTCGTATTATCTGGCTTGTATAGCAAATGAAATAAGTATAACCGGTAAAAACAAAGTTTTTCACTATAAATCCTTTATATGCGTGGCGGCTAGAGTCCTCTCGTCCTCTGGCTTGAGATGGCTGCCACCTATGGGTCAGATGATTGCATTGCACCATTAAGCAATTGGTAATTAAATATATTTTTGTCCTAAAAAGTGTAAAATTTTGAAACAAAAATTTCACGAACATTAATTGTCACGCACAACGAGTCTGTGTGGAAAATGTCAGCTCGATTGGATCACGGGAAGTGGGTTAAAAAACGACCGAAAGATTTGCACGGTCCTAAGCAAGCAAGCGAACTTAATATAAAGGATTTAATAAGTATAACCCGTAAAAACAAAGTTTTTCACTATAAATCCTTTATATGCGTGGCAGAGAACTTAATATAAAGGATTTAAAAATATATTCGCCTGTGGAGGACGCGGGGATCGATCCCGCGACCTTTGGCATGGGAAGCGAGGGCGCTACCAACTGCGCTACTCCGCCACGGCCTGTGGAGGGGTTACGCTCTTGGCTCTTACACTCTGACGTTCAGCCAAAGCCATGAATTAGTTATATTTGAATATATGTAAAATAAAATTGTTTTGCCTAAAAAGTGTACAATTTTGGGAATTTTTTTTCACGAACAATAATTGTCTGGCACAACGAGTCTGTGTGGAAAATGTCACCTCGATTGGATCACGAGAAGTGGGTTAAAAAACGACCGAAAGATTTGCACGGTCCTAAGCAAGCAAGCACGCGAACTTAATATAAAGGATTTAAAAATACAATTACTTTACTATGCATGTAAAAAATGTGTGTTTTAATATTTATGTGTTTTTTATTTATTTAGGGCCCCTTTATAACATATGCTACAGGCCCCGCCTATCACAGGTGTAATATGATGTTATTATTGTTCTAGCATGTGGCAAGTGGGTGTCAAATACGCGCCCCGGTTCACGTTTGTGAGCCACGCGAGAGCTTGGGGAGCAGTGGCAACTGATTCTGAGAGTGGGCCGAGAATGCAGAGGCATGGGTCGCGCTCCATCGAGCAGAGTGGTAACTGCCCCTCTGTTCGGGACGTCCGGTTCATGTGACGATCTCCCGCTTCGATGATTGTGGAACGTGGGTGACTGCTGGTCGGCTTTGGCTTCTGGATAACGGCCCCAGGAATTGAATTGTTGCAGAGCGCGCATGGATATTTGGACAAGATAAACTCGAGACCTGACCTGGTTTTTCCAGGTTTCAGCAGGGCAACGATTTTTTAAAAATCCTTTATATTAAGTTCACTTGCTTGCTTGCTTGCGCGCTTACGACCGTGCAAATCTTTCGGTCGTTTTTTAACCCACTTCCCGTGATCCAATCGAGCTGACATTTTGCACACAGACTCGTTGTGCATGACAATTAATGTTCGTCCACTTTTTAGGACATTTTTTTTCATATTTAATTTAAAATACCAATGTGATAAAAATGAAACTGTTACTCAAGAAAAACAGAAATGAATAATAAAATAAAACCGATGCCACGCATATAAAGGATTTATAGTGAAAAAAATAGTTTTTACGGGTTAATTTTTTAGTTCCATCGGGCAACTGTATAGGATGCAATCAGTCAAGAGTTTGAAGCCCGGCTGGACTGTGGACGCGATGCGTGTGAACAGCGTGGACTCCGTCAATATTACATAACGTTAATACTGGTAGGAAACACCTGGTTACACCAGCCCACAGGGGATTATTGTGTCCGTCCGTCGTGCATCCAAAAATGGGAGGTGTGGGGCTGGGTGGATAGGGGAGGGTGGGGAGGGGCTGGGTGGCGAGGGTGGGGAGGGGCTGGGTGGGAGGGGTGGGTCACCCCGTGGTGCCCTGATATAACTCAACGTTTAACCTACTCACGCCGGCTTGTGCCCGCCCTCACAGTCGGCCATATTTGCGGAATACACCACGCCGCCGTTGACCCTGGCCATTGACCGAGCAACCCAACGTTCCTACCAGCTCCCTCCGCAGGAATGTGTTAGCCACGAGACATGCCCCGTTGCGTTGCTCACCCTCACCTCGCCTGTTCTGATTACTTCCCATCAACCCAGTATCCTGGAACCAGGCAACCGTGAGAGCGGTGTTTCTGTTTCACTTCGGCTCATCGAGTCTTCGGCATGGGGTTCCGAGAGCACAACAGCGGTGATGTTTAATTGCGGTGAACACTTTTTGCGGGCACGTCACACCACGCACTTGAGAGTGCATCCACGTGATGTCGGTACTTCTCGTGTGCTGGGTTCCACTCTTCTTTCACCCCTTTACGGGACCTTTTTTATCGACGGGATTTACACACCTACTTGAAATCGAATATGACAAGAGAGGCCGAAGTGATGGTCTTAGTCGTGCGGCTGAGACGACACTCAACAGGTGACCAGTGTGAAGGCTGCTATACCGTCTGCCACTCGCTGCAATCGATGATGCGACTCAACACACATCCCTGGTATGGAGCAAGGCTATGATAGACGCTTGGGAAGAGCGAAAACAAGAGGAACATCCCAAGGTGAATCAGTGTGGTGGTTGAGTGGATGGGCGGGTGAGCGTGAATGAATGGGTGAGTTAGTGGTTAGGTGACTTAGGTGTGTCTGTGTGTGTCTGTGTGTGTTGCTGTGATCGTGCAGAATGGTGGTTGAACAAGATAGAGGTGAATGCTGGATCACCAAGCAGCCTGAGTATCCATGGAATAAAGTGTGCTCATTTCAATGATCTAGGAGGAGTAATAATGAAGTGACCGATTGGGATGTCAAAATACAAGATTCTTTTTTTTATTTGGAGGAACAGATATTTATGTTTGTATGCTACGTCCAACTTCTTTAGGATCATACGTACCCAACCGGGCTAACCGGGAAGGGCAGCAAACGATGGAGACGAATTGTTCGATTGTTTATCCTACTTGTATCCTCCCCGACGACGCTCACGATTATATTTGGACTACATATCGCAGCGCATGTGCTGGTACGTGGTGAAACATGTGTGCAATGATGAGCACACGACACTCTGGAGCCGACTCCCCGCCACGGACTGTCACCCACAAATCTGTAATTTGGCCACAATGTGACCCTGTCGACTGCACAATGGCCTGTACTCATGCGAATGTCGTCAGGGAGGATCGTGTAATGCGTACCTGGTGGTGAAGTAGATGATGACATCGTTGCGGCTACTACACCCATCATTGATAACTATTATCCCGGGGCAAGCCGCTGCATTAGAATGGCGTCAGTTTTCATTTCAGTTTAATTTATTAGGTATAGCCTTGTGAGCCATTCGGCTCTTGAATCGGGTGCAACCACAACAAACAAAAACATGAACAAGAAAACATCTTAAATTGACTATGTGACTAAGCGCAAATAGAAAATCCAAGAAACAGAAAAATATTGCAAAAGAACCACCGTACACCAACGCTGTGTGCAAAAATCCCGGTGGGATGCAAGTCAAACAACAACAACCACAAGCCAACTGAGATTAAGGCCATCAGTCTAACTCCGTACTACAACAAACAAACGTGGCCATGGAACGCGCGCTACCCCGAGACGCTGCTTCACCACAGCCCTGCAACTGCTCGCTCGTGCAACCTGCTGGCAGAAGGGCCTCGTACACTCGCGCGAACCCCTTTGGGGGTGTTTGGTCTTCTTTTCCACGTGGAACAGACGGTGTAAAAAAAAGGGGCCGTCCATAAATGACGTCACGCACCTCGGGTGAGGGGTCAGACATTTGTGACGAGGGGGGGGGGTTGAAAAATGTGACGTCACATCAAAATGCGCAACTTTAAATAAATATAGACAACACGTTATACTTAATTAAATATACTTTTTAATAAATGTTTTCTCCTGCAACATCAGAGTGCAGCGGCACATTAAATACGCACTACAATGACAATAGTTTAAAGCGATTTGGAGCATGTTTTATTTTTAAAATGGAAATATGGTTTGGGGGGGGGGGGGGCAAAGCTTTGTGACGTCATATTTGAGGGGGGGGTCAAAAATCGTCCAAAATCGCCTGACGTCATTTATGGACGGCCCCAAAGGTGTGTGTGTGGGCACACCCACACTTTACTCCACCACACGTGATCTGGTGAATCCATTTGTAGTGATGGGTGGACAGAGGCGGTGCAGGGGGGCGGGAGGGGATTTGAGAAACTTGCTCCGTTGTTTTAATTGCCGCGCCGAGAGATACAAAGTTTAGTTTTCAATTTCGAGATTTTGAATCTCTAAATTGAAAACTCATTTCTTTCGAGCTGCTTGTTGTGTCTAGTTTGGTGTTCTTCCCCACACCTCTGATTAGCGTGGTTGGCTACATACGGTGCAAAATAAGTGTAACATACATACAATCAAACCCCGTGAACTCTGTGAATTCCGAGTTCCGTGTGCTAAACACCACGGCAGCCTCCACCTTACTCGTGCGTGGCTTCTCTCGCGATGTGTTCGCTTGACCCCACACCCGTTTGCGTGCAGGTGTGGGGTTTGCTACCCGCCACGTGGCCGGGATGAGTAAACCCACGACCATCATCAGCGGCAGCGGTGACCGCGTCTGCTTGAAGACTCTGAGCACCTTCAAGAACACGGAGGTGGAGATCCGCCTTGGGGAGCCGTTCGAGGAGACCACGGCTGATGACAGGAGGGTGCAGGTGGGTTCTGTGTGCTGCACATGGGCCCATGACCCGTTGACAGTGCTGATGATATTGTAGTGTCAGAACATCGTCGACGACTGCCGCCATTCGCCACCGAAATGGCGGAGACGTCACCACGGCGCCTGTGCCAGGCTAGGTGCACTTTGAGGCCACGTGAAGTGTCGAACGCCCGCTGACAGGTCACGGGACAGACCCAGGTGCAATGGGTAGACTAACTGAGATGGCGGGCAGCTGTGCCAACTTGCTGTATTTTAACCGCCCGGCACTCCACTCGTTGTGAGCGTCGCTCCAGTGCCCTCCGTTGTCGTTGGAGCGCGACTGCCTCCAACTTCCCAGTAGCAGCGTCCTTCACGAGCCTTCCTCATGCACTCTCACACCCTCCGCACATTGCTCTGACTGCAACGCTGACCAGAGGTCGCAAACGGGTTTTGATTCCTTACCCGTACCCGGCCGCACCAGGGTCACAAATGGGTACACGTACCCGGCCGGTACCCGTTCCCTACACATACCCTACCCGAAATGAGTGACAAACGGTTACTCACCAGTGACTCACGGCCTACTTGTACCCGTACCCGGGTATCGGGTAGGGTACGGGTCCATAATCAACGTTTTTGGGTTTAGATCGCGTTATTTATAAATGTGTCGTAACCCTCCACCACCCGACACGGCCAATCAGTAAAAAAGTGTCACGTTGACAAAAGACAATTAGTTCACTGAATCTTAATTATGGAGCTTTCGTGACTGCAGGAATTATTCTTTGGTTCTTTCGGTTAAGTCACGTCTAAAGATAAAATAATAAATTAAAATAAAAGCATATTACGACGTTTCGATTGCAACACAAGCAATCATCATCAGGCAAAAAAAAAGAAATAGCAACAAAAATCTAACTAGAAAACTATAGACAGACATACAAGCAGACAGACATCACACGGACACACAGAGAGAGGACACATATCGGCACAAAGAGAGGGGTCGTTTCTGTGACGGTCCCCCTCTCTATATTTAAGGGACCGTCACAGAAACGACCCCTCTCTTTGTGCCGATATGTGTCCTCTCTCTGTGTGTCCGTGTGATGTCTGTCTGCTTGTATGTCTGTCTATAGTTTTCTAGTTAGATTTTTGTTGCTATTTCTTTTTTTTGCCTGATGATGATTGCTTGTGTTGCAATCGAAACGTCGTAATATGCTTTTATTTTAATTTATTATTTTATCTTTAGACGTGACTTAACCGAAAGAACCAAAGAATTAGTTCACTGCTTTAGCCCACCGGTGTGTTGAAGCGTGAAACCACAACAATTTACAATTTGAGTACGACGTTTCGCTGGTAATTGCATCCAGCATCATCGGGTACCCGATTGCGACCTCTGACGCTGACCTCAGTCCCACGGTTCGCTTGGACAGCGAAGGCGGCTCGACTGTGGGCAATTTCCAATCATTGGCCATCTCAAATATGAGCCAGCCAACGATGTTCGGCAAGGCACCAAAGGGAGCAGGATTGGGGAACGTTTGAAGAAGGATGAAAATTATGGCCACTGGAAAAGGAGAGGGCTTTTATGAATGTGAGGAGTTGCTTTGAATAAATGAACAATTTCTTCTCTTCACTCATTGCGTCGTCCCCAAGGATGGAAATGGAATGACATCACTAGGGGGGCGATCGCCTCAGTGGCGAGCACAGCGTGGGGAATTCTTTTTTTATTGAGAAGCCACCGGAAGCTATGCACTTTTAAGTAATCGAGATTGAAATTAATGTCTTTAAGAACTGCTTTTTGTGTTCGGTTTGTTGTCCTTCCACCGCAACTCCGATTAGCACGGTTAGCGACGTACGGCGCGAAAGAAGTTCAACGCGTAACACGCATTAGGCTTGAAATCCTGAAATCACCACTTGAATGCCATCTATCCGGTGCTGCAGTCCAAATGGGGCACGTCTGTCAAATTCACCCTGCTCCTCCGGCCTCTGTTCACACAGCAGCGGAGATGGGAGCACCCACCGTAATCATTTATTGAAACAATTTCAACCCGGAAAATGAATCCCTTGGGATGGATATGTCTCGCTCGCAACAGTGTCCAGGGTGTCAGTTCACACACACACAGCGAACATGTAATGACGCCTAATGGCACGTATACAACAGACACGTATACAACAGTTAAAACACAAAGCGAACGTATAAATGACACGTACACAACACACATGCTCTTTTGTAATGTTGATGACCCAAGTGACTCTCACAAATGAGAATATCCTGGTCCCTTTGAGTGCTGGTGGCACCGTGGTGGCACCGCGAGCTCCAAACCTGGCGACTCGCGTTTGATTATAAATTCTCGCTCACGGTTAAAGTCAGTGGCCAATTTTTATTTTTATTTATTTTTATCAGGTAAGGCCCACTGAGGTACACAGCTCTCTTTCAGAAGCAACCTGACAGCAAATGATAGCTCAACGAAGTGGCTTATCACGTGAAAATGTATAGCAGCCAAATACTATCCTCGAAATGCACGTTGATTTTAAATTCTAGATTTGAAGTTTTCGTGACTGCAAGGATCCATACTTTTTGGGGTTTTTCGGTAAAGTCACGTAGGGAAAAACTGGAGGACCCGGAGAAAAATCCATACGACCACAGGAAGAATATATGAAAACTCGAAATATTACAGGCGTCAGGGTCGGGATCGAACCCACGACCTCCTGCATAGCATCGGTGTGCCGGGGGTAAGCGCGTGAAGAGAAAGAAGCCAGACGGAGGGGTTCGCCCAACTCACGGTGTGGCTGGGGAACGCAAAAACTTTGATTCCTCGAGGAGCCTTCAGACGCGGACTGAGTGGTCGCGCCTGACCGCATCACGCACCGCTCCCGCGCCAGGCACCCGAGGCCCGTGGGGGACATTTGTGTGTGTGCTGCGTGCCTCCCCCAGAGTGTGGTCACCGTGGAGGAGGGGAAACTCGTGCAGGTGCAGAAGTGGGATGGCAAGGAGACGCGCCTTGTGAGAGAGCTCTCAGGGCCTGACAAGCTTATCCTGGTGTCATATTCACACCCACAAACCCACACACAGACACACGCACAGACACCCACAAACCCACAAACCCACAGACACACACCCACATACCCACCCACAAACCCACCCACAGACACACACCCACCCACACACAGACACACGTACAAACCCACCCACAAACCCACAAACCCACCCACAAACCCACAGACATACCCACACACATCCACCCAAAAACCTAGACACACACACACCCACATACCCACCCACAAACCCACACACATACCCACACAAACCTACCCACACCCATCTCCCCACAAATTTACCTTCCTGCCTACTCATGCACATTCCTGAGATACATACTTACATTTATGAATGTGTGATGGAGTTAAACTCAGGTTATAGTCGAAAATAATGCATACTTATTAACATCCCAATAAAGGTTTAGACTTAAAACTTTCGTTACTGCAGGAATTCATATTCTTGGTTCTTTCGGTAAAGTCACGTAGATAGAAAACAAAAATCAAAAGCAAGAAGACCGCTTGTGTTGCGATCGACACGTCGTGGGTTTTTTGCTTTTAATTTAGATTTTTGTTTTCTATGTGACTTTACCGAAAGAACCAAGAATATCCCAATTATAGGACCCCAGAACTTGGGCGGTTGTTGGCACCCGTTTTGGTTGCCTTCCCGCTTGTCTGGCGTCCCGGAACCCTGAGCAAAATAAAATAAAACCTGCGCGCATGACAAAATCTGCGGTCTTTCGGAATGCACTTTTCATAAATAACACTACGTAACATACGTTTTTTTAAATATTGAGATGTTGTATTTCTCGTTACAGACATGCACCATGGGCAACGTGGTGGCTACGCGCACCTACCACAGGGCAGCGTAGCTGCTGCAGCAGCCCATCACCAACAAGACGCCTGCCCGACCTATTCGAATAGCTGTAGCCTGCTTCATGCAAACATTCCAATATAGGAGCAGAGCTTTGGGCGACCGATGTAAACGGAGTGTTACCTCCCCCCCCCTCCCTCGCTCTCTCTCACGCGAGAGTTTGCTCCGGGTGCTCTTGATTGGGACACCGTTAACATGTTACATAACAAAATAATCACGTGTCATTCCGGAAAATATTAAATAAGGGTACAATATGCTTCCTACACGTCCCTCCAGATAAAACAAAATTGTAACCAAAGAGGGTTCTTGCCTGTAAGCTTTTTATGGATATGAGGAGGCGAATTGCGAGTTTAGTAATTGTGACTGGTTAGTAAAGCACTTGAACCCAGTCGAGCGCAAACTTGAGGAATCCTGCTGAGTAGCATGAACAGAAATCAAGATCGAGACAACTCCCTGAAGCCATCAAAGCCGCAGCACCTCGCGATCCTCCGCCAGATCCCAGAAGGACTTTACACCAACAAGGCAACTTAAGTCGAGTGGATACACACGAGATGGCTTTCATGCGATACCAATAGCTGCACTAAACTAACAGACACACTTGCCAGGTTGCTGCAACAACAACAACCGCCATTCGCCACTAAGTGGCGGTGACGTCACCACGACGCTTGTGCCAGGCCACACACACACACGTCTGGCAATGCGTATTGCTGGGTGAACGGAAGGAGCGGTTTTCGAGAGATTTAAGAAACTTTCCCCGTTGTTTCAACTGTCAGGCCAGGAGATGGAGTCGAACCACCGACCTCTGCGTGGCAGGTCCCAGTGTGCCGCTAACCGTTACCTACGGCGGCTACCTTCGTTGTACAGTTAAAAAGGTAAAAATGTCAAAAGCTCGTTGCTGGACATGTCTAACGCATGTGGCAAATCGGTAACCCCTTTTTTATTCGTGCAGGTTCCATGCAGAAATGCTAAAACAACAAACACATTTTTTACAACCCTAAACAATTGCCGTTCCTTTAAAAAAAAAAGGTTTTGTGATTTAATTCAAACCGATCGGAGTGATGTTTGCAAATACAAATGCGAAAATAAGCGATTTCAACAGCGTCTGCAAATGCAACTTTATTCCCCGGCGCTGCAGCCCAAAAGCAAATGCAGAACTCATCGAATGAAAATGTTGCACGCGACATTGCAGGAAAATTGCACTGAATGCATTTTTAAAATTCCAGCCACCCCAACAAATGTTACAGAACAAAATGGCCATAATTTAACACAAAATATACCCAACTTATTTCTGCTCTGCACACAATCATTACCCATATTCATTGTGGTATGAAATATAACATCTTGCTTACAATAAATTATGTTGGTGTATAAAGACCTGCCAGTCTATAATCATCGTGTCTGCTTATTTATTGTTACTTATGATCTCCACAACGGCGCTAATGGTCATTTGCGGCATTGTGTATTTATACAATGTTGTGCCGAACGAGGACCCATATCAGAGGGTCGTTTGCCGAAACACATCTGGCAGTTCACCAGCATTGGAGCAGGCAAAGCCTGACCTGCTGATGTGGAAGCGGAGTGTCAACACCCGCCCAGAGTTTGCTTTTTGCGTGGAGCCAATGCTACCGAAATAATGCACTGCCAAAAAGGCCACGTGGCTAATGGAATGTGTACATTTTATACTTGTTTTATGTGGAGATGCGGGTTTATACGTGGAGGAGGAGGTGTACTGACTGCTTATTGACATTCACCAAATGCACTGTTCTGGTCGTAAGTGCAACCTTTCCACAGGAAAAAATAAATTCAAATAAAAAAGGGACGTTTAGAAAAGGCAGGCCTGCTTGTTGGACTTAGCTGCTCAGATTGTTGACCAGGCAAAGCCCTCGGTGTGCGCTAATTCAGGAAGCTTTGCCAAGCTCCATCTTCTGTTGGATGGCACGTGTTGAGTGGTAGATGAAGCTGTCGATCAACCCAGCCACTGGATAGGAAGATGGGAGGGGAAGAGACACGGAGGTCAGAAACGAGATGTTCATGTGCGAGCCACTGGAGTGTAAGAAATGCTGGGCACGCATAGCACATCATGGCGGAGGTGTCTTAGGAAACGTAAACTGAAAATTACAGACAGACACCTTAACTCTGGATTTGAAATTTTCGTGACTGCAAGGATTCATACTCTTTGTTTTTTTCAGTAAAGTCACGTTGGTAAAAAATTTAAATAAGTTAAATCACGACGTTTCGAAGACGGAGGCTTGTATTGCCTCCGAAATGTCGTGATTGAATTTATTTTAATTTTTTACCGACGTGACTTTACCGAAAAAACCAAAGAGTAAGACACCTTAACGTAGAAGTGCCGTGGTGCCACGGTTATTGCGCTCGACTCGTGATGCAGACGTTGATGGTAAAATGCCGTCTCCCGGCACAGCAGTTGAAACAATGGGGTAAAGTGTGGGGTAGGCCTTCGAGTAGTGGACTAAACACCCGGCAGCGTTTGCTCGAATTGGGAGGCCCTTGTCCAAGCAGTTGTCCGAGCGAGTAACTACAGGGCTGCACCTTTGGGTTTTCCAAAACATTCGTTTGAATGTTGTGATGATATTTTAACAGAACAATGTGCAACTTGCTTTGTTGGTGTGCAGACCACTAACTCACTCCAGGTCAGTTGCTCTCTGGCAGTCACTTTCTTATCACTCTGCATTGCCATGGTGACCGTTCCTGTGAAATTCACTCATTGATTCCACCACTCACGTTGAGAACTCAGTCGACTGTTTCATCTCATCCGTACTTTGTTCACCCACCGTAATATGCAGGTTGCAACAGCATACTCCCTCACCCACCTACTCACTCACTCCCTCACCAACCTACTCACTCCCTCCCTCAACCAATCAACCAACCACCCACCCACTCCCTCATTCACCCACTCATTCCCTCAATCCTTCCGTCACCGACCCACTGACTCGCTCATTTCCTCACCCACCAAACCCGCCACACCGCAGGTCACCTCACTTCTCTTCTTTCTGCCTCTTCCCTCGCACCGCTCCCCTGTGGCGTTCAATCGGCCACCATCTGGTTCCCCTAATCTCTCACAAAAGCCTTGCTCAATCCGAGACCTGCATCGGCTCGTCACCCTGCTGCAACTTTGATAGGACAATTTGTTTTGTTGCTGGCCGCGTGACACTTTGCACCTGTTCGCAGCAACTAAGTAACGAAAAATTAAGTAAAAAACAATCTTTGTTTTGAGTGGGGCTATTGTGAGTGTTTGAGGGGGGGGGCTATTGTGAGGTTTTGAAGGGGGAGTGAGCAGCACCTGTAAAAACGCCCCCCACGATGGCACAGACGCCAGTCAGGAAGTGCAGAAACGACCTACAACGGCACAAAACAGATCATCAGACAATGCACCTCCTTCCCACATCGGGGAATGTCCACATGTATGCGTGCATCATCACGAGTCGTCACGTCGCCACAAGTGCCAACTGACACCTCTGTGCACCATTGCAAGTTAGACGACGTTCCATCTCAGGGGATTCATTTTTCTGGCGAAATGTTTTTTGTTTAAAATCACTTCTGACGACGGTGATGGCAGCGATGTTGATGTCGCCCCGGCTCCTTACCGGTGCTTCTCGGTGAGCCGAACCATCATGGGCGAGAGCTCATATTGGACGAACACGCCGGGCAGCCCCGACTCCACCGATCCACTGCCAATGGCCTTCACATGCTGCGTCACCGAGAACTGATTCGTTCGCACCACCTAGCGTGCCACACACATCACCACAGCATCACCACCTAGCGTGCCACACACCATCACCACCCATCACCACCTAGTGCTCCAGAGATCACTAACAGCATCACCCCATCAAGACAATCAGGCATTGTTAATTCGAAACAAGGCGAGTTTTAGAACCAAATGTTTATTATGAGATGGTCAAAGTTATTTTCTGCTCAAATGAGCATTTCATAACCCTGCAGAACCAGTGGTGGATGTTACATATTCCTCTGGCAGGGGCAAGTTTACCCATAGGATGACCACTCTTGATCTTCCCCACGTAAGGGAGGAATGTTAGGTTGAAATTATGCGCTCCCAAAAAGGCCGTGTGGCCGATGGGAAGTGAAAAAAATACATACATGTCAGGCGAGATGGAAATGATGTGTATGGTTTGCGAATGTATTTTGAATATCCAGGATACGTGGCATGACTCACCTCCCCATTCACTCGCACATACACGGTTGGAACAATCTTCACGAAGTACTGAAACATCATGGAGCCTGCAGAGCGCACAAACACAAAGACGCCCCGCGAGCCTTCATAGATTGCCGGGGCATGTGCCGAGTTAGTTCATAATAACATTGGCACAGTGCAACATGGGGATGGGTGATGTGGCCAGGACCATGCAGAGATGCCTTTAATGTCTCCCCAATGTTTATATATACACATGGCACAATATACTCATTTAGGGTTAAGTCAACCTAGGAGATGTAAATTACTGGTTCAGACGCCCCTTACTGTTGGAGTCAGCTACGGCTGGGATGTAATCTCATAGCACAGTGTGCTAACCACTCTGCACCAGCGCTCCCATATAAAACAAAGATCCCCCGTATAGCCTTAACAGACTGTAGGGGCAAGTGCTGTTAGCGAGCACCTATGAAGGCCGGAACGGTACACGCGGGGGTGGGTGGCCAGCACCACGCCCGACCTCCTTTGTCTCCCCAGTGGCGATGTTTACACACCGCACCAAGTACTCATTTCAGGCTGAGTCGACCTAGGGGAGGCCCAGGACCGGTTCAGATAATCGTCACTGGTGTTGGCCGTGAGCGAGAATCGAACCCGGGTCGCCAGGTTCGTAGCGCAGCGCGCTAACCGCCACACTACCGCTCCCATACACCCATTTGTATACATAAATACAACAGCCTACCACATTGCAAGGATGCTTGCAACAGGTTAAAACCCATTGAGGTTATCACACGATGTGTGGAAGGCTCACTGACAGGAGATCCCAAAACAGGCCCAGGTGTTATGGGGTTAACGGAGATGACTTTGCTAACTTTCTGCGTTCCGTTGTGAGCATCGCTGCCCTGCCATGCGTTGCTGTTGGAGAGTCCAACGCATCACGAAGACATGCAGAGCATATTGAAGTGCGTTTATAAAGCTGAACTGATAATGCAAAGTAACAGAGCAGTGTGCATACTGAATAATGCTTTGAATCAATAGGTACTCCCTCGTATGACATTGTTCAGAAACAGCATGGTCATGGACGAAACACGGAAAACTAAAACTGAAAAGTGTACAAAGCATCGAGAGACATGCTTGGAACTACACCGAGAGAGGGGGACACGTGGACCAAACAACGCACGCAGGTGAATCACATCGTACAAAATATTTGTCAAGGTCGGTGGGCTCGGGCAGGACAAGTCACGGCGAGACGGAACGATGGCAGCTGGTCTAGAATAATGACGGAGTGCAAGGCCGAGGATCGGAACGCGTCCGTGCAGAAGTCCGCCGAGGACATTTAGCGATGACATCAGGTCATATAGATGTTTACACAGTTGCGGAGCACAGACCTAAAGGCCAAAAACTAGGGAGACAAATTCAGCCGGGCGTGGTGCTGGCCACCCAAACTCTCATGTGCCGTTCTGGCCTTCGTAGGTGCTACTCGCTAACAGCACTTGCCCCCTGCGGTCTGTTAAGGTCAGAGGGATGTCCTTGTGTGTGTCCTTGTGTGTGTCCTTGTGTGTGTCCTTGTGTGTGTCCTTGTGTGTGTCCTTGTGTGTGTCCTTGTGTGTTTGTGTTTGTCAAAGCGCGCGCGTGCGTCTTTGTGCCTGAGTAATGGTGGACTTACAGGTGGTCTCAACCTCCCCACGATTAATGTGGCGTAAATGCCGTATGGAGTCTTAGCTCATTTAATTTCTAGAACTGTGTACGCTGTTTTGTACTCAGACCCCTGGCCCCAAAGCAGCTCATATAAACATAAACAGAGAATGCACCTCCTTTGCATATCTCTGCACATTATATATATAAAAAAGTATTTTTTCCACTTCCCATCGGTCAGGGCCTTTTAGAAGTGCATATCAGCACCTTTGGTCCAATATAAGCACACTTGTGACCTGTTTTGACACCCATTGTCTCATCAGGAGAGCCGGGCTTCCTTAAACCAATGCTGGTGAATGCCAGACTTTTATAGGCAAGGGCGTTCCGTACGAGAAATGGGCATTTGAGCGCAGGTTTGTTCCGAGCAGAATACTGGGGATTTCGTGGCAAGGTAGGATAAGCAACTTGGAGGTTTGGGAAGAGAACGTTGCAGCCAGGTGTTTTCGATACTATGAGGCAAGGCCGCTGTGCTTGGTTGGGACAAGCGTGCAGGATGGAGGAGTTATTCTTTGGTTCTTTCGGTTAAGTCACGTCTAAAAATAAAATAATAAATTAAAATAATAGCGACGTTTCGATTGCAACACAAGCAATCATCATCAGGCATAAAAGAAATAGCAATAAAAATCGAAATAGAAAACTATAGACAGACATAAGCAGACAGACATCACAAGGACACACAGAGAGAGGACATATCGGCACAGAGAGAGGGGTCGTTTCTGTGACGGTCCCTTAAATATAGAGAGGGGGGCGGGGACGGAGAGAGGGAGGGGGCAGAGAAAATTAGCATATCAATGAGTGTACGGCAACGTGTTATTTTTATTTTTAGACGTGACTTAACCGAAAGAACCAAAGAATAATTCCTGCAGTCACGAAAGCTCCAAATTAAGGATGGAGGAGGATAAAGTAGGCAAACTAGGAGGTTGGGAAGGGAGTCTATGTATGTGTCGGGGTGTTACGGGAGGGAAACGGACAAGCACACAGGGGTGTCCACATCCACGTCTGCAAACGGTTACCACCCTGGGGCGCTGTGGGGGGATGCTGGTATCCCACACAGCCCCACCCCTCGGTGGCAAGTTGGTATAAAAGGCGGCGAGCGAGAGGGCTCGTGGTTTAGTGTTGGGGAGCTAAGGAGCAAAGAGCCAGTGAAGACTGAAGACCGGCAGATAGGTCCTGGAACTCCTCTGACTCGCCATCCTTCTCAGGACCGAGCAGGGCAAGCCAGTGGCGCGGCCCCAGAACCTCAGAGACGATGTTCTTCTAAGAGCCGGGTCTGTCTGGCTGTGTCGTGACCCGTGCCTTGACCAGGGCCGGGTCAGATAGCCTCCCCTAGCACCCTTAGTGGAGGACCTGGGAGCAGACCAGTTGGGCAGATAGCCGAGGGGTGTATCCCAGTCCAGTACGGATGAAGGGGCCGTTACCCCTTCGAGTGTTGTGTACGTTGCCCTGTGCCGAGTGTAAAGTTATAATAAATAGTGTGCCTCGACTACACCGTCTCTGTCGCTTGTGAACCCAGTACATATATGGACGAGTGCTATAAATATGAATAGACAGGATGGGAGTAGTGCCGACTGTGGAGACAGGCACCGGAGTGGTCTCTACGAGTCCGACAAGCAAAGGGAAGAGAAGACCTAAAACCATTTTGTGGGATTCTGTTAGAGACAGATATTGCATGTCGTGCGTTTTCTGTGCAATAGCTGTGAAATCTGACCGAGCATAGAACCGTTGGTAGAAAGGTGCGGTGGTAGAAATAGCTTTCGCTGTGACATCTTGAACTTGCCACTGGAACCTGACCATCCCACTACTCGCCGCCAGCATGAACCATTACTCGAGTGTCTAGATCTCAAGAGGTAGGCAGCAGAGAGCGGGTACACACCAACACCACGCTGATCGATAAGCTATGTTCATGTAGGCCTGGCTCCAACCCAAACCTTATTCCTCCCGTTACAAACCTCCCATGTGTAATTGCTCTCCGCCAGCATGAACCCACCTTCCACCGCAGCCGCGTTCGTCCCATCAAGGGGGTTGATTATGCCCGGATACTCTTGGCCGAAGGACAGATGCTTGATGTGATGCGTCAGGTTGAACTGCATGGGAGAAGCGGTGACGACGGGAGTTAAGTTACAAACAGTGAAAAGCTGTGATTGAGCAACACGGTTAACACACAGCGGCATTGCGTTCTCCGCTCGTTGCAGAGGTTTGTGGTTTGAAGCTGGTATGCCGCCACGGTTAAGAGTACGGTGTACGTCAGGGTTGTTTTTAAACTGTAACCGGTAAACAGGCTAGAGCTCTCAAGAGTTACCGGTGCTCAAAGTCAAATGTGGGATCACCGTTTCCAGTGGAATTGTTCACAATAAAAGGCACCGATTGGTGACACGTGAACGTACAAACGGCACAGCGGCTCACATCACCGCATGGTACGTTCAACCTTGCTTCTCGGTTGGAAAGTAAACGTTGCAACCCTTCCAGCGCTTGCTTGCTCACACAACTGCTGGAAGCAGGGCCTGCACAAGAGAGAGTTCTAGAATGTAATTGGCCTGTGCTTCCTTGTAGGACCATGGCAAGCCTGATAATTTCTCAGTTGAATAGGTAAACATATCGTTTATTGGCAGACATTTTTGTAAATGCGTGTCAATCGACTGAGGTTTGTTTTATTTCATTTTACGCAGTTACCGTTGATGCAAAAACACCAACATTAACCACTCTAGTGTCTAGAATTCAAGAGGTTGGCAGCAGAGAGTGGGGACACACTACCACCATGCTGGTCAAGAGGTAATGTTCATGCAGGCCTGGCTCATGCCCTGCTCTCTTACTTGATTCAACTTAAGTTTGGACATTTATGGGAACACGCCAACCCAAACCTCGCCACAACTTACCTTCTCAGAGCCAAACGTCTGCAGGTCATGGACTGAAAGAAGGGGAACACAAGGGCATCATTACCATTAAAGCAACTGACACAGAAACTTTAATACTGGTAGGAACCTCCTGGTTACACCAGCCCACAGGGGATTATTGTGTCCGTCCGCCCGTCGTGCAGGGAGGGGCTGGGTGGGGAGGGATGGGCTGGGTGGGGAGGCTGGGGCTGGGTGGGTAGGGGAGGGTGGGGAGGGGCTGGGTGGGGAGGGGCTGGGTGGGGAGGGGCTGGGTGGGGAGGGTGGGGCTGGGTGGGGAGGCTGGGGCTGGGTGGGTAGGGGAGGGTGGGGAGGGGCTGGGTGGGGAGGGGCTGGGTGGGGAGGGTGGGGCTGGGTGGGGGGTGGGAGGGGTGGGGCTGGGTGGGGAGGGGCTGGTCACCCCGTGGTACCCTTATAAAACTCAACGTTTAACCTACTCACGCCGGCTTGTGCCCGCCCTCACAGTCGGGCATATTTGCAGAATACACCACGCCGCCGTTGACCCTGGCCATTGACCGACCAACCCAACGTTCCTACCAGCTCCCTCCGCAGGAATGTGTTTAGGTTTGTAATGGCAATGTATCACAACTTACAATGCAACTCGAATGAAAGACACAACATAAGCACGCAAGCAATAAAATAGATAAACAAACAATTTGCCTCCTTCCCCTATCTCTCTCGACATAAAACAAAAATGTTTACACATTCCAGAAGCAATGTGGCCCTTTCTGTAAGTGCACAATTTCAGCAGCATTGGTTTAACACAAGCAAACTCGGGCCCCGTTTTGACTTTCAGTGCCTCGCCAGCAGAGCCAGGCTTTCTTGAACCCATGCTGGTGAACTGCTGATGGGTAAACAAAGGAGGCTAAAAGATTCCGTTTCCTGAGTTTGTGACACGAGAGTGAGACACTGTGCAACAAGATAAAAAGAGGCTTGTCAAAGTGAAAAAAGTGATTTTCTGCACAGCTCACAAATGTGACGATGCTCATCTCCCATTTACAGCCCATCACAGTCGTGGAAATTCTATATTCCTATGGCGGGGGGGGGGGGGGGGGGCGAGTCTCTACATATGACTTCACCACCAATGTAGTACTTAGTTGATTAACTGAGGAGGCATGATGAGATGTGCCAAACCGCCCCAACAAGTACATGGACTGGAAACCTTCCAATTGCGATCCAATTTCTCTGCCGTTGAGCCACCTGGCCGCATTTAGATACTAATGAGAAATGTAAATAATTGGCATATTTAAATTACGTGTAAATAAGATACAGGGTGGAGGGATGCAGGGATGGTGACGGGTAGGTGGGGTGGGTGGGGTGGGGGGTGTCTCACCATGTACGTGAGCCTGCTGGAAACTCTTTCCCGGAGCAAAGTGGAAGTTCCCGGCAACCTGTGAAAAAGATGTTGCGCAGTTGTTAACATCACTTGGCGTGGACCGAAGGTTCTACGTAAACTTTCCATTGCAGTGGAGGCCTAAGAAGCCACGCATAAAAATTAAGGACTTAATCCAATTTTGGCTCAGAGGTAGAGCGAGCGGCTGGAGGGCCTCGGCTGAGCAGATTGACCGTTTGAGCTGTGTTCAACCACCACAATGCAGGTCACCACAACACAACAACGGCCATTCACCACCACTTCTTCTTCTTTCGTATGGCTGATTTAGATGAATAGCAACATTTCACATTGATGTGGTCAAGCCAGATAACTGTGGCAGCAGCAGCAGAGTGTATCGTTGTCATATCTCCTTTCTATTTGTGGACTAGGCACTGTGTCGTTATATGTTGTACGGTCTGTTCTGGATGACCAGTCGCACATTGAACAGTTTTTAATTTTCCATTTGTGCCCACATCTGCTTTAGTTTACGCAGATGCAGTTTAGGGTGAACCATGAGCTTTGTGGAAGAGCAAAACCAGGGATCTTCTGCGTTAGTTTGTGAGTTGGGCATCAACAAGCCGAGTGTGACTAAGTGGTGGTGACATTACCAAGGCGCTTATGCCGTGCTAGGTGCACTTTGGGGCCACATGACGCGTCAAAGGCTCGCGAGCCGGTCATGGGTACAGACCCAGGGGCCAAGAGTTAGCTGACCACTGTGCCAATTTGCTAAGTTTTAGCCGCCTGGCGCTCAGCTCCTTGTTGTTGTTCGAGGGTGATTGCCTCCAACTGCTCAGTAGCGTCCTTCACAAGCCTCCTTCTCGGCCAAAGCTGCACTCGTTTAGCCCCCTCTATCTGGCCAAACAAAAGCTGCTAAAGCTGCTTGGGCATACAGTGGCTGGGCATGAAGGCTGCGTGATTCAGCCAATGCACCCTTGCCTGCTCACTGAAGGGAATGTGTCCAGATCATTCAAGGATTTGTGAGCTCTTCACACAATCCACCCTCGTTAAACCCAGGAATATCCGTAGGCAGGCCAGCCTGAATGCTCCAAACCAGCGCAGATGTTCCATTACAGAGGTTCACATTTCGCAAGCCGAAAGGCAAGGCATAACTGTGGCCAAGAAGACCCAAAGCTTCGTGTGGAGTGACAGACCAGGTCACTTCCACACAGCATCACGTAGCTGATGAAAAGAAAAAGTGCCACTCGACTAATTTTAAGTGAGACATCTGATGCCCTGGGAAGCTGACCTTGTTGACCTCCAGGAAGCCGTAGATGCGGCAGCCTTCCCCAGCCTGCTCCTTCATCTTGTCCGTGAAGCCCTCGCGTCGGCACTGCTCGATGGAGTCCGGGTTCTTGAAGGCCCAGCCCTTGAGTCGGTATGCCTCCCGCACGTCGTCGCACGAGTTGCAGCAGCTGCACACGCAGCCGCACACAGCCCACCCCACCCCCATGTGGAGCCCCAGCAACATCAGTCTAGGGGAGGCCCTCGGCCGGTTGTTGGTCGTGAGCGGGAATCTGGAACTTGGCTCGATGGGTCTGCGGCAAAGTTGTGCCAGCCACTGTGCCACCACTCCCCCACACGCACATGCAAACGTGTGTGTGTTCCCACAAGAATACGCGTAGCAAAGACAAAGCTCACCCGAGGAGCTGCCATGGTGTAACGGTCAGCACAATGCAATCCACTGGTCGACTGTTCGATTCCATCTCGGTGAGGCGTAGTGCCAAGGTGAGTGTTTAGGTGCGTATGTGTGGTGAGGTAAAGTGCCAAGGTGAGTGCTGATGAGGTGAGCGGTTATAGCATGCTGCACTGTGAACCTGGCAACCCGTGTTCGATTCCCCGCTCACGGTCTACAGTTACGATTATCTGAACCAGTGGTGGGCCTCCCCTAGGTCGACTCAGCCTCAAATGAGTACCTGGTGCAATGTGTAAACATCGCCACTTGGGGAGACAAAGGCGGTCGAGCGTGGTGCCGCCCACCCACCCCCCTTATGTACCGTGCCGGCCTTCATAGGTGCCACTCGCTAACAGCAAATGCCCCAACAGCTTGTTAAAGCTAAGGTGGGGGGGGGTATTTGTCTTTGGCGAGGCGCAGTGCCGAGGGGGCGAGTAGTGATGAGGCGAGTGCGGTGACGGTGGTGCCCTCACAGCATGGCTGGTGTCTCGGCCCCGTAGCAGCTCTCGCACCGATCCGGGTCCAGTTCGCCCGTCTCCACTGGCGGCAGTGCCTCCTCCAGCTTGCCCCCCACCTCTGCAGTATCGACAAACACGATGGGACCGTCGACGGTCATGCCAAGCCGTCTCCCCGTTGTTCATATGCACTGTGCTCTTCGACACTATATACCACTCCTGTGTACGTATTGGAGGAGCGGGGGAAGGACAGCAAACTAAACACAAAAAGCAGTTCAAAAAAAATATTTTCAATCTTGATGATTTCAACGTTGCATATCTCCAGTGGCGTCGTGGAGATCAGCACGGTATTCTGGTTCATTGGTGGCAAGCACAATGTGTTGGTAGCGACTCCGGCCTAGTCTCAGTTGCGTCGGGATGATTCTCCGCGACCTTCGATTGCCGGATTTGCGAGCTGCGCGACGGGCTGTAACGGGCTCGCGTTTTGTTAAAAGAAAAGAAAACCTATGCTATTGATTTAAAGCTTTCGTGACTGCAGGGATTCATATTCTTGGTTCTTTCGGTAAAGTTACGTAGAAGGGAAATAATAAAATAATATAAATATAAAACAATAAAAATTCTCATGACGTTTCGACTGCAACACAAGCAATCATCATCAGGTGTGAAATCAACATCAGGTGTGAAATCCAGGATTTCACACCTGATGACGATTGCTTGTGTTGCAGTCGAAAGGTCGTGACTTTACTGAAAGAACCAAGAATATAAAAAAAACCTATGCTCTTCAGTCCAAAAATCACAGATCAGAAGAAGCGCTCTCGCTCAGACGCAGCTGCTTCAACGTGGAACCGTCTCCCAGAGAGACACACACACCCTACAATGTGTCGCCAGCCTCAACTGATTTACACTTTTAATAAAAAAAATCTCACTCCCACAACATTTAGAGCTGTTACAGCTCCAGTACATTGTACATGAACCGGCGGTGTACACCGCTTAATTATGTATTTATTTTACTTGGTGTGATATTCACTGAATGCATTCCATATAAGTTATCGATTAAAAGTGTTAGTACGTGTTATTACCTATTTGCTATATCGACACCCTGGACACACTTTGCCAATGAGATGTTTAATCTCTAGAAATCTTCCAAATGAAACACGATTCAAAATGTTGACAACACCACTTCACGATATAGTCACCATTTGATTACAACAGTTTCCATTGGTGTCGTGTGCGGTCAGGAAGTGAACCCATGTCGCGCTAGGGGTCAAAGCACAGTGTGGTAAACATGACATATTTCAAGAACATTTTGTTTGACAAGATGAGAACTTATGAGACCAGGATGAGTCTGATTCGCCAGTGACTCCTGGCCAACCTGACACGTAAAATCAGAGGGTAATAGTTGAATCGCTACCATGGTTACCTGCAGATTAGGGAGGGCAGTCCAAAACGCGGGACTCTTGCCCTGTACAGAAGACTCCTCTGCGGTGGTGATGGAGGCTCACTGTCTGGGTGGTGGGGGTAGCTCACCGTGTTTCTCTGCACCTTGAGCGACAGGCTGGCCATCTGGGCTCAGCCGCTGCTTGTACACGTTGTGCGAGACGTCAATCTGCTGCTCCCCGGACACATCCATCGAGTCGATGCTCAAGACTGCGAATGTCACAAACACAAATGGAATGTTTCCTTGTCAAATGACAATATCAGCCGTCTCATGGTCTCTGCCTGGCAGGCTGGCGTGTGGCCGTGTTGATAATGTGGGTGCTACGGTGGAGAGTGGGTGCTAACGGTGGCGAAATATTAACTACTTAACCTGGTATACAGAAAGTCGTGGATTCGATCCCAACTCTGACGCCTGTGTTTATTGAGTTTGCATGTTCTCCCTGTGGTCACGTGGATTTTTCTCCGGGTCCTCCGGTTTTTCCCTACACAATTCGAAACAGGTGTTCAGAGTATCTTGCAGCTATGTACATTTGTGGCAGCCAGGTCACTTCTGAAAAAGAGCTATATAGCTCAGTAGGCCTTACCTGGTAAAATAAACAAGTTTAGTTTAAAGTTTAGTTTCATGTTGCGATTCAGTGAGACAGTTTGGGCAGGTTGATACGCAAATGTGTCGCTTTGAATAATGCAGGGAACTGTGAGGAGGTCAAGAGGTGTCTTGCTTTGCTAAGGCAGGTTTTTTTATGGGCTACGAACACCGCTACCGAAGAGAATAGAGGTGAGTGTGAGCGTAAAGAAAAGCAAATTTGAGGAGGAAGTTCAGTTATGTTACTGTATAGATCAGAGCTGGACCCTAAGCAGCTTGAAAAAGAGATGTTGGCATTTGAGCGCAGGTGCCCCGAGACCGACGCTGGGGGACTTTGCGGCGAGCCAGGATGAGGAGCCACGCACAAGTCCAGAAGAGAGCGTGGCACGATGAGTGCTGCAGATGTGATGGGGGGAGGGCCGATTGCCGAGGCAGGCATTGGAGTCGCCTCCATGAGCCTGGCAACCAACGCAGATGATGATTATGATGATCGTATGGCCAATCAAGAGCAACTACTGAGATGGAGTTGTAATTGAGTCATTCAATCGCTCTTGGTGAGAGTTGGTGAATTGCAGATACACTGCCTTAAAATGTATATCTGAGGCAGCGTCAAGTTGTATGGTACATGGTTTGGTGCTCGTCATCGCAGTCACGCAAAGGAGAATCTTTTACTTTCCAATTGTACATTAGGCATCGGTACCATGGGGAAGATGAGACCTAAAGCCAGATGGTGGGATACTGTCACAGCATATCTTGTGCGTGGCATGTCTACTGTGCAGCATCTGCTATAACTGCTGAAGAGAAGCGTTGGTAGCAAAGTGTAGTGTGGCATTAAGGGCTTTGGCCAAATGACTGATGGATTAATGATGGCTTTGGTGGTGAATGGCTTGGTGACAAGGAGCATGTGTTTGACAGGATGTTAATGTATGAAGTACCTAATCTCCAGAACTCACGGAGGCTAGGAGACGTTAACTACTCCGCCTGGTATACAGGAGGTCGTGGGCTCGATCCCGACCCCGACGCCTGCTGCTGTATATTTTCAGTTTCTATGTTCTCCCCGTGCGTTTAGAGTATTTGGCTGCTATAAATTTCTACACGATAGTGCAATTGGTTGTTCTGTCATCTGTGGCCAAGTCGCTTCTGAAATAGAGCTGTATAAGCTCATTGGAATTTACCTGCTAAAATAAAATATAGTTTAGTTTTAGTTCAAAACACCACTCTCCAACCTGGTGGATGCAGTCAGTGGGAGTGAAAGGCTGCGTGTGGCCTTGAGTGAGCACGCATGCGTGAATGGACAAAGTGGCCGAGGAGATAGCGTACAGGCACAGGCCATGTGTGGAAACGTGACGTCCATATTAATTCGGAGCTTCTCCCCTCGCGTCGTGTCCACGAACAACTCCGGATAAACCTGCAGGCAGCCGCAAGGCAGTGGACAAACACAACACAAGTCAATAGGAGGCCCGAACATGGAGCGTTAAACCCCAGGTAGCTGAACGAACAGGGAGAGCCCTGGACCAGCTAGCGGAAAAGTCTGGCGGAGCTGGGATTTCAATTAATCATCTCTTAACAAAAAAAACACAACATCAACCCTATGAACTGTACAATATAAGTGTGGCTCAGTAATATATTGTGTGTAGTGTGTTATGGTATGCTGTATACTGTCGTGATGTCACGTCGATTAAAGGATACGCCGCTCTCCCCCCATCCCCTTGTACGAGACCACTCCTCCCCAATTCCCCAAAACCCTCCCCTATCACTCCACTCGGATATCCCCACCACCCCTCCCCCACTACAGGAATCCCCGCTATAAGTTACCGCAGTATGTGACGTTTGCTATATGCGTTGTTGATTAATTCGGGAACATATTTCCTTACATGTGTAATGTTTTGCAAAAGCGTTCTTTCAAAAAATAGCATTTTTTTTGCAGGAACACACGCTATGAAATCAGACTATTTTTCAATATAATACCGTACTGTACACGTATAGTGCGTAACACCGAAAATACCGCCACCCAGTGGAGGGAAAATCCCTCCACCCAGTGGAGGGATTTACCTCCTCATGGAGGACAGAAGTTGGACTTGACAGTGTGGACGAGTCAAACAAAGTAGAGTTGCTCGAGTCCAATAGTGACGGATCTGTCAAATGAGGACCTAATGCAGCTGGAACAACGATTTGAGGAAGAGACCGATGAAACAATCCCACCCCCACCCATGAATATTAACTTCAAAAAGATTGTCAAGAGGATTATATTCATTGGGGAGCAGCAATAGACATCATCAGAGAGGATGACCCAAACAGAGGATGCAGCTTCAGAGTTAACAGGACATTAAACAGTGGCCATCACGACTACAGGGAGCTGGACCAGCAGAGGAATAAAAATGCTGGCCAGCTGTCTTTGAACAAGTTTTAAATGCTCTGCGTTCCTGTGGCTCCAGCCTCATCGTCGGATGAAGAGGCAGGTGATCCTGCCCCTTCGTCTGCTTAACTAAACCGCTGTTCACTCACAGAGGCCTCGGACGACAAAGTTCTTCAAGCAACTCTGATAAGTTGTAACTAATTATTTGTATTTATTATTCGTTAAAATTTATTTAAACTTATAACGATATGCATTTTTTTTTTACACTTTAAGATAGTCACACAATTTTTTTTCTACAAATGTCAGCTAAGAACGCAACCCCTGATTTTAACATTGTGTCTATGGGAAATTAGAATTGGCTTTAAGAAATTAATAGTTACGTACAATTTCCCAGGAACGCATCCATTGTGCATTACAGGAAATTCCTGTACTAATGAATTACTTTAAATGCATTTGATACCACTTTAACGCGATGTTTTCCACACTATATACAATTTAACAGGTTCTAGTGTGTTGCATCATCTATTTTATTTTCGTATGCAATTTACTTTGTTATATATATACACTATATTATTACATTTAAAAGACATTCTAGAATGTGTTTTAATTCGCCTAAAACCCTTGTCCGGCTCAGTGTGAATTTCAACTCCCCAGAATTTTCTGTATATTAGGCCTGTGTACTGGGTGGGCTATCCCTGCTTGATGTTACAGTACTATACTATAGTACTATACTGCCTGTGATACATTCGGGATGCACAGATTGTAACAGCTAGTTGTAGTCATGGTAAAAGTGTCATCATACGAAACTGGTGACTAAAAACCCTTCGTGCTAGGGTAAATTGGTTCAAAGTAGAAACATGATTTCCTGCTCAAATGAGCAGCATTAAGGTGGTGATTATATTCTGTTTACAGCCCTGAGCCATTTGTGGACGTTTGACATTCCTATGGCGGGGGCAAGTATATTCATAACACAAACATTGTTCTTGATTTAATTTCCCACAAATAAACTGGGACTCATTTTATCGACTCAATCCACAACCAGGATTTGAACTCAAACTTTTGATTGCAAGCCGCTCACCCTACCATTGAGTTGGATTTGCTAGTTTACTTTATGCAAGGAAAATACTGTAGTCATACTGAAACCACAGCATAGTGGAACATGCGTGAAAGGGGCTGTGAGGGATCTAAGAACGCGAAGAGTCAAGGAGATATGATGACACCTGGGCAGTTGTCCTGCACGTCTCACCTCCTTGCTCATGTAGAACTGAAGCTCCGACACGAACAGCAGCAGGATGATGACGGCACTCACCAACGTTACTGCCAACACAGAGACAAAGATTCCCTGTGTAGCCGGCACAGGCTGTTGCCGCAAGTGCTGTTAGCTAGCGCCTATAGAGGCTAACGCAGCACACGAGGAGGCGGTGTGGCCAGTAAAATTGCCTAGCCACCTTTCTCTCCCAAGTCATGATGTTTACACACTGTACAAGGTTTTCCTTCAGATATTCATCACTGATGTTGGCCGTGGACGGGAATCAAACTCGGGTGGCCGAGCTCATTGCGCAAACCACAGCGCCACCGCTCCCCACTGCAATGAAAATCACAATATCGGTACGCATCGGGCAGGGCCAATTAACTAATTGATCCCTGCAGCTGCTGAAAAACCCTGTCTATGAGAAACCTGAAATAGCAGTATTCCCCTTTATCTCATGTTAACAATATATCAAACTATTCAGCAGTGAACCATCCTATTTAATGTACAAGAATTGTTAATGTTTGAAGGTCCATCATGTAAAAATTACATGAACAGAACATGCCTCCTTCCAAATTTGACAATCCACAAAAAAAAGACGATTCACCCATTCCATCGGCCTGTGGGAGTAGTGCATCCTTTCAGCAGCATTGGCTCAGCCCAACCAAACCCTGGAGCCGTTCTGACATTGTCTAGTCAGCAATCTTGCTTGAACCAATGCTGGTGTACAGACAGGGACCCTCTTATTTAGACATGGGTCCCAGTTCAAATCTGAGTTATGTCCAGGTCCCCCTAACTCTTAACCTTAATATCACCAGCCATGATCCTTCCACCACTAACTGAATTTGTCTTCAAACCATCGTCATCAATCATGGTCAGTCACATGTTTGTTGCTCCATCGAATCAACTCAGGTGTGGTCAAAAGCACCCCTACGACTGACACGCAGCGCGTGTGGAGGCCTTCATCGAGTAGTGGATCGAGAAAGGGCCGTCAAAAGACAGTGACATCCAGCTCACATTGGGCGTTGAGGCTTTATGCATCTCTATTCGTCTCCTGTTTAAAGCCACAACACAATAGTGGCTTTGAGTCGAGTCAATCAGCGGATCATGCACGGCTGACTTCCTCCAGCAGTTGGGGCCATCCATTTAGTACGTACGCATGGAGGGGGGTTAACCCAAATGCGTAGCTTGCGTATGGGGGGGTCTACTGACAATGTACGCATAGGAAACGGGGGGGGGGGGGGGTGTGAAGCCTCGATAACAATTTGTCGACATTGGCCTTCAAATGAGCCACAGTTCAGTGTCTCCAGCTGTCAGACAACAAGTCCTGCCGGGAGAAGTGGGCCTGTGGGAGAGGTGTCACTCGTGTGTCACTCGTGTGCCAAGGTGCCCCTGACTGCAGCTATCACGCAGCTCAGCAAAATAAGTGGCCAAGTTACGCAACTAAAATAATTAATGCAGCCGGCGGTGGACTATCTGTTTGCTTAAACACGTTAATATTATTCTTTTTAAGCTGGATCGGAGGAGGAGAGAGCCTTGACAAAGAAGTTGAAAAAAATACGCTGCCAAGCTTAGCAGTGTTCATTAGGACGCTGTCTTTCTGACAGCCCTGTTCCTCACCTGAGGACGGCTGCTTGTGTTGTGGTCGAAACGTCGTGAGAATTTTATCTTACGTTTTATTTTTATTATTTCCCTTCTACGTGACTTTACCGAAAGAACCAAGAATATGAATCCCTGCAGTCACGAAAGCTTTAAATCGAAACGTTAATATTATTCATCCTTGATCGTTTCTGCGTGGATTAAACACCGGCCGTTCTATAGGATTGGGTGGGGGGGGGTAAAAAGTCCGCGTGTGTGCAGGGAGCGGGGAAGGGTCAAGATTTGACAGATTTTTTGCTTTCGTACTAAATGGATGACCCTGTCTGAGAAACCTTATATATGGGCTCTCCCCACTGTGCCAACTTGCTGCGTTTTAACCGCCCGGTGCTCTGCTCGTTGTTGTGAGCGTCGCCCCTCTGCCCACCGCTGTTGACACGGTCATGTAAACCACTTTGTTATTTCATTACACTTGTAATTGATACCTACATAACACTGGCCAGGTGGCTCTGCGTGGCTTCTGTACGGGAATTAGGCGCTGCATCAACGCTCATTGTAACGTCTCAAAGCGAACAGGAAACCACTTTGGCTTGAGACGTCAAATGTTAGTATACGTGTCACGACGTCGTTTGTACGTGTCGGTGGATACCCTGGACACCCTTGCAAACGAGATGGTCCATCTCACGCCATCCGCGATGCAGGTGAAAGCATTTAATTCCATTTTTTTAAAAAAACTGAAAAGCACGATGACCCAGGTTCCGGGGCGTCCCTGCCCCGCCGCCCAGGAGGCGCCCTCGCGGGCAGCGCGCTCAGGCAAGCCGCAGGCTCCGCGGACTCACCCGCGGCCCCGCCGCTCGTCTTCACGCGGAAATCCTCGAGCGGCTTCGCGTACGCGTCCAGGTGGCGCAGCCGCGACAGCATGGCGAGGCCTCCCCCACAGCCGCCCGCCTCTCTCGCGGTCTTCGCCTCAGAGCCCGTGCCTCACCACGAATACCTCGCGAGCCCGAGGCGCCTTGAAGACACCACCAGCACCGCCACTGCCACACGCGGGAGTGGGGGGTGGGGGGGGAGTAGGGGGGGGAGAGTGGGAGGGGGGGGAGTGGGGGGGGGTGGAGTGGGGGGGGGTGAGGTGGGGGGGGAGAGTGGGGGGGAGTGGGGGGGGAGTGGGGGGGAAGTCGGGGAGAGTGGGGGGAGTGGAGGGGGGAGTGGGGGTGGAGAGTGGGGGAGTGGGGGGGGGTGGAGTGGGGGGGTGAGGTGGGGGGGGGGAGGTGGGGGGTGGGTAGTGGGGGGAGTGGGGGGAGTGGGGGGCAGTGGGGGGGAGGTGGGGGGGTGAGGTGGGGGGGAAGTGGGGGGAGGGGGGGGAGTGGGGGGAGGGGGGGGAGAGTGGGGGGGAGTGGGGGGAGGGAGGGGGGTGAGGTGGAGGGGGAGAGTGGGGGGGAGTGGGGGGGAGTGGAGTGGGGGGGTGAGGGGGAGGGGGGAGAGTGGGGGGGGGGAGTGGGGGGTGGAGAGTGGGGGGGGAGTGGGGGGGAGTGGGGGGGAGTGGGGGAGTGGGGGGAGGGGGGGGAGTGGGGGGGGTGGAGTGGGGGGGTGAGGTGGGGGGGAGTGGGGGGAGTGGGGGAGTGGGTGGAGAGTGGGGGAGTGGGGGGGAGTGGGGGGGGTGGAGTGGGGGGGGGGTGAGGTGGGGGGGGAGAGTGGGGGGGAGTGGGGGGGGAGTGGGGGTGGAGAGTGGGGGGAGTGGGGGGGAAGTCGGGGAGAGTGGGGGGAGTGGAGGGGGGAGTGGGGGTGGAGAGTGGGGGGAGTGGGGGGGAGTGGGGGGGGTGGAGTGGGGGGTGAGGTGGGGGGGGGGGAGAGTGGGGGGGAGTGGGGGGGGGAGTGGGGGGGAAGTCGGGGAGAGTGGGGGGAGTGGAGGGGGGGAGTGGGGGTGGAGAGTGGGGGGAGTGGGGTGGAGTGGGGGGGGAGTGGGGGGGTGAGGTGGGGGGGGAGAGTGGGGGGGAGTGGGGGGGGAGTGGGGGGGAGTGGGGGTGGAGAGTGGGGGGAGTGGGGGTGGAGTGGGAGTGGGGGGGTGAGGTGGGGGGGGAGGTGGGGGGGGGGGTGAGGTGGGGGGGGGGAGGTGGGGGGGAGAGTCGGGGGGTGAGTGAGTGAGTCGGGGGGATGGAGTGGGGGTGGAGTGGGGGGGCTTCGCTCTCTGTTGGGGTGCACGGCTCTCTCACTCACCACCCACCCCAACTTTCGAATAAATGTTGTTGTGTTAAGGTAAACAAGTGATACGTAAAGACGCGAGGTTTTTTTGGGGTAAAAAACTAAATGAAAGCAAGAAACTACGGCATTCGAAAGTATAACAAATAAACATTTTTTAAAAGGTGGTTAATTTAAGTGGCTTTCGTACAAACGAGGACCCCACATCTAGAAGAAGAGAGAATAAGAAGAGGGTCCCTTGCTACGAACCATCTGGAACGTCACCGGCACGACAACAGCGCCTGTCAACCCCATAGGGGCCGTCCATAAATGACGTCACGCGATTTTGGATGATTTGTGACCCCCTCCCCTCGTCACACGGCGTCACAAAAAGTCAGACCCCCTCCCCAAATATGACGTCACAAAGCTCTGCCCCCCCCCCCCAAAATAAAATAAAACATGCTTCAAATCGCTTTAAACTATTGTCATTGTAGTGCGTATTTAAAAAGTCTATTTAATTAAGTATTGATAATTAGCGGTGTGGGTGATTGAGCGATGAATGAGATGAGTAATAAGAGATTTAATTTGGAAGGAATGAGATAAATTTACCTCGAAAACGTTTTGTCTCTCACAGTGTTCCTTATATGCGCTGTTGTAATTCTACATCTGGACCTTAACTCGCTAATGTGCTGTGTAAAATCCAATGTTTTGCTGTTCGTCAGAACACAAAACCTGTGTACGTGAGAGAATTAGTGAGTAAAGCACATTCCTGCGGAGGGAGCTGGTAGGAACGTTGGGTTGCTCGGTCAATGGCCAGGGTCAACGGCGGCGTGGTGTATTCCGCAAATATGGCCGACTGTGAGGGCGGGCACAAGCCGGCGTGAGTAGGTTAAACGTTGAGTTTTATAAGGGCACCACGGGGTGACCAGCCCCTCCCCACCCAGCCCCTCCCCTCCCACCCCCCACCCCCCACCCAGCCCCACCCTCCCCACCCAGCCCCTCCCTACCCTCCCCACCCAGCCCCTCCCTACCCTCCCCACCCAGCCCCTCCCCACCCAGCCCCTCCCCACCCTCCCCACCCAGCCTCTCCCCACCCTCCCCACCCAGCCCCTCCCTCCTTACCCAGCCCCTCCCTGCGCGACGGACGGACGGACACAATAATCCCCTGTGGGCTGGTGTAACCAGGAGGTTCCTACCAGTATGAAGGATGCGTGACTGAATGAATGAAGGAAAGTGAACGAGGCAGAAATTTTCAAATGGGTGAGAATGAATGAGAGGCGCGATTGAGTAAATGAATGATTGGTACGAGTGACTTCATCAGAGAGATGTGAGTAAATGAGAGATTCACGAGTGAATGAAGGAATGCGTGAATGTGCGAGGTAAGTGAGCACGTGATAGTGAGTTTAGTGCACTTGTGGCGGTATCGTGTCAAGTGGTGCAATTAAATGGCGTGTAGTGTCCACAAGTGGTGTCGTGGAGGCTCGGTAGGGGACACAGAATGTGCATCGGCCAGTCATCTCAGCCAGTCAACCCATGGCACCTGGGGCTGTCCCGTGACCTTGGGGCGTTCGACACTTAACGTGGCCTTAAAGTGCACCTAGCCTGGCACAAGCGTCGCGGTGACGTCGCCGCCACTTAGTGGCGATTGATGTTGTTGGTGTTGGTGTACGGAGGACGGGCTGCCCTCTCGTTTATATATAAATATATAATATTAGGGGTCGCCAACCTTTCAAAAAGAGAGATGTTAACTACATTGCCGGTATGCAGGAGGTCATGGTTCGACCCCGACGCTGACGCCTGCTGCTGTATATTTGGAGTTGGGATGCTCTCCCCGTGGTCGCGTGGATTTTTCTCCGGGCCCTGCGGGTTTCCCCTCGACTTTGAGAAACACGCGTTGAGATGATTTGTCTGCGATACATTTCCACGTGATCAGCTGCTTCGTTGGGCTATCGTTAGTGGTCTTGTGGCTTCTCAAAAAAGAGCTATTCAGCTCAATTGGCCTTACCTGGTGAAATAAAAAACATGTTTGACGTCACGCACCTGGAGGGGGGGGGGGGGGGTCAGACATTTGTGACGATGTGTGACGAGGGGGGGGGGGGGGGTTGAAATGTGACGTCACATCAAAATGCGCAACTTTAAATAAATATAGACAACACGTTCTACTTAAATAGACTTTTTGATAAAAAATTTTCCTACAACATCAGAGTGCAGCGCCACATTAAATACGCACTACAATAACAATAGTTTAAAGCGATTTGAAGCATGTTTTTTTTTGGGGGGGGGCAGAGCTTTGTGACGTCATATTTGAGGGGGGGTCTGACTTTTTGTGACGCCGTGTGACGAGTGGGGGGGGGGGTCAAAACTCGTCCAAAATCGCGTGACGTCATTTATGGACGGCCCCAAATCTCGCAGGTATACAGCAGATGGCCAACAAATTCTGACTTAAACTAAATATGTGATGGATTAAACTGCGTCTATTTATTCCCCCCCCCAAATCTTTAGTTAATTCTTTAACAATACAGTTTGGACTGTTGTGTACATGGTGATCCATTCCCCTGTCGTATTTAATACATTATCTTTACGTTAAATTATGTTAAAGACTTAGTTTTAATTGTTTCTTTAATGGCTTTGTACTGAGCCGCCGCTTGCTGACCCCTATATATGATAATACAATATACAAAAAAGCACCACAGTACATTTCTTAATTATAAAATAAATGTACTGCCCTTAATCCAATGATGGATGCGGGCCTTCCCATGCCGTGCTGATCATGGGCGTGGTTCTTTGACTGTTAGGATGCTTCGTGGGTAAAGTCCAATAGGATGCTCTATGAGACCTCCTTTACCAGTGGCAAAATATAGTAATAGGTTTTTACCCTTTCAACTGGTACAAAAACTGACACCTTTATACAATAGGATGGCCACAAATCTTCTGGCTACAATTGGCAGCTACTCCTGTCAGCAGCTCGGCATGGGGAAGGAAACGCCACTTGTGGAAGCGCCAGGAGTGACGCCTCGAGTTGGTGTACGCGGCTGGATTGCTGCTGTGTTGCTGCCTTTGCTTGATCTCTGCGTTAGCCGTGAACAATTTGTAGACATTCAAAATGTGTACGGCGAGAATGAGTGTAACCAAAGACACAAAATAACCGCTTTTGACTTCGCTGTATCGAATGGTGTACTTTAATGTTGATATGTCTAAGGTGACCCTGGCCTGAACGTTTTACCTCATTCTCGCGAAAGGATAAATAAATGCCACTGCTACACTCCCATAACTCATTGCCAGCCATTACCATTGGATAGAGCCACTTAATCATCACAAATGACGATGTATTGCTCATTGAAAACAATACCCTCTGTGGGATTCTGTCGGAGGGTAGAAAGCAAAGTGTGGTGGTGTCGATGGCTTTGGCCACACGATCATATCTTCGTTTTGAAAAATAAACCAGCCCAACCCTTGGACTAATGTGCCCGAGCTGGACCAGCCCTACGCATGCATACTCCCTTTTGCTACCTCGTGACAATGAGGAAACACACTCGATATTGCCAACACCACAAAAGCCACAACCACGGGTTACTTTTTTTAAATGTTTTTATTTTTTGTCATTAACAGCTCCCGGCACAGTGTGCGCCTCAATATTTTTTGCCAAAATTATCAGCAACAAATATGAAATAATTCTTGTTTTTACCCGTAACTATATAAAGGTCACTTGTTATAATTGTTGGCCTTCTAAAAATCCCAAATAACCTCCAGAGCTCGTTAATAATGCCCCTTGCTTCAACGTGTGCTTCTACTCTTACACCTGAATTCCATATCCATACCCACGTTTACAAAAGCCAAACAGGAAATCGAATTCTCATGCAAAGGTTAAAGTGGACTGATGAATGAGACTGGAATAAGTGATATCAATTCTGTACGAACAAACCAATCAAAATAATTAACAAAATACACACAGTCTAAAACCTACATCATCCTATCATCATTTTTGATCTTTGCAAAGTGTTTTTTTGTTTGTTAGGATATTCACGTGAAATATTGTAAGACATGAAACATCCCCAACTTCAAAATCATGTACACGTTCAAAGAGATTCAGCAAAATTTGGCCCCTTGCATTGAATCTTGCAACGGGTCCATGCCACGAGTCTTGAATGGGTATCTATCGGACCATTTTGCCAGTGTCCAAGATGATGAAAAACAGGATTAGGTGTGACCCTTTCTGGCAATAAAAGAGGTGTTAGGATGTGCAAACACCAAATAGATACCTCTTTGCCAGGCGTCAAGTCTGCAATAACCACATCCACTTGTGGAAAAACATGCAAACATTATCTGATAATATACGCAGTCTTTGAAACCCATTGCATTTCAATGCATAATTATCAGAGCATGTTCATTAGCATGTTTTACCACAAGTTTGTGCGGTTAATGCAGACTTGACGCCTTGCAAAATGTATCTATTTGGTGTTTGCAACATCCTAACACATGTTTCACTGCAAGAAAGTGTAAAACCTAGGGTTCTTTTTCAGAATCTTGAATGGGGTAGTCCACCATCTGCCATTATATTTCTGGCCTAATCATCCTGACACACAGCAGGTGCCCATATCAGACTGAGTCAACTCAGTAAAGACCCGCTGGGTAGAGCCAAATGAAATCATGACAACGATCATTCAGTAGATACGATAGGCTATGGGTTCCTGACTTGGAGCCAGCGAACGCGATGCCTGAGATACAACTCAAAATTATGTTGTGGAAAATGAGGATGTATGAGTTGTGGTCGTTAGCCCGCGCGAAAACTATAACGTCAACCCTGACCTCTAGTCCTTACTCTGATCATTACCCTAAACTGTCAAATATATCTCTGACCACGAGCTTGGCTTCAATACTAGTCTTAACCTTGATCATCGTGCTAAAGTTATATTGAATGGACCAACCTCACTGACTATAATTCCAACAGTAGCTACTAGCCATGACTATAATAACTATAGCCCTTATCCATAGATTTCACCATCTCTGAAGCTACACCTAGGCGTGCACCAATTGCCACTTTTTATATCCCGTTGAATACTAAATACCTGAATTAGATGTTCAAATGCATCAGGATTCAAACCGAATAGTAAAGTCGAGGCAATGTAATGAGAGTAGAGAGCTACAGGCACATGCGGTGAGATATTAGCTACACAAACTTGCGAGAAGCCACAGTGAGAGATGCAGATGAAATAGATACGAGACAAAGGGAGTTACATTGGTGAAGAGAGATGGGTAGAGGTGTAAATTGCGAGAAACATCAAATATAGACACGCAATGATTGAATACTGACATAGAGCCAATATAGGCGTTCACATCAGGTGCGAGATGAAATATCAGAAGAATTACAAGCGTGAGGAAAAGGGCAGTGATACATTCAGATGATGCCAAGGTGCAGACAGACAGAGATAACAGGCACTTGGCTTGAAACATTTTCGAGCATTCAATATTCGGTCAGATCCAAATCTGGGATGGCTATTCGGCACAATAGTAGCTTCTAGCCTTAGCCCTAATTCTACCCCTCACCTGAGTCCTACTTTAACAAAACAAAAAAACCTATTTTCTATTTCACCAGGTAAGGCCAAATGAGCAACATGTTTTTTCACAAGCGGCCTGGCCACAAATGATAGCTCAATGATGTGGCTTATCACGTGGGAATTTATAGCAGCCAAATACTATAAAAGCATGTTTCTAAATGTGGAGGGAAAAACCGGAGGGTCCGGTTAAAAATCCACGCGACCACGGGGAGACACATGCAAACTCCAAATATGCAGATGTCAGCGTCGGGATCGAAACCACGACCTGAAAATCAGGCGAGGTAGTGAACATCTCGTCACCATGACGCCCGTAGGGCACACTCGACTCTTCCCAATTGTGAACTGATGTCCATGTTGACGTGACACCAGTAGTCCATGCCAAGAACAGCAAATACAAGGTGCCATGTCATTTTGCCTTTGCATGACGACACCAGGCCCCGTTTACAATGGGTTGTGTCGTCCAGTTCTAACGACTCATGGGTCAGTACCCTCAGCTGGAGAGATGGTTGATCATCTCACCTTGGGTCGCTCTGTGAAGCATACAATTGCCAGCAGATTTGACGAGACGCAGAGTTTTCCTACGGAGCGCCGTGATCAGTTTCGGTACATTCCACCATGCGGCTAAACTCTGTTCCAAATCCTCCTCCTCCTCTCCCTTACCCTATCCCTCGAGGCCTAAATCGCATGCGCCTCACAGCACGTGAGACGGTTGTGAAGCGACGTAAAGTAATACATGATGGCGATGACGTCCAATCTGGGAAGGCGAGCGCATTCTTGCAGCAGGAATATTGTTGGGTGCCCTGGGGAGAGGTAGTGGTTGGAAAGTGGATGTGATGTTTTACAATTACATTTACCGCAAAAGGCACATAGATTATGATTTACAGGCAAACCTCATGGATTCACATACCAACTACTGTGAAATCTGACTTTGCATTTTTTTACTTTACAGTAATGTTACGTATCTGTGTAGATATAATAAAATATAAAATGCTAAATATAAAATATAGCCATTTATCCCCTTGCATTTGCATATTACACAATATTACATTTTGTAAAACGAATGCACTTTGTTTGTGTTATGTTAAGACTTCATCAGTCACAGTGCTAACATGTCCATATGTCTGGGTGCATTCAAGTGTAAAACAAACATTCAACCACTTGAAAAAAAAAAAGTCAGCTTCCTAATATTTGCAAAGGCCCCAGGCATTAGTGCAAATCGATGAGGTTTCCTTGTAAATACAAATCAATATGTACTAGAACTTTCTCCAGTGTTGCAATAAAACATGGTTTAGTGATCGGCAGGGGTGTTGATGTCACGGCCTGCAAGTCTCCTACCTGACGGTGGCCTGTAACACGGTGCCAAGCTGAACGCAGCTGAACGCAGCTGAACAAAGTTGGCCAGGCCCAGGGCCAACTCTGCTTACCGCTCGTGGCCGTGCAAATGCATTGCCGGTCACCATTCTTCCGGCTTGAAACTCGTCACGGAAATGACACGGTCTTATTCGACCTCTCGCTTTGTTCTTTAGAACTCGTTTAAACGCATTGTCCCTCGGAGACAGCAATATTTGATTCACCACTACCCCCACCTCGGGTTACATGGGGTGGGGGATCTATGGCTCCAATCATAACCGAGCGCCCTGGCCAGCGTCAGAACGCTCACTCTTCCGCGCAGACCTCTCTCCCGTTCACGCTTCACGAGAGAAATGACCGTGCGATTGGGAGTGAATCGCGTTCAAGAAGATTGGTTAAGGTGTACATAAGTCAATTACTGATATATCTTAGCTACTAGAAGTAAACACTAAAAAGCAGGCTCATAATGTCATCACTGTCGATTGGGTGTTGTTCATCTACTACATTTGAAATCACGATGTGAATCAATCAAAATAGAACGTTTTGTTCATTATTGACCCTCATCTGGCAGCTAGAGAGAGGCATTGGTAGATGTGTCAAAGGGAGGCTATGTTGGCCGATGCGCTCGTGAAAGAAGTGGGGTGATGGTATAGCAAAGGTGTGATCTGACAGGAGGCGGGTCGAAGGGTCATGGCAGGAGACAAACGTGGATCATTGTCCATTACAGCTGGGTGTCAATTACAGCAGTACCGCTTGCTATCAAGAGGCACAGTCTATCATGGGCGGCTGCAGCCCATTATAGCAAAGCGTCCTCTGCTAGCGAGGTGCTGCATACTGAAGGAGCGCATTGTCCGTTACAGGAGAGTATTTTGGAGGCTTCGCCCTGTTATAACGAGACATCACCGTTGGGTGGGGAAAGCGCCCTTCGCTAAATAGTATCGAAGCTTCGTCACACGGAGGCAGCTGCCATCGTTTGTTCGTTCGTCAGAGGAAGGTGTCATCAGCCGACGGGGCGTACGAGAAGCCCAGGAAGGCGTCCCCAGCGGCCACGACGCTGCTGCTGACGATGGCCGGGTCCGGCGACCGTCCCACGGAGTTGGGCACCGGTTCCCGCACAAACTCCGGGTCGAAGTGGCGCAGATCCGATGGGCCCGCCTGAACCACGTGGGCAGCACGAATGCGCGCATCGTCACGTTACGAGTTGAAAATAATGAAAACAATCTCTAAGGAGTTAAACGAAACAGCGCGATCACAAAAGAACCACAGGGGAGAGTCCGTTTGTTGTTTTGCTCCAGGTGGATAAGCAGACAGGGTCGTGAACCCGAAGGCTTGGCGGCTATGGCTGGGCGTCAAGACGCGCAAAGATATTCACCAGCTGCGGCCCTCCGTCCGTCGTCATCTTTTGCATCTCTACACACGAGACCAACATGCTCACTTCCAATTCCCTCCTCCTTGGCATTTATTCGGAAGATGACACCAGTATTTCTACATAGAACGCACATTCCAAAACTCTACCGCGCAAGTTGCCAAGTATTACATAAATAACTTAGAGGAATGCCGATGTGGCAGTTTAGCAACTAGCACTTGAATGCGTCTGTGCAGATTTTAGAGGGTTTATCACCTCTCGTCTGCATGGGTTCTTTCTGGGTACTACCGTTTCCTCCCAGAAGCCAAACATCTCAATGGAGGACCATCCTGAAAAGTCCTAAGACACAACGAGACTTGCCTGGACGAATAAAGAGATTTATAGATATTATTACACGAGTATAAATTATGATATTGGGCATCACGGTGGCGAGATGTTAATTACCTCGCCGGGAAAACAGGAGGACGTAGGTTCGATCCCGACCCAAACCGCCTGTATATTTGGACTTTGCGTGTCTCTCTCTCCCCGTAATCACGTGGATTTTTCTCCGGGATTTCCGATTTTTCCATCCACATTTATAAACATGCGTTCAGAGTATTTGGCTGCGAAACATTGACACGTGATAAGCCACTTCGGTGAGTTATCATTTGTAATAGCCAGCTCGCTTCTGAAAACGAGCTATACAAGCTCAGTCGGTCTTACCTGGTAATATAATAATAGTTTAGTTTTATAGTTTGTATTATTTAACACCAATGCGCTCCATAAGGTGACCGATAGGAGACATGGAGGTTGCAAACAGCAGGAGACTGAGGGCAAAACCCTGACAGACTCCGCACGAGAGCTTTGGTTTCTCCGGATGAAGACTCCCCGCCCCCGCCCCCCCCATACTCTGACCGAGAAACTGCTGAGAGGTCAGATGGTTGTAATGGAGCTGGGACACTTCTGTCGGGGTCAGATTCCAGAAAGGGAAAAAAAAGTACTCGCAATTACCTCGTGACGCCTTCCGAGGCGTTCATCGCGAAAGCAGTGCACGCTAACGCCAAGTTTAGTACGACGCTGCAGAGTTACAGTGACAAAAAAAACCATTCCAAGGCTGTCGCTGTCACCGAGCTGCGGAGGAGCTGTAAATACTCTTGGTTTTTTCGGTAAAGTCACGTAGGTAAAAAATTAAATGAAAAAACAACCAAATAATTTAGCTGTGACGGTTCCACCTGAAGACGGAAGCTTGTGTTGCCTCCGAAACGTCGTGATTTAATTTAGTTGTTTTTCATTTAATTTTTACCGAAAAAACCAAGAGTATGAATCCTTGCAGTCACGAAAACTTCAAATCTAGAGCTGTAAATACTCTGTGGACGACGGTGGGCACAGTTGGGAGGGCGTGGCGACAGCTTCCACACGCATGGAGTTGTTCTCTTATTCAGCCCGAGACCTGGTCCGGCTCGATAAAAGAAAACGGCTCGCCTGACGTTTTTCTCGCTCGCTTGTGCTGGGACACATACCACGTCTGGATTGTATGGGGGCGTGATGCGCCTGGCGTAGAGGTCGTCCCAGTTGATGGAGGAGAAAAACGCGTGGTTCTTGATCTCCAGCTGCATCGACAAAGAAAACGAGAGAGAGAATGGGCATTGAGGGCAAGCCGCAGCAGCAGCAAACGTCAGAGCCAGCAAACGGCGGGATAGTCGGTAAGAATACCCAGGTGATTAGGCAGTGGTGGTGGTGGTGATGATGTGGAAGAGGTATTGAGGATCTAATGAGAAGAGGTGTTGGTGCAGCGGTAGATGTCATGAATGGAGGTGGTGAAGTGGAAGTAAGGATGTGGTAGAAAGATGGAAATGGCGAGAGGAGGATGTTGTGATAATGTATTGGCGAGGTGTAGATGGTGAGGCGGTGGTAGAGATGGTGAGGTGTAAATGGTGAGGTGTAGATGGTGAGGTGTAGATGGTGAGGTGTAGATGGTGCGGTGTAGATGGTGAGGTGTAGATGGTGAGGCGTAGATGTTGAGGTGTAGATGCTGCTGAGGTGTTGATGGTGAGGTGTAGATGGTGAGACGTAGATGTTGAGGTGTAGATGCTGCTGAGGTGTAGGAGCTGGTGAGGTGTAGCTGGTGAGGTGTAGCTGGTGAGGCGTAGATGTTGAGGTGTAGATGCTGCTGAGGTGTAGATGGTGAGGTGTAGATGGTGAGGTGTAGATGGTGAGGCGTAGATGTTGAGGTGTAGATGCTGCTGAGGTGTTGATGGTGAGGTGTAGATGGTGAGACGTAGATGTTGAGGTGTAGATGCTGCTGAGGTGTAGGAGCTGGTGAGGTGTAGCTGGTGAGGTGTAGCTGGTGAGGCGTAGATGTTGAGGTGTAGATGCTGCTGAGGTGTAGATGGTGAGGTGTAGATGGTGAGGTGTAGATGGTGAGGCGTAGATGTTGAGGTGTAGATGCTGCTGAGGTGTTGATGGTGAGGTGTAGATGGTGAGACGTAGATGTTGAGGTGTAGATGCTGCTGAGGTGTAGGAGCTGGTGAGGTGTAGCTGGTGAGGTGTAGCTGGTGAGGCGTAGATGTTGAGGTGTAGATGCTGCTGAGGTGTAGATGGTGAGGTGTAGATGGTGAGGTGTAGATGGTGAGGCGTAGATGTTGAGGTGTAGATGCTGCTGAGGTGTTGATGGTGAGGTGTAGATGGTGAGACGTAGATGTTGAGGTGTAGATGCTGCTGAGGTGTAGGAGCTGGTGAGGTGTAGCTGGTGAGGTGTAGGAGCTGGTGAGGTGTAGGAGCTGGTGAGGTTGTAGGTGGTGGTGAGGCGAGGAGCTGTGGAGCAGGACGTACAAAGTCTGCGACGGCGCCCAGGCGCAGGTGCTTCTCCTTGTGCAGGAGACGGTCCAGGACGTCGCGGGCGGGCGCTGCCAGACCCGGACGGAAGCGCACCGGCCGGTGCAGGATGCTGTCGTACATCTCCGCAGTGTTGCGGCTGTAGAATGGGGGCTACGGGGAGGGGGGGGGGGCACGGCGGGGATGGAGGGGACGTTAGACGAAGGGTCCGGGACTTGGAGAGAAGCAGCGGAGGGATGCGAGCGGCCGAAAGTGGGCGGAGGAGTTATGCACGCGGAGAAAAGGGTGGTACAAGGGAGGTCCCCGCTATATACAGATAGTCCCCGACTTACGATATTTCGATCTTACGATGGTGAGAGCGATACGACAAAATTGTAAAATATTTGAAATTTCGCGCGGCAGGCAAACGCAGCAGCGTACGAGGTACGATACTGCACTTTATCATCGCCATCCTCCTCTTCCGATAACTAAATTAATGTAGCCATCAACAACCTAACATCGTTCAAGTACGCAGACGACGGACAGAATCTTGGTGAGTACAAGACAATATGATACGTTACGATACGTTCAATGCATGTGTGATACGTAGCTTTAGCAATTTCATTTTAGGGTTACCACGATACGATACGTTCAATGCATGTTATAAGTTTTTATAGCAGATAGGATTGTTTCCTGAGAAAACTTTCTTTAATTTGCAGTTCATATCGGTAGGCTGAGAATTGACCTTGTTTTTACTTTACATTTTACTGTGCAATACAGTATTGTAATTAATAAATACATACAGTATATAGTTTATACAGTACGGTACTGTACATTTCTCTGTTTTGCTAAATTATTACCATTCTTTAAGACTCCTGGGTAAGCGAGGCCATCTTTGACTTACGATATTTTTGACTTACGATGGGGTCGTCGTAACGCATCTCCATCGTAAGTAGAGGACTGCCTGTACGTCGTCTCGATATGCGCCGCCCATCGACGGTTTCACAGATTTCGGGCACGACTTTGCTTCAAGAGCGTAAACATAGAGGGAGAGTCAACAAGTGGCCCACACCTTCTCCAACCAAGCACAACTCATCCACTCCTCAAGGTGACATCATACAAATGATGGAAGTGGTAAAATATTTTTTAAAATGCCGTTTAAGATTGTTTGACAAGTCTCAATGCTGTTTGAAGGTTCTTGAACTCAGAATTGGTTATAAATGCGTGTGTTTGTATACAGTACGTCTTGTACAATATAGCATGTACAGTACCTGCTTTTCTGTACATGTACAGTATGTATTGCGGTTGCTTGGTATGAAACCCAACATTTCTCCAAGTTGCGGTCCCTATCCCTACCTTATTCCATTGCTTCTAATGGGAGAAACTTCCCCATTTTGCGTTGCAAAGGCAATGTTTACGCACTGTACGGTCCCTATCCCCACCCATTAACATGTATCCCTATGGGGGAAAAGTCCCCGTTATACGCCATTTTGGGAAACGTCGCAACTTTCCGGTGCCTAACCTCGACGTATATCGGGACCCCCCCCCCCCGTATATGACAGAGAGGAGAAGAGAATGATGATGAGCAGTGGTGAGAGACAGAGAGAGAGAGTGCACCAGGCAAGGAATAGGGAGCTTGGTGAGAAACAGAAGAAACGCTTTGGCGAGGCTTCTCGTGACGCGTGGGACTATGATGGCTGGCTCTAGTCTGTGCTAAACTCTGCACTCCCATCCGCGATGGAGCCGGGTTCTCCTGTCTCAAAGGTTGTATGGCTTTAGCCTCGTCACCAGTGGTGCACACAAAGATGTAAAAAAAAAAGGTGTAACGTTTGAATAAAGTGAACAACACGTTTTTATTGACACGGTGTGGCCGCTTGATATTATATTTGATTACATAAACAGATAACATTCAATTACTCCCAGTGGCTTTAAACTGAATGACTTTTAAATATCACGGCCACTGATTCAAAAGCACAACATGTCTGAAAATGTGTTTACGAGGTTGTGCGTTCAGCCACGTGTTGTGAAGGAAGAGTGGAATATTGTGAAGATGATGATGAAGAATATTCAATTCAGATATGACAAAGAGCATTGCGTTGAGCACTTGCAGTGATTGTGCAGGAAATTCCACCTTGCTCTGAGGGACTCATTGCGCAGATAAAATGTGATACCAGAATGATTTCTGTGCTTAATCAGACCTCCTTTGCCAGTACCAAAATATAATAATAGGGGTTTTCCCCTTTTTTCTGGCAACAAAACTGAAACCTTTTTACAAGGATTCATGCCTGCATTCACCTCAATACTTGCAGTCAAAATGCAAACAAAAACACACCATGATAATATATGCATTGTCTTTGAAACTGATTGGTCCAAACCAAGGGATGGCTTTCTTTTGAGCCTCGACCCGATTTCTGTGCTGTCATCATCAGCCTCATCATCATTCATTTTCAGCGCTGCCATCGCTACGTGCTAAAATGCCTCTCTGCGGCCAGCACGAAGTTTGTAGTGACGCCTGTGCATTGCGAGGACTCGACTCGCGTACGCGGGACGTAGTTAATACACCGGTGATTGCTGTGTTAGGCCAGGCGGTGATCTCACCGAATCTGAGTGATAAACCCTCCACCGCCCGATTGTGATTGTGTCAGCTCTTCCTCGACAATCAAGCCTATTCATGAGATGCGCAGCGTTTTGCTTGAGCAAGCGTAAAGCATCTTTAGCAGGAGTCAGAGTCACCGTGTCACCTGACTCGACTTCCCTAATAGGTTCCATAACCCTCACAGGAATAACCAATCACAATTAAACCCGATATTAAGCATTACAGAGAAATGGATTCTAATTTCATCATAATTTATCGGGGCCAATAATTGACATTGTATGCATTACAAAATTGTCCATAAAACAAAACTAGACTAAAAACGATTTTTATTCTACCAGAGAATTGTATTTTATTATGTTTTTTTATTATTTTATTATTTCCCTTCTACGTGACTTTACCGAAAGAACCAAGAAGACGAACTGGTTGAGAGGGTGCGGAGGGCGACGGTGCGGGTAGTTCTCACCAGGCCATGGATCATCTCGTACAGCACCGAGCCCAGGCACCACCAGTCCACCGTGCGGTCGTACGGCAGCTTCTGGAGAACCTCCGGGGCGAGGTACTGCAACGTCACCAGGCCCAGAAATAAATCACACGCTGCGCCAGCAAATGCCACTGTCGACGTGCAGTGTCCGAGGGATGCATTCGGATTTTAGGGAACAATTTTCGATATTTTTGGATGATTTATTCAGTATACTTGTGTAACATGTCTGCGTGTTAACAACGGTGGACCTCACCCGGAGCCAGGTGATGGAAAAATGGTCTTCAGGTCAAATCGACACGATATTTATTTTCTGGATCGTCCAAAACTTCATATCTAGGCCATATTTTTCCAACTTTTCATATTCATCTGAAAATCAGGAGCACATCCCTAATGGTGTCGTACATGGTGTGTGGCGTATGGTTTTATCTGGCATGTAGAGAAAGCTAAGACATCCATGCAATTGCCTTTTAACTATCCAAAGAATGAGAATTGGAACAGGTGACAAGGCCTTTGCGGTTGCAGCACTAAGTTTTGTTTCCTCCCTGAACATGATAAATCTTCCTTCAAAATTTGTTTTACTGAAGCAGAAGGTTGGTGCTGGATACAGCCACATTTACAAATGTGATTTTGAACTTTGATCCTTACCAGTGCAGTATCGATAGGTCAATGTCAATGTGCCGTTTTATTGAGGTACTACTACTGCTGTGGTGTGTTGTTATCTTGCCGTGGTCTGGGACTGTTGTTTTTGTTGTTTTGCTGCCTTGCCCAAGCTTGCATTTAACGTTGAGAAATCGGCAGGACTTGATAAACTTTTGCGATTGTACTCATAGATTTTATTTGTATTTGTTTATCTTCTTGGTTCTTTCTGTAAAGTCACGAAGAAGGGAAGTAATAAAATAATAAAAATAAAACATAATAAAATAAAATAATTCTCACGACGTTTCGGCTACAACGCAAGCAGCCGTCTTCAGGTGAAGAATGAGACACTGCCAAGCTAGGAGCTTATATATAAGCTGCGTTGGAGGTGGAAGAAGAGCGCCTTAACAAAAGAATGTGCATATGAAGAGGAATTTAGCATATTCATGTAAAATGCGTAGGAGGTGGGCGGGGGGGTTTCAAAGTCATATTATGCCCATGCATTATGCAGGATCAACAGCACCAAGGGGGGTGCAGGGATTAGCAGTAACAAAGGAAAGGAATGTTAATGATATGTAGCTGCAGTTACTCAACAACCACGTAGAAAACTAAAGTATAAACTACATAAAAAACTGAAGTATAAATTGCATAGCACCATCAGTATACTTACTATACTCTACAATAAGCTGAGTTACTAACAGCAAGTAATACATTACAATTCTACGTCGTAAAAATTATATAATATGCTTCCATCTAAACTTTATTCTATTGCATCACACGAGCATATACCGTACTATATACTGCCAACATTAAATTATATACTGTATTGCTGTAAACCAACCTATACCTTATACATTTAATATAACACTATGTATTATTCTACCCACCCTAATGTGTGTCGAAATGGTTTATTACGTCCTTCCAATGATTGCTAAGCCAGAATCCATCTTCTCGGTTAAAATTGTCTCTGTGTTTGTATATGTGGATCGCCTCATGAATGAATCTCTCATGATAGCCAGATGGCTTGCAGAGAACCTCTGTCTTGGAGAAGTCAATATCATGTGAGCCCACTGAGTTGTAACAGTGATCTGCCACGGCTGAGGTGTTTGTCCCACCGTGTTTCAGGTCAGCTTTATGTTCACGGATGCGGTCCGAGACATGTCGTTTGGTTTCCCCAATGTAACTGCTACCACAGAGGCAACTTAGTTTGTAGACGCCAGGGTACTGTATGTCTGGAACCACATCTTTTACAGACGGTACCAGATCACGGATTTTATGTACTGTGTTGAATCGGACCTGGATCTTGTGTTTAATCAGGATTTTGGAGATCTTTTTTGTGACCCCAGAAATGTAGGGTAAGGTGATGGTCTTGAAAGGCTCCTCAACAGGATCCTTCTTGATGGTTGGAGTGATGGCTTTGCGGATTGTGTAGTCGGAGTAACCATTAGCCTTAAGAGCTTGGCGTACGTGTTTGAGTTCACTGGCAATGTGTTCATGGTCGGAGATGCATTGGGCTCTATGATATAGAGTCTTGATGAGGGAATTCTTCTGGGATGGATGGTGGTGGGAATCCGGTTTTAGGTAAGAATCCGTATGGGTGGCTTTCCTGTAGACATAGTGGCTCATTGAACCATCAGGTCTCCTTTTGATTAGGACATCCAAAAAGGGTAGCTTGCCATCTTTTTCGACTTCCATGGTGAATCTGATGGCTGGGTGTATGGAATTGATGTGGTAGAGAAATTGGTCTAGAGCAGGCCGGCCATGTGGCCAGATGACAAAGGTGTCGTCTACGTACCTCTTCCATAAGGTCGGGCGTAGAGTGGCAGTCTGGATGGCGTCAGTCTCAAATTTCTCCATGAAGATGTTGGCTACAACCGGAGATAGGGGGGAGCCCATTGGGGTGCCCTCAGTTTGCTTGTAGAAAGTTCCATTCCAGGTGAAGTATGTATTGGTTAAACAGTGTCTCACCAGGGGGGGTACCCCAGCATTCAGTCCTTGATGAACCAAGTCTTCAATGATTGCGATGGTGTCAGGTACAGGAACCTTGGTGAATAAGGAAACCACATCAAAACTGGCAAGCAGGTCGTCTGGGGACAGGGCAATCCCCTTGATTGTCGATACCAGGTCAGTAGAGTTTAGTACCGCAGAGGTGGTTTTTCCAGTGAAAGGCCGTAGGATTTCAGACAAAAAACGAGCCAATTTATAGGTGGGGGAGTTGATAGTAGAGACAACGGGACGAAGAGGTGTATCTTCTTTATGTGGCCTGGCTGCAGAAGGTTTCAACGAGAACTGTTTGGTCTGATCAATTAATGCGGTTGAATCAGAAATGATTTGCTTGGTTTTAGAGACGAGGCTGTTGGTGGGGTCTCTTTTTATTTTTGTATAGCTGCCATCGTTGAGTAGTTCTTGGATTTTGTTGTTGTATTCTGTTTTGTCCATGATGACAGTGGCATTGCCTTTGTCGGCTGAGAGGATGACAATGTCATCCCTCTTTTTTAATTGAGCTAATTCAAAACGCTCATCTTTGCTAATGTTGCTAGCTGGCATCTTAGCGTTTTTGAGGGTTGCAGAGATTTCAGATCTTGCTACGTCTGCAGCGATGTGACTCAAGCCCTTGAGAGCTACATCTACTCGAGCAATTATATCATTAACTGGTATGTGTCTAGGTGTGACTGCAAAGTTTAGTCCTTTAGCTAAAACGGATTTCAGACCTTCAGAAATAGAAATGTTACTGCGATTAATTACGACTTTGTTAACATCTAGCTACTACTCAACGATGGCAGCTATACAAAAATAACGCGTTGTTCTTCAGGAAGGCAACGAAAACTACCGCCGTGTACAGAGGGGGGGGGGGGGGGGGGTGAGGCCCTGCCATTCACCTCCGGGGTGCCACAGAAGGTGGAGGTGGTGTCCTTGGGCTCGATGCCCTCTTTGCACAGCCCGAAGTCCGTGAGCACGATGTGGCCCTGCGCAGCGCACGGAGAACGCACGGAGACACGAGCCTGAAGCTCAACCGTAGGCACGCATCATCCCGGCCAGCAGACGCGCGGCGCTGTGGTGCCAGAGGTACAGTCATCAATGATCCGGCGGCTTTGGGGACGTCCATAAATGACGTCATGCGATTTTGAAGGATTTTTGACCCCCCCTCCCCTCGTCACACGGCGTCACAAAAAGTCAGACCCCCCCCCTCAAATATGACGTCACAAAGCTCTGCCCCCCCCCCCAGAAAAAATAAAACATGCTTCAAATCGCTTTAAACTATTGTCATTGTAGTGCGTATTTAATGTGCCGCTGCAACTCTGATGTTGTAGGAGAAAACATTTATTAAAAAAGTCTATTTAATTAAGTAGAACGTGTTGTCTATGTGACGTCACATTTCTCAAACCCCCCCCCCTCGTCACACATCGTCACAAATGTCTGACCCCCCCCCCCCCAGGTACGTGACGTCATTTATGAACGGCCCCTTTGGGGGTAAAGGGAGCGCCAGATTTAAAAAAATGCCAGGTAATCACTACTTATTATTTAAAATAGCTTATCTTTGCAAATTATTGGATAACATTACGTCTTTAGGTGCTGTGTATACGTTCTTTTAGTGTTTTTAACGTGTTTACTACGTGAAATAAATAAACGTTAAAAAAATTACGAGAACAAATATCCTCCTGTAAAAAGTTACTGTAATAATCACTGTACTGTACTTGCCACTCCAATCTTGAAGACCGTGCATGGATTGATGATAGGGTGTGCATAAATTGGACCCTGAAATCAAGCACAGCTACTTTTTTGAGATGCACGTGGTGCCGATCACAGGATTGGTACAGCCTTGGGAGCGGTTTTTGGCAGTATTCGCCTGATTGGCCCGGGACCGCCGGATAATGTTGGAAGCCGGATAAAAATAATAATCGATGATCGACTGTAAGTAGAACTTCTTTCACACCACCGTACGCAGTCAACCAGCCGCTGCTAATCGGAGGTGCGGGGGAAGGACGTAAAACTAGACACCAAAGAGCCGTTGATAAAGAAATACATTTTCAATTTAGATGCAACGGCCCAGCCCCGGCAAAGTCTCGGCGAATGGTGGCGCCCTCATCGTGCAAGCAATGGAAACACTCAATGAGGAAACTGGGGGTGTGTTTGCAAAATAGAAATTGCCCTTGGTCAGCTTCCACCCCACGTCACTATTACTTCGCATTCTAGATTCTGTTTTGGGTTTTTCGGTAATTTGTTAGCCGCGCTTACGAGTCACGCTTAAGGACATCTGCTCTGACATTTGTTGTCAAGCAGCTGTCATCCCTCCATCGCCACGCAGTCGCCTTTGTGGCTCGGCTTACCATTGAAAGCGAGGCTCTGAAGCCTCAATGAGTTATCGGCTTGTTGAGTGGAGGATATGTCTGTAACGTGTTTGCTGTCCTGCCTCGCACCACTGTGAGACGCTGGGTAGTGCTTATCCACATACACGAACTATTTTTACGATTTAAATTTTAACAGGTAAGGCCCACGACTGAGCTGTATAGCTCTTTTTCAGAAGCGTCTGGCCACAAATGTTAGCCCAATGAAGCGGCTTTTCACGTGGATATCTATAGCAGGGAAAACCCGGAGGACCTGGAGAAAAATCCATGCGCCCACGGAAAATATGCAAACACCAAATATGCATGCAACAACCTCCTGTATACCAGGTGAGGTAGTTAACATTTCACCACCATGGCGCTCCACAGCTCAAAGTGTAAATTGCACATTCCTTTGGCAGGCTTTGTCCCATCCTTAACAAATCCTGGGAGGGATGGGATAGCAATGACGATGATCCAATGTGTCTGAGTGAAGTTTAATTGGTCCGAGGCGATTTGTCCATTTAATAGATCATTCCCAACACTTGCTCATCTTCTCTTATAATAAAAAAGAAAAACTGAAAACATACCTTTGAGTCGAGGAGGATGTTCTCTGGCTTCAGGTCTCTGCGAAAGTCAAGGGTGTCAGATGCGATTTATTTAATATAAAAACATGAAACGGTCAAAACAAAGGTGCACATTCATCAAGGCTACAGCATTTATTTTGTCACTTGCTAGAACGAGTCTTGTCTTTCTACGTTTGGGTTTGCATGTTGTATTATTACGTGTGTGTGTGTGTGTGGTTAATCTGAGAGTAGTTGCGCGCTGTGTAAGTCAATGTTGCCAGGAGTTCCCTCATCAGCTTTGCGCGGTGTTACTGTGATCTCTGTGTCTGTGTGCAGTTCGTTTTCGCGTCTCCATCCCCTCCATGCCAGCGGCGGGCCTCCGAACAGCACACAGTTCATGTTTCAGCAGTCCGGGTGTGGGTCATTCGTACGTAAATCATAGCGGAATAATCTACAGCTCTTTGTCAGTCCACTGCTATGCGCGTCATGGGCAATGTTGGACCGTACTTCACCGCGCTGGTCAGTGCGGAGTAGGGGGCGACTACTGTGTGTTGTTGTCTTGGTGTGTTCTACGACTGTTGTTGGTGTTTGCACTCTTAACGTGTTTTTGCAATGTTTTTTTTCTAATTTTCGAACCCTGCTCCCCGACTGGACATCTGTGAAAAAGAGCTTCATAGCTCATCGGATTTCTCCAGGATACATCAAGATGACCATTCTGAGGTTACAGTCCAGCCTCTTTGTCGGGGAGCGGATTCCTTCGTGTCTCAGCCGGCACCGTGGAATGGGCGCAAGTAGGCGAGGCTGGAGGCCGGACCGCAGACAGAGCGGCCCCAAAGCCTGACGGCGCTTTCTTGACACCCTGGAGGCACGGCCACGGCCAGGCTTCCTGCGAACGGTGGCCTGGGCGAATACTCTTGACTTAGCGAGTAATCCTCTGGTAATAACCCCGTCACTTGTCAACATGCCTTGATTTGCTCGTCTCACTCTTGCCCATTATTGGCACAAATACTAATTGAGGCTGATGCTGGTGAAATGCTAAGGGGGGGGGGGGGGAGGTGGGGGTTTGACAGCATCGGTTCAGAAATCACTCGTGACCGATGTTAGACGCGGCCCGGAATCAAACTCAGAGGGTTGCCCGCTTAGTAGCGTAGTGTGCCAAACCACCGTGACACCGCTCCCCCACCCCGCACCACTAGCTACTGCCCCTCGTAGAAGGTGTCACGCACTCGCCCGCTGCAATGTAACCACCCTGCAAGTCACGCTGGACGTCCACGGCGCAGCAGCAGCAGCAGCGTGCACGCGGCAAGCACCTGTAGACGATGTTGAGCGAGTGCAAGTGGCCGATGGCGCTGGCGATCTCCGCTGCGTAGAAGCGAGCCCGCTGCTCCGAGAAGCATCTCTCCCTCTGCAGGTGCAGGAACAGCTGGTTGCCGCAGACACGCGCAAGTTCACACACACGCACACAGTTATACAGTCATACAGGTACCCAACAACAAAGGTCCCCCATATAGCCTATAACAGACTGTTGGGGCAAGTGCTGTCTGAAGGCCGGGATGGCAAGCACGACGCCTGGCCGCCTTTGTCTCCCCAGTGGTTATGCTTACACACTGCACCGGGTACTCATTTGAGGCTGAGTCGACCTAGGAGATGCCCAGGACCGGTCCAGATAATCGTCACTAATGTTGGCCGTGAGCGCAGTGCGCTAACCGCTGCACCACTGCTCACCCACGCCCACACAAGCAGACATGTAGATGCACGCACAGTCATAGAGACATTCAGGAACACACAGGCCAAAGACAAAGATCCCCCTATAGCCTTTACAGACTGGTGGGGAAAGTGCTGTTAGTGAGCACCTATTAAAGCTGAAATGGCACATGAGGGGACTTGCATGGCCTGCACCATGCCTGGCTGCTTTTATTTCCCCAGTGCTCCTTGTTTTCCCACCACACTAGCTACTGATATCAAGCTAAGTGGGGGAGCACGAGGTATCATTCGGCAATGATGTCAGCCTTGGCCGGGAATCAAACTCGGGCCACGGGGATTGTTATCGCAGTGCGCTAACCAGTGTGCCACCGCTCCCACAGGGGCCCAGGCACGCACGTGCAGATGTCCACGCACTAACGGGCCCGTGCTGTTTGTTTCTTGCAGTGATTCTGTTTGGATTTTGTTACCATTTGTGTTCCGACTGTGCCACGTAAAATCCGTTTCCCGAGGCAGAGGAACGTTGCAGAACTCCGATCGTCAGCAGGCTCACTTGGCGCGCAACGACTCCGACGACGGCAACAACTGCGAATCTATTTCTAGAGCCACTTCCAATGGCATCTCTTCCTGCCAAAGAATGTTGGCCTTGCAAGAATGTGTGCCACATCACTTCAAAAGGTATGTCAACTTTACCCAGCGGAGGCGAACTAGATTCATTCATAAATCACCTTCCTTTCCATATGGCCACGTACAAATGAACACGTCTAAGTCTATTGGCCTGTTGCTCTTAGCCTGGTCAATGTTAATCGGAAGCATTTGTGTTGGCGGGCAAAATTCCTGGAGGCGGATTAAACAAATGTTGCCGGCGTTTGTATTGCTATTGGCAAATGTACCACCCAGGGATGCTCCACTACAGTGCATGGTAAACTAGTTTGGGAAAAGTGAGAAAGGTAATTTAGCCGATTGGATGTTTTGCAGCCTGATAAGAAGGTTTAAACCATCCAATTCCTCCCTGCAACGTGAAAACTGGTTCGGTCAAGGTGCCTGGAATGGAGCCCAGAGCCCAGGATCTTGAGTTGTGCCGGCCCCCCTCCTACACCACTGTTGTAATCTTTTTTAAAAAATGTTTTTTTTTAACAAAACAATTCACATACCTGTCAACCCATACGGTTTGCCCCGTATTCTCGTACAGGGAAATTGAGTTTTCAGATCTATACGGCGTACAGCCGTTTCAATACGAGCAAAAAAAGTTGCCTATTTGTTTGTGTTTCTCCCTTGCGATGGGACTTTGTAGGATGAACGTTGATATGTATAAGGGGCACGGGGTGACCAATAAGGTCTGAATTAGTCAGTAATAAGGCAGGGGCACTGATAAGGGGTTGACAGGTATGGATTCAGGTACATAACAGAGGATATGGAAGGAGGTTGACACCAGCACATTCACGGATTAACAGTGCAATGGAAACCTGTCCAAACAGCATGTTTCAATAAACTCTACAACCCTGGTGTCTCCCTGAGCCCTGGTACCCCTGTTGTGATCTCCACCCGCCTGCGTGAGCAGCGTGCGGTGGGCAGCCGTCACGTCACAGCACGGGCGCACGCTCCGTTCGGTCACCAATTACCCGGCTCTCAGGATTATTACGCTATCATTTGTGTATGAGAACCTCGCTCTCACTCACAATGCGAGTGAGCAGTGCCACCCCATCGACTCGGCGTTTGGACCAGAAGTCACTTGAAGAAGGGATGCCAAGGGTAGCTCTGTCATATCCACTTCAGTGGGCCGCTCTCTCGCACGGAGGGCCGCACTGCTGTGCAAATGTTCAGAATTTGGGGCTTCTTCTGTCGTGACGCACCGCAGATTGCACTTACCGGGACACAACTGGCGATAGAGACAACAACGATTGCTCGGATACAAAGGGCACGGACGTGAGGGCGAGCGTTCGTGCCTTGCAGCTGTGCGAGTGAGTGAGGGCTCCAGGTGGGCACACGTGTGGGAGCGTGCTTGTGCTTCGTGTGCGCAATTGACGGCACTCGACTGCGTGCGTGTGCGTGTAATGCGACACTGCACACAAGTGCCTTCCCGCAGGTAGGCGGCGGCGGCGGCGTTGTGCGCTAACGTGAGCGTGTGAGCGTCAGCGTCTGTGCGCGTGACGCGTGAGCGAGCCAGCGGGTGGGTGGACGCACGAGCGTGCGCACACATACCTCTCCGCCGTTGACGTAGTCCAGGATGAAGTAGAGCTTGTCGGCCGTCTGAAAGGAGAAATGTAGCCCCACCAGGAAGGGATGCTTCACGTTCTTCAGCAGCACGTTGCGCTCCGCCATGATGTGCTTTTGCTGCGAAGGCACGAGGCGTCGAGGAGACCGTCAACGGCGGCCTCGCGGTGGTGGGGCACGGGCGCCCCGTGCCCACGCGCCTGCGTAGCGAGGCCCAGGTGCGATGAGGTCGGGGGTTGTGAATGACACCGACTGTGCGTGTGTGCGTGTGTGTGCGTGTGCGTGTGTGCGTGCGTGTGTGTGTGTGTGTGCGTGTGCGTGTGTGCGTGTGCGCGTGTGTGTGTGCGTGTGTGTGCGCCAGAAACAACAAAAAACCATTGCGGATGGCCACGTGGAATGTTCGAACGCTCACTGCGGAGGAGAGGCTGCCACTCCTCTGTCGGGAGCTGGACCGGTACCGCCTGGATCTCTGTGGCATTCAGGAGGTCCGGTGGACCGGTTCTGGCTCCTGCCACCATGAGGGGTGGACAGTCCTCTACTCGGGGCAGGAGACTGCCAAACAACAGGGTGTGGCTCTTCTTCTGAACAAAAGAATGAAGGGGGCGTGGGAGCGTGGCGGTGAGGTGTGGGAAGCTGTAAGCCCCAGGATACTTTGGGCTCGCCTTCCCATCAACCAGAGGCGAGGAGTGGTGGTCGTGGTTACTTATGCCCCCACCGAAGACGAACATCCGTGGAGGGATGCAAGCAAAGCCGATGAGTCAGACGCTTTCTATGACCTCCTGTCACAGGTGCTGGCTAAAGTGGCCACTCGGGACAGAGTCATCTTGTTGGGTGACTTCAATGCCCGAGTTGGTCATGATGCTGACACCTGGTCTGGAGTGATTGGAAGGCATGGGCCAGATCAGCTCAATAATAACGGTAGGAGGCTGCTAGATTTTTGTGCAGCCCATGGGCTTGTAATTACCAACACGCTCTTCCGGCATCGGCGCATCCACACAACATCATGGTTACATGCCGGGTCCAAGCAAGAACATCTGCTGGACTACATAGTGACGGACCAGCGGATGCGAACCCATGTCCTTGACACCAGGACCTACCGTGGAGCTGATCTGTCCTCTGACCATCGACTAGTCATCTGTAAGATGCGCCTGCCTTTCTTCCACTCCGGTGGTGGGTGTACACCCAGGATCCCATTCCAACCAAAAGTGGCCTGGTCTCAGTTAGCTGATGAAAGTTGCAAGCGAGAATTTCATCATCGCTTGCAGCTGGGGTTGGCATCGTCCCCCACTCCACCTGATGTCGAGGGTAAATGGGCGAGGTTTAAGACTGTGACTCATGCAGCTGCAATGGCTGCTTTGGGTACGCGGTCCAGACCTCCCCAGAAACCCTGGCTGACAGAGGAGGTGTTCAGGTTAATTGAGAAAAAGCGACAGGCCCACTCTCATCGCCTACAGCATCCCACGTCAGAGAATGAGGAGGTTTACCGCAGCCTTCGCTCGGAAGTTCGGAGAGCCGTAAGGCGTTGTAAGGATGGGTGGTGGTCGCGGGTTGCTGAGGAGATGGAGTCTGCCTCAGTGGCCCGTGATCACAAATCACTATTTAACTCCATCAAAAAAGTAACCTGCAGCGCCACACCTATTACCATCATTAGAGGAAAAAACGGTGATCCAATCTCCGACCCCCAGGAACAGGTTTGCAGATTTGCTGAGCATTTCTGTGAGGTCCTGGGGGAGGGAAATTCTCTCAGCCAGGAAAACATCATGGCACAAAGTGGGGATAACCCTGCTGAGGCTGCGGTGCCTCAAATATTGGAAGAGGTCACCCCCTGTGAGTGGCTGGCTGAGGTTCCAGCTGTTGAGGAAGTACTGAGGGCGATCCGGAGTCTGAGACCAGGGAAGGCACCGGGCAGAGATGATCTCCCAAGCGAAATGCTGAGGGAGGGTGGCGTTTGTGCACAGACTGCCCTATATGACATCATAACAACAGTCTGGACCACTGGACGGGTTCCACAGGACTGGAAGGATGCCCTGGTGGTCCCCCTCTTTAAGAAGGGGGACCGCACAGACTGTAACAACTACAGGGGCATCTCACTCCTCAGTGTGCCGGGTAAGGTCCTGGCAAGGATTATTCAACATCGCCTTGCTAGGCACGCTGAGGAGGGGCTTGCGGAGCCCCAATGCGGTTTCAGGAAAGGGCGGTCCTGCACAGATGCCATATTTTCTGTCCGTCTGCTACAGCAGAGGTGTAGGGAATTCCAAAAAGACCTACATCTCTGCTTTATTGACCTGGTCAAGGCCTATGATACCATCAGTAGGACTGGACTCTGGGTTGTTCTTCGTGCTTTAGGAGTCCCTGACCCTCTGCTCACGATCATTAAGGACCTTCATGATGGTGAGCGGGCCCGGGTAAAACTACGTGGCCGGGAGTCGGAGCCTTTCCCTGTACACCTTGGGGTGCGACAGGGATGTCCTCTGGCTCCCACATTATTTAACATCTATTTTGACCGCGTAGTTCGTGAAGCCTTCAATAGCTGTACCGGGGGAATTTCCGTTTGGTACAGATATAATGGGAGGCTGATCGACGCCCGGGTGCGATCAAGGGATGGCTCCCTATTGGTCAACCACGTTATGTATGCCGATGATTTGGTAATAGCTGCTCATTCAGAAGAGGAGTTGGAGGCGCTGCTGCTGAGACTGGAGCGTGCCACTAAGAGGTGGGGCCTTACCATCAGCCCCACCAAAACCAGGCACCTGCCTGGGTATTTTGTACCATCGGACACTCCACCCCCACAACTCCCAATTGGTGATGGGGCAGTTGTGGAGAGAGTGGAGAGTTTCCCATACCTGGGCAGTGTGCTTATGACCGGCTCCAGTCTATCAGCAGAGGTCTCACTCCGAATCAGTCGAGCGGCAATATCTTTTCATCGGTTGCGTAACGCTGTGTGGAAGCTACCTGGTCTGTCGCTCCGCACGAAGCTTCAGGTCTTCTCGGCCACGGTCATTCCCTCCCTTCTCTACGCTTGCGAGACGTGGACCCCCCTGGTGGAGCATCTTCGCCGGTTGGAAACATTTAGGCTGGCCTGCCTACGATCCATCCTGGGTTTAACCAGGCTGGATTGTGTGAGGAGCTCACAAATCCTTGAAAGATCTGGGCAAAGTCCCATCAGTGAGCTCCTCCGGCAGGCAAGGCTGCGTTGGCTGGGTCATGTAGCCCGCATGCCCAGCCACCGCATGCCTAAACAGCTTTTGTTCGGCCGGATCGAGGGGGCTAGACGGGCGCGGCACGGGCTGGAGAAGAGATGGAGTGATGTGGTACAGGAGGACGTGGAGCTGAGTGGACTTGCCGATGACTGGTACCAGCGGTGTCAAGATCGGCCTCAGTGGAGGAGGCTCGTGAAGGACGCTACTGGGCAGTTGGAGGCAGTCGCCCTCCAACAACAACGGAGGGCGGAGGAGCGACGCTCACAACAACGAGCGGAGCGCCGGGTGGCTAAAGCACAGCAAGTTGGCACAGTAGGGGGCACAGGTGGTGCATCAGCCAGTCATCTCGGTCATCTCGGTCATCTCGGTCAGTCGACCCGTGGCACCTGCTGGGTCTGCCCCGTGACCTCCTGCCAGCGGGCTTTCGACACTTCACGTGGCCTCAAGGTGCACTTGGCCTGGCACAAGCATCGTGGTGACGTCACCGCCACTTAGTGGCGAATGGCGGTTGTTGTTGTTGTTGTGTGCGCCAGTGCGTGTGTGTGTGTGTGCGTGTGTGTGTGTGCGTGTGTGTGTGTGTGGGGAGCGGTAGTGTAGCGGTTAGCGCGCTGCGCTATGAACCTGGCGACCCGGGTTCGATTCCCGCTCACGGCTAACACCAGTGACGATTATCTGAACCGGTCCTGGGCCTCCCCTAGGTCGACTCAGCCTTAAATGAGTACCTGGTGCGGTGTGTAAACATCGCCACTAGGGAGACAACGGCGGTCGGGCGTGGTGCTGGCCACCCACCCCCTCGTGTACCGTTCCGGCCTTCATAGGTGCTCGCTAACAGCACTTGCCCCTACAGTCTGTTCAGGCTATACGGGGGATCTTTATCTTTGTCTTATCTTTGTGCGTGTGTGTGTGCGCGTGTGTGTGTGTGCGTGTGTGTGTGCGTGCATGTGCGTGCGTGCTTGTGTGTGTGTGTGCGCGAGCTCTCACCTCTCTGCGCTTGAGGATGGCCGACTTCTGCAGGACTTTAACCGCGTAAAATTTCCCATCGGTTTTGTGTTTTGCGAGCAGCACCTGAGTGACAATGCAACCGCGTGAGGCAAAAGTGAAACCATCTTGATTTGAAGCTTTCGTTACTGCACGAATCCATACTCTTTGCTTCTTTCGGTAAAGTCACGTAGGTAAGAAAATTAACAGACCACGACGTTTCGATCGCAACACAAACAACCGTCATCAGGTGGGACGAACGCAGCAGTTCCTCGTCTCAGCTGATGAGGCTTGCTTGAGGGGGCAACACGACAACTCAACAGGAGAGAGAAACGACGGCCGGACACGACGCAAGACCGACGTGAATACGGCGGCGAATTGCCCCGAGTCAAAGAAGCCTTTTTCGTAGGTGAGACGATAATTCTCTATTGGATGGACACTGATTAGCAGCTCGTTTAACTTCACTCTTGACTCCATGAGTCTGAGACGGCTCGCGCTGGAGTCGAATGCATCCCCACATATCTGGCAACAAAACTGACACCTTTTTTACGAGGAGTCATGTTTGCATAGACCACAATACCTGCAGTCATAATGCAAACAAAAAACATAACTCTGATAATGTGCACTGTCCTTGAAGTTGATTGGTCCACACCCGAGACAGCTTTCCTTAGAGCCTAGTCTCACATGGTGTTGGACCAGATGACGCCAAAAGGCGCACAATTCAAAGACAATGCACCATCAGAGTATGAGAGCTCGGGGTAAGCATTTACACCATTGGAACCTCATTTGCCAGAAGAAAAATATGATAATTGTTTTTTTACCCTTTCATCTGGTGTCAGTTTTGTTGCCAGATAAAAGGGTAAAAAAACAATTATCATGTTTTTTCTTCTGGCAAGTGAGGTTCCAATGGTGCATCCCCACACTTGTCGAGTCCCTGTTGCAATGCTTGAGGGCGGCGACGCGCGAAACGTGGCACTCACCTTGCCAAAGCTGCCTTTCCCAATCACTTTCAAGAAATCAAAGTCCGTGGTTTTGGCTCTGCAAGGTGAAAAAAATCAAGGGGCATCAGCATGTTTGTCAGAAGGCCCGCCAATAAAACTGGCCGCTGTGTTCAACAAGGCTGTTGCCTCCGTGTTTTCTCGTCGCATGTACGTGTGTGGAACTTATTTCGCACCAGAGCCAAGCGTGCGAATCGCAGGAGCGGGGGAAGGATAACTGAACACAAAAATAAGTTTAAAAGAAATGGGTCTCTGTGTGAGTCTGTGGGTCTCTATGTGAGTCTACGAATCTCTGTGTGAGTCTGTGTATGTTGAACTTCGTTTGCACCGTACGTAGCCAAACGTGCTAATCGGAGGTGTCAGGGGAAGGACCACAAATTAAATACAAAATCAATAAACGAGTTTTCAATCTAAATGTCAACGTGCATAGCTCTAGAAGCCTTTAGTGTTCAATGTGGTGAGTGTTTGTGTGAGTGTGGTGAGTGTTTGTGTGAGCGTGGTGAGTGTTTGTGTGAGTGTGGTGAGTGTTTGTGTGAGTGTGGCGAGTGTTTGTGCGAGTGTGGTGAGTGTTTGTGTGAGTGTGGTGAGTGTTTGTGTGAGTGTGGTGAGTGTTTGTGTGAGTGTGGTGAGTATTTGTGTGAGTGTGGTGAGAGTTTGTGTGAGTGTGGTGAGTGTTTGTGTGGTGAGTGTTTGTGTGGTGAGTGTTTGTGTGAGTGTGGTGAGTGTTTGTGTGAGTGTGGTGAGTATTTGTGTGAGTGTGGTGAGAGTTTGTGTGAGTGTGGTGAGTGTTTGTGTGGTGAGTGTTTGTGTGGTGAGTGTTTGTGTGAGTGTGGTGAGTGTTTGTGTGAGTGTGGTGAGTGTTTGTGTGAGTGTGGTGAGTGTTTGTGTGAGTGTGGTGAGTGTTTGTGTGAGTGTGGTGAGTGTTTGTGTGAGTGTGGCGAGTGTTTGTGCGAGTGTGGTGAGTGTTTGTGTGAGTGTGGTGAGTGTTTGTGTGAGTGTGGTGAGTGTTTGTGTGAGTGTGGTGAGTATTTGTGTGAGTGTGGTGAGAGTTTGTGTGAGTGTGGTGAGTGTTTGTGTGGTGAGTGTTTGTGTGGTGAGTGTTTGTGTGAGTGTGGTGAGTGTTTGTGTGAGTGTGGTGAGTATTTGTGTGAGTGTGGTGAGAGTTTGTGTGAGTGTGGTGAGTGTTTGTGTGGTGAGTGTTTGTGTGGTGAGTGTTTGTGTGAGTGTGGTGAGTGTTTGTGTGAGTGTGGTGAGTGTTTGTGTGAGTGTGGTGAGTGTTTGTGTGAGCGTGGTGAGTGTTTGTGTGAGTGTGGTGAGTGTTTGTGTGAGTGTGGTGAGTGTTTGTGTGGTGAGTGTTTGTGTGAGTGTGGTGAGTGTTTGTGTGAGTGTGGTGAGTGTTTGTGTGAGTGTGGTGAGTGTTTGTGTGAGTGTGGTGAGTGTTTGTGTGAGTGTGGTGAGTGTTTGTGAGTGTGGTGAGTGTTTGTGTGAGCGTGGTGAGTGTTTGTGTGAGTGTGGTGAGTGTTTGTGTGAGTGTGGTGAGTGTTTGTGTGAGTGTGATGAGTGTTTGTGTGAGTGTGGTGAGTGTTTGTGTGAGTGTGGTGAGTGTCTGTGTGAGTGTGGTGAGTGTTTGTGTTTGTGTGGTGAGTGTTTGTGTGAGTGTGGTGAGTGTTTGTGTGAGTGTGGTGAGTGTTTGTGTGAGTGTGGCGAGTGTTTGTGTCAATGTGGTGAGTGTTTGTGTGAGTGTGGTGAGTGTTTGTGTGAGTGTGGTGAGTGTTTGTGTGAGTGTGGTGAGTGTTTGTGTGAGTGTGGTGAGTGTTTGTGTGAGTGTGGTGAGTGTTTGTGTGAGTGTGGTGAGTGTTTGTGTGAGTGTGGTGAGTGTTTGTGTGAGTGTGGTGAGTGTTTGTGTGAGTGTGGTGAGTGTTTGTGTGAGTGTGATGAGTGTTTGTGTGAGTGTGGTGAGTGTTTGTGTGAGTGTGGTGAGTGTTTGTGTGAGTGTGGTGAGTGTTTGTGTGAGTGTGGTGAGTGTTTGTGTGAGTGTGGTGAGTGTTTGTGTGAGTGTGGTGAGTGTTTGTGTGAGTGTGGTGAGTGTTTGTGTGAGTGTGGTGAGTGTTTGTGTGAGTGTGGTGAGTGTTTGTGTGAGTGTGGTGAGTGTTTGTGTGAGTGTGGTGAGTGTTTGTGTGAGTGTGGTGAGTGTTTGTGTGAGTGTGGTGAGTGTTTGTGCGAGTGTGGTGAGTGTTTGTGTGAGTGTGGTGAGTGTTTGTGTGAGTGTGGTGAGTGTTTGTGTGAGTGTGGTGAGTGTTTGTGTGAGTGTGGTGAGTGTTTGTGTGAGTGTGGTGAGTGTTTGTGTGAGTGTGGTGAGTGTTTGTGTGAGTGTGGTGAGTGTTTGTGTGAGTGTGGTGAGTGTTTGTGTGAGTGTGGTGAGTGTTTGTGTGAGTGTGGTGAGTGTTTGTGTGAGTGTGGTGAGTGTTTGTGTGAGTGTGGTGAGTGTTTGTGTGGTGAATGTTTGTGTGAGTGTGGTGAGTGTTTGTGTGAGTGTGGTGAGTGTTTGTGCGAGTGTGGTGAGTGTTTGTGTCAGCGGGGTGAATGTTCCACTGGATTGAGTGTTTTCATGCTGGCCAGTTGGTGTCCATGTTTATTGGGTTCGTGTTGAGTTCACATTATATTTTTTGTCCAACTGGTAAACACTCACTGTGGGTTTGCAGACGGACCGAGGTTGATCGTGTCAGAGTCATTATTCTGCAAAAAAAAGAAAAAAAGTCACTCAGGTTTTTTTTCCCCCCACACACACCCGGCACACTTGGTGGGAGGGAAATATCCAGACACGTACGGGCAGTGCTGAGCAGTGCATATTTACAAGTTTAGAGGTCATCTAAATGGGCTGTCACCGAAGCCTGTTCACTGTGACCCTGGCTCCTAACACTCTGTAGAGACAAAGTTCGTTTGCCTGAGTTTAGATTTCAGTTCTTGAGTGAGTGGGTACCGTTATCCCATCGGTTGTGTTTAAATGCCGCCTATGAACACCTCTATCTCGACAGGCTACTTGACAGCAAACGAAAGCAATGGATGTAAAACCCCCGATTTAAAATGCTCCGTATGAAGCTCTTCCCGCACAGAGGGGGATGGCCCGATTCGCGCACGCTTCTTGTTCTGACTCCCAGAAATATTGTGCAATTTCTACAGCAGCCGTTCCTACAAATTCTTATGCAACATTTTGATGGCATACCTCTGTGTGCACTCTAATGTCACCGCGAACTACCAAAGGCTCGCTTGAAAGGGCGATAAGGGGGACAGGTGTTGTGGGTTCCCTAACTGCGATGACTGGCGGACGCACCCCACTTGTGTCAACCTTCTGCGTTTTAGCCGCCTGGCGCGCCTTTCATTGTGAGCGTCGCTCCTCCGCCCTCCGTTGTTGCTGAAGGGCGACTGCCTCCAACTGCCCAGTAGCGTCCTTCACAAGCCTCCTCCACAGAGACCGATCCTGACACCGCTGGTACCGGTCATCAGCAAGTCCACTCAGCTCCACGTCCTCCTGCACTACACCAGCCCACCTCTTACCTAGCCCGTGTTTAACCGCCTCTTGTCCAGAAAAACAGAAACCGCTTGGGCATCCGGTGGCTGGGCATGTGGGCTACGTGACCCAGCCAATGCAGCCAATACAGCCAATGCAGCCAATGCAGCCAATCCAGCCTAATGCCAGAATTCCACAAAAGTGTGATCTACGTAGGGCACCACGTCTCAGAAGGATGGGATTTTAAACAAAAACATTAGGTCGACCACCTCTTTCAAATCATCCCATTGGCCCAACCGTCCAGCTTCGCCTGCAGTGACAAGTGTAGTGAAGTGTCATCCAGCAGGGTTCACGCAGAGGGTGGAAAATCGACGAGGAATTCATTTAACTTTATCATCATCACGAGAGTACAGTGCACCCGCTGGGTGGAGGCGTTAGGGTTAGTTAAGCACGTGCTTTAAAGGCACTAAAATGTTGATAAAAGCTTTCTCCGAGAATCAACAATTTAATGTCCTTGAGTGGGTGGGAGGGAGGACGGAAACGAGCTGAAGCCGTACGCTCGTGCTGCGACTCTTAAAATATCGAACGTGCCCTTGGCCAAACTAGACAAAGAAAACAACGCAGGACACCGCCCCGCATGAGGCCCGTTCGATTGTCTATTATGCTCCAGTCGCCGTGAATGAGAATGAAAACGTGCATGACTTACAGACACCACTAATCACCGTGTGTGTGTGGAGGAAACTCACGTGCCCAGAGAAAATCAACGCCAACAGGAATAAAGCACCAAACTCCAGAGGTAGCTTATTAAATAAAAAAAGTAAATCTTACTTTGTACTATCTCCTAAAGACGTCCGGTTTGTGTCTCTAAACTACACAATTTTTTTTTATTTTAAACAAAAACTAAACTCTTTTTTTTATTTTACAAGGTAAGGCCCACTTTTAGAAGTGATCCGGCCACAAATGACAGTTCAACGAAGTGGCATTTGATGTGGAAATAGCAGCCACATACTCTAAACGCATGTTTCTAAATGTAGAGGGAAAAACCAGAGGACCTGAAGAAAAATCCATGTGACCATGGGGAAAGAAACATGCAAACTCCAAATACAGAGGCATCGTCAGGATCAAGTTCGAACCAACAACCTTCTGCATATCAGGAGAGGGAGTTAACAACAAAAAAAGAGTTTTTTTCTGGCCTGGACTTTTGCAGCTGTTTTAGACTAATTTCAGGGTGCTGATTCCAAATCTGATCTCAGATTTGCTCTATCACATCTCATGTTATACTATCGGCATACCCCATTTTCATTTATTTTACCCGAAATTAACTCTGTCACTTATGATTGCAAGTTGTTGCGAGTCAGTGACTGCTTTAGTGTTAAAATATGGTGCTGTATTTTTAGGATAGTGTGTTTATAATATCATTTTATGTAGATATCCACATTTATTTAATATTTTTCTTCTGCAGTTTTTATTGAAAATGCAATATTTGACATCTCAAAAACCTGACGTGATAGACAAATACTGATGCCAGATTTGGAATCAGCACCCCAAAACTACCTTAAAACCGTTGGAATACCTTATGCCAGAAAAAGTGTGTTGACCAGTGTTATCATCGCCCTCGCCCCTGCGTCATCCACGAATATCCATCTTTCGCACCTGACGTCGCCTAGTAACCAACCACACGCGAAGCAGGCAGCACCGTCCCCCCTTCCCAGGTGGGACGGCTGCGTGCAGTGGCTTGCAGCCTGCACGCAAGCGCACGTGAGCACGATGGACACTCACCAGATTGTGGTTTGAGTTGGTCTGCGCAGCCGGCTGAGAGCGCTTCTTGCCGCGGTGGTCCATTTGCAGGAAGGCTTGCACGTCGGGGCTGTGCACCGCACACAAAGGAAAAGATCCCCCCGTGTAGCCTTAACAGACTGTTGGGGCAAGTGCTGTTAGCAAGTAGTAGCACCTATGAAGGCCGGCATGGCACACGAGGGGGTGGGTGGCCAACACCACGCCCGGCCGCCTTTGTCTCCCAAGCGGTGATGTTAACACACTACCACCAGCACCGGTTCAAATAATCGTGACTGGTGTTGGCCGTGAGCGGGAATTGAACTCGGGTCGCCAGGTTCGTACCGCACACACGCTCACTTGCACACAGGCAAAGACAAAGACATTCCGCACAGCCAGACAGACTGATGGCGAGCACCATTGATGTTAGCCGTGACCAGGAATCAAACTCAGGTGGCTGGGCTTGTCACATAATACTCTAAACCACCACCACTACCACCACCACTACGTGCTCAGCAACAACAACCGCCAATTGCCATTATGTGGTGGTGACGTCAAAACGGCTCTTGTGCCAGGCTATGTGCACTTTAAAGGTCACGTGAAGTGTTGAACATCCGCTGGCACATACACACATGGGTACACATGGGTACACGTGGGTATGCACGGACACACGTGCACACAAAGTATCGGTTAAAATGTAGAAGAAACCATTATCAGCCATTGCTTATATACTTTTTGAAATGACATGTTTTGATCTCTAACAAAAGTTTCTCTGTGTTTAAATGAACATAACTTGGAGACAAGCTAAGGGATGGCGAGTGTGGGAATAACCAACGGGTTCAAAGATACGCAACAAACGAAAATACGTCGCGAATATTCACCAGCGTCGCTGCGGAGAACACGAATTAACAAAATAACTAGGCAGGCAACGTCCTTCCCTCCTCCGCAATGGAGTTGAGCAAACTGAACGCGAACCAGCCGCAGACATTCGGCGCGAGGCTGGCCACGGATCTCGCCCTGGCTGCTGCTGGGCCCTCTCCGCGTGGAGCAGTGAGGGCGCGGCGCGGGGTTGTGACCGGCGTGGGCCACCCACGGGTGGTGGGAGGGCAGCCGCCACCAACACCGGGGCGGGTGGGTGGGTGGGCAGGCACGGGAGGTGCATGTGGGGGGGGGGGGGGGTTAAGAGCGTGGGCTGACTCAGCGAGGGCAGAGGGCCATGCCGGGCAGGGTCGGCGGGTTCATGGCGGTTCCCGTGAACTGCGCAGGCAATATGGCGAAGCAAGTCCTGATCATTTACACGCTCGTCGGCCCGTGTTTGTGTGTTGCTGTTGTGTGTGGGGAGCGGTGGCTTAGCGGTTAGCGCACTGCGCTATCAACCCGGCAGCCTGAGTTCCATTACCGCTCATAACCAAATCAGTGACGATTATCTGAACCGGTCCTGGGCCTCCCCGAGGTCGACAAAGTCTCAAATGAGTACCTGGTGCGTTGTGTCAACATCGCCACTTGGGAGACAAAGGCGGCCGGGAGTGGTGCTGGCCACCCACCCCCCTTGTGAGCCGTGCCGGGCTTCAGAGGTGATCGCTAACAGCACTTGCCCCAACAGTCTGTTGAGGCTATAGAGGGGATCTTTATCTTTGTGTAGGCATTACCTCGCTTGTGTTGTGTGGGAAGAGTTCGCACATTGTGCTTCGAACCCGGCCTACTCGGTTCAAATCCCAACCAGGACAAACATTGTGGCGAGTTCTATATGAACTGGTTTGTCTCTACACAAAACCAGTTGTGTCTGAAATTCTCAAACTAGTTTAGGCCTATCTAAGTCAACTGGGACCATAATGGGCAACACGTGGGGCATTGATTGTCATGCTCATCAGAATCATCAGCAGTCGGTTTGAAACAAACACCCCGAGTACCAATCTTTAACCACGCAGGTCTCAGCAGAAACTTTCCAGCTCGATTTCCCCCCAGCATTGAACCATGGGACGGTGGCTGGGGAATTTGATAGCTCAGTAACACCCCCGGCTTACGTCGGGGATGCGTTTCTGAAAGTTGCGACGACAGATATTGAAACAACGTCAATCAAAGCGATTGCCAGGGTCGTAGTCGTGGTTGGTGGTGGAGGCGAATGATTATGAGAGAGGACCGCTGATGCTGTCCTGTGAGTGACCTGAGCGTGGGTTGAGGCGACGCAAACCGGCTAGCGGTGTTCACAACAAAGCGACGACGTATCTGCGAAACAGTGTAAAAGGCGGAGGCGTAAGCCGGGATGTTGCTGCTTTGTATGAGTCAGTGAGTGAGTGAGTCAGTGAGTGAGTGAGTCAGTGAGTGAGTGAGTGAGTGAGTGAGTGAGTCAGTGAGTGAGTGAGTCAGTGAGTGAGTGAGTCAGTGAGTGAGTGAGTCAGTGAGTGAGTGAGTCAGTGAGTGAGTGAGTCAGTGAGTGAGTGAGTCAGTGAGTGAGTGAGTCAGTGAGTGAGTGAGTCAGTGAGTGAGTGAGTGAGTCAGTGAGTGAGTGAGTGAGTCAGTGAGTGAGTGAGTGAGTCAGTGAGTGAGTGAGTCAGTGAGTGAGTGAGTCAGTGAGTGAGTGAGTCAGTGAGTGAGTGAGTCAGTGAGTGAGTGAGTCAGTGAGTGAGTGAGTCAGTGAGTGAGTGAGTCAGTGAGTGAGTGAGTCAGTGAGTGAGTGAGTCAGTGAGTGAGTGAGTCAGTGAGTGAGTGAGTGAGTCAGTGAGTGAGTGAGTCAGTGAGTGAGTGAGTCAGTGAGTGAGTGAGTCAGTGAGTGAGTGAGTCAGTGAGTGAGTGAGTCAGTGAGTGAGTGAGTCAGTGAGTGAGTAAGTCAGTGAGTGAGTGAGTGAGCCCGTTTGTGTTTCAGAGAGAGCCCATTGAGCCAAGGAGCTCTGTTTCAATGGCGGCTGAGCCAAAGCAGACAATACGGCAGCCAGTTAAATGGGAAGGGATGGTTTACAGGAGCCGTGTAGAACGCAGTCATGGACACTTTATAAACATGATCATTATTAAATAACAAAATAATAAACAACAAGAACTATGTACAATGTGAAATCTAGGAAGCCAATCCGCAACAACCACATAACGTATGGCAGCAGTGAGAGGAACTCGGACAAGGTGTCTTAAAATGGCATAGCGGCGACGTTTTACAAATTGGCGCTTCTTAACTTGAATTTAGAGTCTTTCCAAAAATGACATTTTCAAGTTCCGGCCGCAATCACATTGCCTGACGGCATTCACGAGTGCGCCTCCAGTAGAAGTCGTGGAGCAATGGCCACAACGCAGGTAACGACGGTCGGGTTTGGAGATGAGTGACGAAATTAATCCGTGCCAGGGCCCATGGCTAATTTTTAGCTCTATAAATTGCGGGAATGGGTGACAAAATGATCAGAGACCCAGTCTTGAACTTCTGGAGATTGCTAGAGGAGCCACCCAGTTCGAGATGCGTATGCCTGTGCGTGCATGCGTGCGCGCGCGCGCGTGTGTGCGTGCATGTGTGTATAATTACATACGCACGCATAAAAACAGGAGCAAAGCAAACCTCTGCCCCCCTCGGCCGTGTCTGGGGTGAGCGTGGAATGTTATTACAAACCGACGCTAATTAACGCCATAACCACGGCCAGTCTAGACCCATCTCGCGGGACAATGGGGCCCCATTGTGAGGAGCGCCCCGTGTTTGTGGCGCTCTCGGTGGGTGTCGGGTGGCCTCAGCCAGGGTGCTTCCATTCCTGAGATCGCCACCACTGCCGGCAACGGCCCAACTGGGTGGCACACAAGGGGCGCACAAAGACAAAGATCCCCCTTCTCCCGTATAGCCTTAACAGACTGTTGGGGCAAGTGCTGTTAGCGAGCACCTATGAAGGCCGGCACGGCGCACGAGAGGGGGGTGGGCGGCCAGCACCACGCCCGGCCATCTTTGTCTACCCAGTGGCGATGTTTTACACACCACGCTGGATACCCATTTGAGGCTGAGTCGACCTAGGAGAGGCCCATGAACGGTTCAGATAATTGTAACTCGTGTCGGCCGTGACCGGGATTCGAACTCTGGGCTGCTGGGTTTGTAGCGCAGCGTGCTAACCGCTACACAACTGGCTTGGACACGTGCTCACACGCTTTCCAGTCCAAAAACAAGGAGATCTTTTGTTCACCGATTCTATCCGAATTCCGCAATTGTTCGTCATGACGTTGGGGTATAACTCAATGGGTTCCGGATCTCACTTCATTTTGGCCTCTTTTACTCATCACCAAGTCGGGGCTTTGTTACGGTCGCATCCATATCTCCTGACATTTCCTCTCGTGCGTGTTTCTTTGGGTAGGGCATCATCAGCCTCGTGTGGAGCGTACCGATTCGAAGCGTTCGCATCGATCAGTAGTTGTGCCCTATAATGGGAAAGCGTTAGACGAGCGAATCACGTGGTGCTTCATAAATGACGCGTTTTATTACCGGAGGATTACCCACTAAGTTCAGGACTTGCCCAGGCCACCGTTTACATGAAGCCTGGCCGTGCCCATGCCTCCAGGTGCAAGAAAAGGCCCTCGTGTTTTGGGGCCGCTGTGTCTATCTGAGGTCCAGCCTCGCCTACTTGGGCGCATTCCACGGTGCCCGCTGAGGCACGGAGGAATCCGGTCCCCGACAAAGAGGCCGGACCGCAACCTCAGCGTTGGAATCATAATCTTGATTTATCCTGGATAAATCTGAAGAGCTGTGAAGCTCTTTATTCCACAGATGTCCAGTTGAGTCAGAAAGTTACAACAACAAACAATACAAAGACACGATAGGAGTGCAAAGTGTAGGAAAGGAAAGAAAATCACTCAAAATAAATACGTAAAATAGATCAAGTATGTAAGTAAACCTTTCATAAGTTCACCCAAGCTTGGGCAAGACAACACACAGTCAGCCCCTCAATACAATTGCATATTAACACTGAACTATCGTTGCAAGGCTGTATGTAACCTGCCGGATACGCCTCCAGACTTTTCACAAAAGCGGCAATTATTCTGCCAAAACGGGGTGGTTCGTCGGCTTAAACGCGCCGCACAAACGGGTCCCGAGGGGGGGTCGGTGTGACGGGAGCAGGTGGGGTGCCGCGTACTCACTGTTGACAGACGTGCGGGTCCGACACTACCCTCTGGATGAAGCTGTTGAGTCCGTTCCTCCTCTGCTTAATGAAAACTGGAACGAGACCAACACGCGCCCAACGTCACACGGCACCACCGTCGCCGCCCTCAACGGCGGTCATAAACTCGTAGCACAACTGCTGCGTGCGAGTGAGCCTGTGATTTTACAGGTAAAGTTACTGCTGCGTCGGGGGTAGCGCCTTAACTAACCGAAGAGAGCCCCAAAAACACCCGGCGATTCAGAGCGAGCTTCATCACAATCCGCGTCCACTCCCACTGTCACCATGACCAGCCCCCCCCCGCCCGCCCGCCCCCCACCCCGCTCTCCAGACCAGCTCCCCTCCCTCGAACTTATCGGGAGTCCACCGAACAATGTTTCGCAAAGTCAAGTTCAGCAAAAAAAACTTGTTGACAGTAACACACAGATGAACCTCAATATTTGCTGCTGCTGCTGTCTGTGGAGCGCGACACTCGCTACACCTGTTACCCATCCCCTGCCCCCCCCCACCCCCACGTGTCGCTCAGGTGTGTGTGCGTGACAGGAGCGCGGGACGTTACCAGGACCCAGCTGAAACCGGCCGCACACACGAGGGGGAGGTGGGGGGGAACGCGTGGCAGGGAGTTCCCGTGACCCGCGAGAGACGAGGCCTGAACTGCGGTCGGAACCGGTAAACCAGCTGAGCTCTGCCATCGCCAGTCACGGTGGAAACTGGGAGCTGGGGACCTCAGCACAGGCGAGGAATTTACGCAGCCCAGGATCGTTCAACCGAAGACGGCGCTGGGGGCGGTTGGGGGGGGGGGGCGAAGCTTTCTTGAGAGCAGCCCCCAAACCATCTGGTACGCCGTCACCGGACGTCCGAAACGTGCCGAGCGTCCCGTGATTACGCGATCCGCGCAAGACGCGTCGACTCAAACTCGCCTTCCCATACATTCTAAACATTGAAGCGGGCCCCTGTTTCTTTACTGAAATTTTTTTTAATTTTACGACTTGTTTTTCTTATGCTACTCGTTGTGCACGGTTGCGATTTTACTCCGCTCAGTCGGTGCTTGCCGCTGAGGTCGTGACGCGGTTCTTTTCTCGTTCCTGTTGCTCCGTGTGCCCCCCCCCCTCCCCGCGCACCGATGCGCTACTTTATTGAGGGGCGATATTGGCACGTAAAGTGAAGGTTCATTTCATTGAACCCTGCCTCAAGCTCAACACTCCGCAAAAGCAGCACGCTACATCGCCAAGGCCTCAAGGGCAAATTGTGATCTTTGTTGAAACGTCTAGAATGAAACAACACACGATGCAATGCTTTTAGAGCAGGGCTACGAGGGGTCCTCCATCCAGCAGTAGATAATGGCTACTGCTGACCATGATGACGATATACTCAAGATGCTGTGCAACAAAATGATTACAGCATACGTTGACTGGGGCTCTGTATTATAAACAGAGTACTCTTGCCAACATCTGGCTAACGAGCAGCATTTGATTAACGAGTCTGACTTTGCTGATGACACCCAGAAGGTCAAAACCGGGCCAGAGTTTGTTTGTTTAAACAAATGTTGCCGGATAATATTGTTGGCCTGAGAAGCCCAGAGGCTGATGGGCTAAAACATTTGGCGTTTTTCCCCGCACCGCCGATTAGCGCGGTTGGCTACGTACGGCACGAACGGAGTTCAACGTTCTTCGTGGAGCGATAAACAAAGGGCTTGCAGTGGTAGCACTCACGCACTCACAGCAAGGAGGGCCCACGTTCGATTCCTGACTCGGGCGATTTCTGCGTGGAGTTTGTTCTCCCCCTGTTCTGCGTCGGCTCCCTCCGGGTTCTCTGGCTTGTCCTCCCACAACTCAGACTATGCAGTGTTATTGGTGTTGGCCAAACACCCCAACGCAGGAGCCTCCTGAAAAAAATAATCTCTGTACTTATTGCAGCTATCCTCAGCATGCATGTATGTTGAACTCCTTTCGCAGCCTACGCAGCCAGCTGATCGCAGGTGTGGGTAAATAAGTAGTTCGTTATTATATTTATGAGAGAGAAGAGTGAAATGAGGATCAAGTTCATTGGAGGTAGCTGAGAAAAGTCTTGACCAGCAGCAGAGAGCCACCGGCAGAGAAGGGAGCGTCCGTGGCTTGTCTAAGCGGTGGGTGCACCCCGAGAGTACGAGTTGAAGTGAGCGGAGCACAAGACGTGGGCGAGGAGAGCAGAGCAAGACGACATGGCAGAGGCAGGAAGGGGAAACCCTTTACAGGATCTTGGGGTTGTTGTTTTTGTTGTTGTATCCATTAACACGGAAGCAGTAGGTAGAATTAATCTATCTGAGTAACGTGTGTTTAGAAAAATACAATCTTGGACAAGTTATGAATAGAAATAATAAAATAATAAAAATAATAAAATAATTCTCACGACGTTTCGGCCACAAACGCAAGCAGCCGTCCTCAGGTGAAGAACAGGTCTGTCGGGAAGACGCTGTCTTATTTTATAATGTTTTATTTTTATTATTTTATTATTTCCCTTCTACGTGACTTTACCGAAAGAACCAAGAAGATGAATCCCTGCAGTCATGAAAGCTTTAAATCGAAATTTGAAAGTTATGAATAGTTTTTTTAGTTTTTGTTTGTTGCGATTGCACCTGATTCAAGAGCCGGATGGCTCACAGGGCTATACCTAATAGATGAAACTGAAATGAATGAACGGTGTGGCTCGCCCACAGTTGCTTGACTGTTTTAAGAAGAAAAGAACAACCCGCAGGAAGCTTCTTGTATCCGCCAATGCAACGGAAGATCGTGGGTGACAACGCTTGTAGGGAGGGGGGGGGGGAAGCAAATGCGATAATTCGTTCAAAAGAGACGACGAGAGTGATTTGCTTCAATGAAATGGGAGTGATGTCAACATCGTTCATTTAAATATTTTATTTATTGCAAGTTTCCCACAACTGTATGATGTCCACCATCCACTGAAGGTAATCCTGGCAATCAACACGGGGCCTTTCGTCGCGCCTCCCTGCTATTGGGTTAGAAATGATCAAATTGATGGGTCAATCGTCGTGGAAACGTAGGTAATGGGAAAGATAATGGTTGGCCTCGCCTGACAGATAATAGAGAATGAACACGAGAGAATGATCGCAGGAAATGCACGTGACACATTTATACGCCATCTTACCCAAACAAACCTTTGTTATGAAATGCTATCCAGCAGGAGAAAAAGCCTGACCCAGTGTTCAAAGCCGATGGGTCACAACGAATAGCGATGCGCGCACACCTCTTGAATCTATTACATTGCGTTCCATATTTTACTCAACTAAGGTATTTTTGCAACGTAACAAATTCCGTCATGCAATTATTTACCTTCATGTCACTGCTGAGCAAATTGCGATGCCCCGGGCGATAATGATTAAGGTTCTATCGCTTATTATAGATTCTTAAGCACGGCCAATCGTTCATCTCAGCTTTTTTTTTGACCCCTTCATAATTAATTGAACATCCTGCTGTCTTACCGCGCAGTCTGTGCTTTGTTTTGCACGATACGTCCTGATTCATCCCGTCAATCATCGGGGGAAGAAACATCGAAAACTCCTTCAGTCGGCAGAAACGGAGAACAAACGTGGAAAAGAATACAAATCTAATTCTGCAGCCACATCCACACATCGTGGAAGCCATTTCTTATTGCTGTGCAAATACAAAAAAAAATATTACTTCTTCTTGGTTCTTTCGGTAAAGTCACGTAGAAGGGAAATAATAAAATATTAATAATAAATGCAATTATTGTGAGAAATAATAATGAAAAATAAAACATAATAAAATAAAATTATTGGGAGAATTTTATTTTATTATGTTTTATTTTTATTATTTTATTATTTCCCTTCTACGTGACTTTACCGAAAGAACCAAGAAGATGAATCCCTGCAGTCACGAAAGCTTTAAATCGAAACATCTTACTTGTCATCCATACGCCAATTGACAAAAATCACCCCCCCCCCTCCCCCGAGCTAATACAGAGCCTGAATTAAGCAAAACATCGTAATTGCCGTGGTACACGCGTTGCGAAGCCCTAGACAAACGAACGATATTTTTTTTATTTTGAACTCCTGCCGACCCGAATATGTGAAACTTCGATTCGAATCTCGGATTGGCGGCGCTCGTTCGGCACCTCTCCTGGTGACACCATCGGCCTTCCGAGCCACCAATCCAATCGGTTCCTCATTACCTTTTTCGTCAAAGTACGCCAAAAGAACAAAAAAATACTTCAGTGTAAATAAGTTTGGGAATTCGGGCTACAAACAAATTGTCCGCCAACTGAGTAAATAGGTCCAACAGCAAGTCACGAGCGCGGTGAGATATTTGCCTTACGTAACTGCGCCGGTCGCCCTTGCTCAGCCGCACTGACTGAAAGTACAAAGCGCTCAGCAGCAAACGTGAACCCCGGTCACCTCCTCCCCCCACCCGCCCCGAGACTTACCGAGATCAGCGGCCGTGCACGAGATCGACTCGCTGTGCCAAGGAGCACGAGACGTTCTCAGCGAGCTGTCCGGTGGAACAGAGACGCGGCGAAGTTTTGTCGACACCCGTGGAGATTAAAACAGAAGAAGAAGAAGCAGCGAACTGCTCCGCTCCGAGCGGCAAAGTAGAGCAGAGTGGAATGTGCAGATTTCTAAGAGCTCTGTTATCAGGATCATGCAATAATGGCATGGCGCAATGCGATTAAAAACAGCACCCTCCCCTCCCTTCCCCAGCCACCCGACACAGCACAACACCACGGCCAACGCCAACCCCCCCGGCTCAATCCGCCAATGGCCCTGGCGCTCCCCAGACAGGCCAACGCACGGTGCGTTAATCATTAGCTGTTCCCAAACGAGGCTCGCATTAAATAGTGCCCCCCCCCCCCCATGGGTCACCACGCGTAGCGGGCTGCGTGCGACATGCCCTGCAGCGGGGCCCTCACGGGGAGCAGCTGACCCCGAGCATTTCCTACAAACACTGCTGGAGGGTTTCCAGCCCGATAATGTTGACTCCTCTGCCTATCTGCATACAATGCCAGGCTACCTGTGCTCCTGTGTCTGTCCGTAGCCCCCCCCCCCCCGCCCCTGAGTGGCACTGTGAACAAATACATTCGCTGCACGCGAATTGGCGTTGGAGCTTCTCCGGGGGAGCATTGTGCGATACGTACCGCGCGCTATTTAGGTACTGGAGAAAAACAAGTTATATTTAAAAATACTTTTTTTTAAAACACGCTTTAATGAAATGTATCATCCTCGTAATGGCAGAACTCCATGACCCCAGGAAGTGGCCACAAAGCTTGCCATAACGCAAGGGGCCGTGGTGATTTACAGCCAACGTCAGTTGAGCGTGGACAATTAGACCCAAGCCGAAGCATAACATATAAAGAAGAATGTTTAAAAATATATTTTTTGATAGAATATAGTATTGTCATCAGTATGACACAAGTATACCAATTTTGCAGTCGATACCACATTGGGAAGTTGGTTAAAATTTAGTTACAATATTTGAGGATACGACAACAACAATAGAGTGAGTTAATAGAAAGCGTGTAATTTTTTTTTCTATGTTTAATGATAGAATATGGTATTGTCATCAGTATGACATAAGTATACCAATTTTGCAGTCGATACCACATTGGGAAGTTGGTTAAAATTTAGTTACAATATTTGAGGATACGACAACAACAATAGAGTGAGTTAATAGAAAGCGTGTAATTTTTTTCTATGTTTAATGATAGAATATGGTATTGTCATCAGTATGACATAAGTATACCAAGTTTGCAGTCGATACCACATTGGGAAGTGGGTTAAAATGAGTTACAAGATTTGAGGATACGACAACAACAACAACAGACAGAGTGAGTTAAATAAAAGCGTGTAAAGACACTTGTCGCCCTGCGATGCGGCGGGTCTCTTGTGTGGGTGGCGGCATGCTGTGATAACAGCCAGGCCCAGGGCCGCGAGAACGTCGCTCTCGAAAATCGTTCGGCCTAATCGCCCTCAACTGCTTTGTCCCACAGCTGAGCGAGCAGTTGAGGAGGTGTCTAAGCCAATCTCCACACCTCCCGCCCCCAACATCAGGATCATCATGGCCAGTCGCTATTTAAAAATGAGAGCGATGGTGAAATACCTCACGACAAAATCGCCGCTTGAAGGTTGGAGCCTGTCTCCGATGTGAGCAACTGGTTGTGCAACTGATCACTCATCAGGTGCGGACCAACCTTGAGGTAAAAAATCTCAGGCTTGGTTTTAATCGATGAAGCATGAGGTCTTCTGTATCGACTGGTGGGCTTCTAATGGGCTCATGAAAAGCAGCGTTTTGACTTCGTTAACACTTTGAAAGCCTCACCACCACCACCATCATCACCATCAATTGGGATTGCACACAGCAATTCGCTTATCGTGGTGTCACGCGGCTCCAAGACGTCAAGGTGCTCTATCAAAAACAAATCGTTGTCATTGCAACCATCGGTTGTTGGTAGAACTTCCAATGTAGGGCGCTCATCCCCACATCTTGGCCTCTCAGTCACTGCACTAATGACGAACATCGCCACGACCACAGCCACTCCAGCACACCTCACGAGTGCCACCGCAGGTACCAAACGTGACCCTGGTAAATCGATGGAAGGTGAACGCGATGATAAAAACATATCCCTGCTCCCCCTCTCGTCAATAATTAACAACTCTCTGTCCCCCTCTCTCTCTCTACCAACTCCCCTCATCGTTTTTACAGTTGTCCACTGTGAGATGTGGGCACAATTTCAGTCTCCGCAGGCTCAAATTACACATCCGACGATGCTCTCAGAATTCTCATCCCACTGCACTCGTTCTGCACTCATTGCGTCGGCGCTCCAGAAACGGCAGAAGCAACGCTACTCTGGTGGAGGCTGATGCTGATCATGGGCCGTGATCGAGAGTCTGGCTTTTCTAGCGGTTGGCCGAACAATGTAAATAACGACTCCTTTTCACGTTTGTCTCTCTACAAGAAAAAAAAACTATCTTTTGACACAAGCCATTAGCTGCAAGGCCTTCTGGGAGTCCATGTTAGCAGCAGCATTAGTTCAACACAAACAAATTCAGGACCAGTATCGACATTCAGTATCGCATTATGGTCTTGAGAGGAGGACCCTACTACCCTCCCAGCCTCGGCTCTTGCGCTGGACGCTGGGGAGGTTGGGTCTTCTCAAGCGCTGCCCCCCAAGGATCTGGAATGCCTTGCCGGCGGTGATCCGGCACGCGACAGGGCCTCAGTGTGTTGAGGAGGGAGTGCAAGACTCACGATTTTCTCGTGGCTCTTACTTAAAACATTATACTGGTAGGAACACCAGCCCACAGGGGATTATTGTGTCCGTCGTGCATGGAGGGGCTGGGTGGGGAGGGGAGGGTGGGGAGGGGCTGGGTGGGGAGGGGCTGGTCACCCCGTGGTGCCCTTATAAAACTCAACATTTAACCTACTCACGCCGGCTTGTGCCCGCCCTCACAGTCGGGCATATTTGCGGAATACACCACGCCGCCGTTGACCCTGACCATTGACCGAGCAACCCGACGTTCCTACCAGCTCCCTCCACAGGAATGTGTTTTTATTGTATTTGCATTTTATTTTAGTGTACAAATATTTTCATATACTCCCTTCAGTGGAGGTGATATTACATTTAAAATAAATATGGATTACGGAGGATAACAACAAGAAAATCAATCACAGTGCTTTCCCATATTTATCTCCCCACATTAAAAAAAGTTTATTTTATACAAGCCATCAGCCACAATAAAACTACTGCTGCGTCGTTTAGATGCGACAATCGTCATATTGCGTGTGTTTACGTGTGTCCTTCGGACTAATGAGGAATGCGATCCTACGACGGTCGAATTCGGTGAGTTCAGTGTTGGCACGACTCAGCCCTCGTTGTCATCTGGATGCCTTAATTAGCAAGGCTGCGCTGGCAACGATAATTCTTCCTCGAACAATGAAATCGATGAAGTCTCAAGACTTGTTCTTGAGAGTTCTGCTTTGGCGAAGTCTGGATGACTCCTTTCTTAACAATTTTTTTGCCGTACGTGGGAAGAAACACAAGGGGAGAACACTCAACTTATACAGTTTGGAACCTATTTGCTGTACTGCACTGTCTTCTACACACACCTTGCTGCCTCTGCAGGTTTGGTGTCTCGTGCATGATTAGAAAGATCTTGGTGGAAAATCCCTCCACCAATCCATCCTCAGAGTTGTTGAATAACAGGTGGTGAGATGTTGACCACCTCGCCTGGTATACAGGAGATCGTGGGTTCGATCCGACTCTGACGCCTGTATATTTAAAGTTTGCCCCCCTCCACATTTAGAAACATGCGTTTAGAGTATTTGGCTGCTTACATTTTGCACGTGATGATAAGCAACTTCGTTGAGTTATCATTTGTGGCGCTTTTGTAAAAGAGCTAAATAGCTCAGTGGGCCTTACCTGGAAAAATCTAAAGTTTAGTTTAGTTAGTATATCGCCACAGCAGACGGTCGAACAAATATCTTAACCACACACACGCACGCGTAAGACACAAGAGGTCTCCTCACCTCCGTCCAGAGTGTTCCCAAAGATGCTTTTCGATGGAAGTTTCACATTCAGCTCTGGAAACTGCTTCTTCAGCTGTGTCGGGAAGAGAGGGAGAAGACAATCAATACCGAAACAAGGCAATGGACAAAGACGAAGCCGTACAGTGCCTGAGTAAACACGTGGCATATTGAACAGCGCCAAAGACTGAAGTTCACCGTTAACCACATTGGCACGATTATACCGGTCTGCAGGTAGCAATAATATAAACATCGGGCATCTTGGCGGGCTTCTTTGAGATGTCAGCATCGAAACGAAGTGCTGACACTGGTACTGACAACACTGTGTAGTTTTGTGTTCATCTGTCCAGCGAGTCGCATTGCTGTGCAATTCTGAAACCCTTCGTCGGCCACAAATTGTTCTCAGCACCCGCAATGTGCATACTCCCGTCGTATTTCAGAAGCTCAGCAGGGCTTCTTGAGCCTTGGGTGGGCCAACTACCATGCACAGCCGGTGTTGCAAGCTGCGGGGCCCATGCTGTAGGCTACAGAGGTCAGTGCAGCAGCAAAATACACTGCTGCATTGTACTCCTATGTTCCCACGTCCACGCTATCCTTGCAACATTCACCAACCCAGAGGACTGATCAGTGATGTGAAGTTCACCCTCCGGCGGCTGTTTCGCTCCCTCGACCCGGTGCTAATGAGAGTCGCTCATGCACAGTGAGGTGGGCGCGGTGTGGGGAGCACAGGTGGTGCGTCCGCCAGCTATCTCCACCAACAAAATCCATAACACCTGGATCTCTCCCATGACGTCTATCCAACTTCGGAATCGATTGAACACAGAATCGATGCTTTGGATTGATCCACCTGCCTGGTGGCCGCATACTGTCTATCATCAGCCATGAGCAATCCGCTGATGGATGAAGGCCTAGCAATGATCCTTTAATCTAAGTTGTCTTGTGGTTGTTGTTGTTGCTGTTTGACTTGCATCCCACTGGGATTTTTGTACACAGCGTTGGTGTACGGTGCTTTTTCTGGAATATTATTTTGCAGTTTTTTCCTGGATTTTTCTGTTTGCACATAGTCACATATTTACTTTAAGATGTTTTCTTGTTAATGTTTTTGTTTTTTGTTTGTTGCGGTTGCACCCGATTCAAGAGCCGAATGGCTCACAGGGCTTTACCAAATGAATGAAACTGAAACTAGCAAGTGACCGCCAACAACCCTCAATAATCCACCCGCACATTAAATTATTGAATCGCTCCGTCTCCTCAGTGTACGCCCCCTTCGACGTCTTCCATTCAACGGCTGCAACTCCGAATTTTTTTGTACTTACCATCGTCATCATCCCTTTATGATAGCCAACGCATACCCTGCCCCAGGCCTGCTTTTATTTAAGCTTGAACAACCTTTATGACCTGCGGCACCACCCACGGCCCTGTCGCTGTCTTCCAATGCCATTCAAAGCCAGACTCTCTGGACACCGCTATCGTGTAGGGCGGTGCGGCGCGTACCACGGTGTGGAGGTGGCTGAACTCCGTGTGCTTGTGGAGGACGGACCAGGAGGAGCCCTCTTGTGTCACCACCACTTTGAACGCCTGCCGCCACACGCACACGCAAAGACAAAGATCCCCCGTGTAGCCTTAACAGACTGTTGGGGCAAGTGCTGTTAGCGAGTAGCACCTATGAAGGCCGGCACGGCACACGAGGGGGTGGGTGGTCAGCACCACGCCCAGCTGCCTTTGTCTCCCCAGCGGCGAGGCTTACACACCGCAACAATTACTCATTTGAGGCAGTCGACCCAGGGAAGGTCCAGGACCAGTTCAGATAATCGTTATTGGTATTGACCGTGAGTGGGAATCACCACGATAAGCGAATTGTTTTCGCATCCCTGGGTTCGTAGCGCAGCGCTAACCATTACACTACCGCTCCCCACACACACACACACGAACGCAACACACACACGCAACACACACACACATGCAACACACACACACATGAACGTGTGCACACACGCACCACACACACGCACCACACACACACACGCACCACACACACGCACCACACACACACACGAACGCAACACACACACGCAACACACACACACACACGCACCACACACACACACGAACGTGTGCACGCACGCACGCACCACACACACGGACCACACACACACACGCACCACACACACACATGAACGTGTGCACGCACGCACCACACACACGTGCAGTTTCTACAGCTCTCGCCCGATAGCATGGTCCACATCGCGACGGATCAGGCCAACACCATCCCACCCCATCCACATGCACGCAAGGTTTTAAGTCCCAGATGCCAACGTTGACAATGTCTAAAGGCCAGGAATGCAACTCGGGTAACACAAGTTGAAAAATAATTATAACAAACGAGCTTTACTACCCGGCTTCGCCCGGGACTTGGATTCACCACGCCCGGCCGCCTTTGTCTCCCCAGTGGCGATGTTCACACACCGCACCAGTTACAGTAAAACCTTGGATTGCGAGCATAATTCATTCCGGAAATGTGTTTGTAATCCAAAGCACTCGTATATCAGTTGTGATCACGTGACGCTCGGCAGACAAAGCGTCTACACGTACTACTCGTATCGCAAGACCTCGCTCGCACGCGGGTCACATGACAGATGTGACGTCACAGCTCACTTGCCGTGCAAAATAAATGCATTATTGCGCCCCCCCCCCCCAAATACGAAAGTCTATTTTTATAATGTTTGCATGGTGTACAGTCTGCAAAGTACCCACATGGCAATTTTCAAGTTTGTTGCATGTCGGGAAGTACGCTAAACATTTTGAACAGACACACATAATCACAAATCTCCCTTTTATACATAGATCCCTTTAACATACACCCCCGTCGTGAATGCTGAAGTGCCGCTCCACATTCATTTTCACTGCAGCGCCTGGGAAACTTCCAATGTCACGAGGTTTTGCAACTCGCACAAGCACTTAAGGTGGGCGGAGTGCTGTGGTAATTACCGCCTGGCAAATATGAATCGATGTACACCGTCTCACCCAGTGAGTGGCTGTAATGGCAACTTAACCGCACGAATAGAAGCTCAAGTTCCTGCCGCCAGGAGCTTTCACGGTGTCACGAAGACCCAGGGCCCAGATCGGGCCCATGGCAAAGATTTACGGCCGCCCTCCGCCACGTTTACAGCGTCAATAGTCTCGCAGAGCTCACGAAGGGGACAGTTTAGTGGCCACGCGCACACACCCACAACAACAACAACCGCCATTCGCCACTAAGTGGCGGTGACGTCACCACGACGCTTGTGCCAGGCCATGTGCATCTCGAGGCCACGTGAAGTGTCGAACGCCCGCTGGCAGGAGGTCACGGGGCAGACCCAGGTGCCACGGGTCGACTGACCGAGATGACCGAGATGACTGGCTGATGCACCACCTATGCCCCCTACTGTGCCAACTTGCTGTGCTTTAGCCACACACACACACACGTGGTTACTTCATGCTACGCAAGGGGATGGTGGCAGCTCCATGTCGCAGGCTCGCTTAGTCCCTCTATTTAAGACCAAGATAGGGGGATGTCTCCACAAATATGGATGTCGCCTGATACGACTGCTTGTAATTACCGGTGAAACGTCGCGGTACTAAAATTGTAAAAGTTGTGGGTTTACTCTCCAACACACCGGTGTGCTGTACTAGTAACGAATTGCCATGTTTTGTTTACGTACGTGACAAGCCCTACGAATTGGCTGTGCCGGGTGGTGACGGGTTCTCACGACACATTTATATTTACGTGATTTAACCCCAAAGAAACCTCTATTACGGCTCCACGGGTCAATCGGCGGAGAGCGGCAACCAGCTCCTGCATGACAATGCCCCCCCACCCCCACCAAGGCCTCGTGCACTGCACAAGTCGCCAAGGGCCCCAATTGTCGTCGAGTGCCGCCACTGTGAGGAGCCGTCGCTGCGTCCTGCCCATTCTCCAGATGCTGGCACCCAGCCACTTTCAAACCCGTGCCCTGCATTGAAGGGGAAGTTTGCGTGGACAGCATTGAAACAAAAGTTGCATCCTGTGAGGGAATCCAAAAGCTGCAAGATCATTATGAGGATTGCATTGATGGTACATTGTCTTTGAGTTGTGCGCCTTTTGGCGTCATCTGGTCCAACACCATGTGAGACTAGGCTCTAAGGAAAGCTGTCTCGGGTGTGGACCAATCAACTTCAAGGACAGTGCATACATTATCAGAGTTATGTTTTTTGTTTGCATTACGACTGCAGGTATTGTGGTCTATGCAAACATGACTCCTTGTATAAAGGTGTCATTTTTGCTTCCAGATTAAAGGGTAAAAAACCAATTATCAAAGAGGGTGACTGTTGAAAAATAATGTTTATCTCAATAATGGGACCATTTTTGCCAGTATCAAAGTATGAAATAAGTAATATTTAAAAAACCTTTTTTTAAAACACGCTTTAATGAAATGTACCGTACTAGTAATGGACGAACTCCACGACTCCAGGAAGTGGCCCCGAAGCTTGCCACAACGTAAGGGGGCACGTGGTGATTTACAGCCAACGTCAGTTGAGCGTGGACAATTAGACCCAAGCCGAAACATAACACGTAAAAAAGATTGTTAAAATTTTTTATGATAGAATATAGTATTGTCATCAGTATGACACAAGTATACCAAGTGTGCAGTCGATACCACATTGGGAAGTGGGTTAAAATTGAGTTACAAGATTTGAGGATACGACAACAACAGCCAGAGTGAGTTAATAGAAAGCGTGTAAAAATAAGAACAGATTTACCCTTTCCGGTGTTATGATGTGCAAGCACCAAATAGATATCAGGGTTGGCATTAACCACACGTACTTGTGGTGAGCATGCAAATCAAACATGCCCTGATACTAAATTGCATTGTCTTTGAACCTGATTGTTCCTACACCAGAGGCAGCGGCCTTCCCTAGGGCCTCGTCTCACCGGTGTCAGACCAGAGAACACCAAGAAGGCATTTCGCAGATGCGGCGTCACTTTGTTATTGACACCGCCACACGATTTGTGTCGCCTCGACCCCCACGCCGTCACCCGTCGTCTCTCAGCCTTCACCCCCAAGCCCCTCCATGTACACAAACTACTCCGTATCGCGCACGAAGAAATACACCGTGACGTAGAGTACAATATCTTATTGACGTGCAGTATTTTGGTGATTGCTTTGATTGACGGCGTTTCGATATTCGTCTTCGCACCTTTTTAGAATGCATCCCTGACCGTAAACCGGGGGGGGGGGGGGGGCTATTTCTGCATCTGAATTGTTGAAGTGTATTTCCACCCATTTGGCTAAACTCTCTCGTCAAACAGTCGATACAGGCAATGAAATCATCGTCAGCGGACTCTTCATTTCAACGCTAAATGACCCAGGAAAAGCGCATTCGCTGATTGCTGCAGAGGTTCCCAGTTCAAAGCCGGCAGGCCTCCCTGGTTATTATTTGCACGTTCACGAGCAGGAAGATACACGCCGGCTGCCTCACAGTGGGTGTTAACAGATCCTGCGATGTGGTTCAAAAGGGAGAAGGCCATTTTTGTGCCAGCGTCATGGTCCACGTTTGAACAATGAGCTGCAATTACTCGGTAGGGAATGCATTGCTGTGTGACGGCTGCCGACAATGATGATCGCCTTGGTCTATCTATGAGAACAGCACGAACACCAAATCTATTCAAATAATATTTTTTATTGGTGGCCTCTCACTTGATTTGAAATCAGCCCGTGAATTGTGAATGCTAAAATGTTTATGACGTTTGCATTTTTAGTCTGCTATAATTTTTATTTCATACATTTAAGTGTGCTAAAGTTGTGTAATGTAAATAATTGGCAATGTTGCAGTTCTGCATGAGACAGCTAATTGATTATCGGTGGGTTGCTGACTAGGTAACTGAACCTAATTCTTGGCCTGCCTCGAGACGTGGCACTTTGAACTCTTGGCATTTAGAGTTGCCGAGCCCAACAAAACATCGACCTCGTGCCCGCGGTCACCCACGGCAGACAAGAGTGTGCGGCTTCGCACGAAGGAATGTTTGTGGTTACACACAAGTTACGTTGTTTAGAGTCAGCTCGGTCAAAGGCAGAACAAGCGTAAATGATATACCCTGGGTCATTCTGGCGGCCTGCTGTTATGATCTTGCGAATTGCAAGTTGTCGGATGATTATGACCTTGTTTTGAGGAGGTAAGCAGTGGGGCAGTGGTTAGATCACCGTACTTTGAACCCACGGCTAAACATCAGTGGTGATACCTGAACTGGTCCTGGGCTTCCCAAAACTCCCCCCGCCCATCACCAACCTGCATGAACCAGCGTGGTGAAGTATGGTCAAACGGCCATGAATGACAGAGTGTGGGGGAGGCATTCATCCAGCAATAGATTGACAGATGGTTGTAAATTACGTTATGTTACTATTATTAAATGTTACAATTATTGTGATATTTTATTACCCACCTCGGCAATTGCTCAATCGTGCTCTGTAGGGTGAGTAGGGCAAGATTGAATTAAGTTAAACACGTGGCATTAACGCGGTGGTTATTGAGTACGCATATAGTGATGACGGGGCTGACATGGTCGAGCATCTTGCGTTGTCAGAGATGGACTCAAACCTGGGTCACATTGCAGGATCTCGTTGGGCCCAAGCACAGTGCTGGGGATTCACGGCCTCCGATTCGGCCAACATTCACAAGAACATTCAATATGACGAGCGCCGTTGAGGTTTGGGGATTTAACGACCATCAATTTACTTCGAGGGCCCTTTCTGCCAAAATCTTAGGTGAATGAAAATCAATGATGTGTGTGCTGGGTTTCAGCCAGAGCGGTGCTCACATGCATGTAATCACCCCCCCCCATCTATGCGAGACCCATCCATCGTATGACACGTGCTGAGCTATTGTCAATAGAAAAAAGCAGATAAGCAAGCCAGCACTTGGGCCGATGAGCTCAACTAGGCAAATTATTGGGTCAAACATATGAATGAAAGGATCAGCATGTTAACCTCATTCGCGTAACGACACATCCATAAGCATTAAACCGACTCCGATTAGCGTACGGTGCAAACGAAGTTCAACAAACAAACATACGTAAGAGGGTTTTTTTTTCACTCACTGCATGCAAACCCACAAATATATGACACAGGTCACAGCCACCTTTCGAGAAGACAAGTCAGGGCCAACTTTTCAGCCGTGTCTGTCCCGGATCAGCAACCCGTAAAACATTCCCACGCCCGGCACACCACCACCACACCACATCCAGTATACCTTTTGCTGTGGCTGTGGTTGCTGGTCACGTGCCCACTCCAGCCAACCGGCAGCCCAAAATACACTTAATTCTAGATTTGAAGCTTTCGTGACAGCAAGAATTCATACTCTTAGGTTTTTTCGGTAAAGTCACGTAGGTAAAAATACCTACGTGACTTTACCGAAAAAACCTAATACACTTGGTGAGAAATCTGAGCTGTGAAACAAGGAGCGTGGAAACCAACGCGGCTCACCTCACCTCACCTCGCATCATCATCATCTCAAGCGCCGACGCCAGTCAGTGAGACCCCACGGGGACCTACCGTGTAGCGCTTGCTGCCTTCGCACACCTCCTCTGTGCTGTGGATTTCGGCAGCGAGGCCCATGGCGCTTGTTGTCGCGGCGGCCGGCGGCGGTGGTGTGCGCCGTGGTGTCGACCCGCCTCCCCGAGGTCGTGGAGGAGGTGGCGGTGGGTCGCAGGTGCAAAAGGGGCCGCTCTGTCATTCACCCGCCCCCCCCCCCCCCATGGTGTTGTTGAGGAGCGACCTTTGGCCGGCCGAGGTAGCCAAACCGTTGCCTTATCGGTGAGCGTGCGGCGTGCTCCGCCCGCTCTCCATGGCGCCCGCCCATCTCTTTTATGTAAAACTTGCTGCTGAACTTGATACGGAATTGACAACAGTAAAACAAACTCTCGACGTCACGTTGATTGCGATGCGCCACCTCCAGTGTCGTGAGCCGTGATCTATCCGCTGCGGGATGAAGGCCTCCCAAAGCCGACGCCAACCCTCGCGGTCTCACAAACAATCCATTTAGCTCCTGCACATGAGCAGATTTCACTGCTCCATCTCTGTTGTCGATGTCCTCTCAAGCACGCTTCTTTCTTTGGTTGTCACTCCTCCGTTAGCTTCTCTGTCTGCTAGGGACGCCTCGACTGTCTCATTGACCTGGACATCCAGATGCCTGAACCTTGCATTTTTACTCACGCTCTCAGAATCCCTGTGCACTGCTCACGGTCAAGAAAGACCTTCATGATAGTGGGCAAACCTCGGTAAAGTTACATGGGCACAGCATTCAAGGAAATACCTGTTCACATCGTGGTGGGACAGGGGTGTTCTCTGTCCCTAGCCTTATTCGGCTTTTTTATTACGTAGTTTGAAAAGCGTAACAAGGATTTACAAGTGAATTCCATCGTAGATTGATAAAATGCGTGGCCAGTTTATGTGCCGAGTGCGGCAACGTTACGGCTCCTTACTGGACAGCCATGTTACGTACGCTGATAACCTGGTAATTGCTGCTCACTCTGAGGCGCTGGAGCCTCTGCATCTGAATGTAGAAGAGTTGGTGCCTTGCCGTCAACACGATTACAACAAAGCACCTACTTGGGTACTTTGTGTCGTCAAACACCCCGTCTCCTCAACTCTCCATGAGTCATTCGGCAGTGTAAAGAAGGTTGGAGGAGTTTCCACACCTGGCAAACGTGCTCATGGGATCTGCTGTCATCCTTATGAGGCTTCAGGATATAATGTCCTCTCTACTTTATGCTTGACACCACTATACTAGCACAAGCACTGTGGTGACATCACTGCCACTCAGTGGAAAATACTGGTTGTTGTTGCTGTTGTTGTTGTGTGTGTGCGTATGGGTTTGTCAGTACAGCAAGTATGCATTGTCATCAACATTTTATTTCATCGTAACCATTATCGACCTCAATATTGTCATTGGAACCATTTACCCGACAAGAGAAATAAATGTGCCCTATGTAAACTTTGTTTAAAATGCATTTCATAGAAATTATCTTTAAATAAGATGGTGCCTTTAATGAGGATGATTGTTATTCACCTTCATGAAAGGGTGATCCACCAGCTTCAGCTCCTGCGCATCGGTGCACCTTCACAAAGCGCACCAAGAGTCCAAGTTGTTTTCTGTTCCAGTGAGCACTGGGGCAGTGCTCATATCATATTTTCAGCTCTGAGCCAGCGGTGGCAATTCCACATTGCTATGGCAGGGGGCGAGTTTAACCACTGAGGTCATCACAGCTAATGCTGTGGGATTTTTGCACACAACGTTGGTGTACGGTGCTTTTCCTGCAATATTTTGCTGTCTTTTCTTGGATTTTCTGTTTGCACATAGTCACAGAGTCACTTTAAGATGTTTTTTGTTCATGTTTTTGTTTTTTGTTTGTTGCGGTTGCACCCGATTCAAGAGCCGAAATGTTCACAGGGCGATACCAAATAGATGAAAACTGAAATGAAATGAGATCACACCTCTCGCCATCACTTACTTCGTTCTGCTAGATCTCACGGTCGGCGCAAAGTCTAATCTTGAGATTAATTTGGCACCTGCCCAAAACTCAATTTGCTTTTCCCTATTATCCACAACATCATGGATAACTGAAAGGTGCTCATGTGCAGAGGACATAATCGTGGATAGCAAGTCACGAAAAAGAATGTGAGAGATTTCCTTCCACATAAAACAATGTATGGACATTCACTCTTCAAAACGTAAAGGAATGCCATCTAGCATTAAGTAACAGATGTTCGGTGAGACTGTGTTGTTATTTTCCGAGACCATTCCCTGATATGGTGCGATGCTCTGCCGAGTTTTAGGACATGTATTTGTTCTCATCACGATGATGACACGGTTAGGATATCATTGGTGAAAAACATCCAAAACATTTTTCAGAGTGGGCAAGCCCAAAGGGTCAAATGGGGTTTCCAGGGCCACAGGAATCCACCGCAGATGCGAGAGAATTTGCTGACTACAGAAAACGCTGCGTTCTACAGCGCACGCGCAGCCGTGGGTTCACGCCGGCACGGAGACAGACTTTGTCACGTGTTCTTTTTTATTTCTCTCTAAATTCAAAGGTCACCCTGTTTGGATTATTGGCCCATGAATGTGCCAGGTTTTGCTCAGTCTGTCTCAATAGGTTGGCGTGGGCCGATCAGTTTCAAAGACAATGCATATATTATCAGAGTATGTTTTTGGTTTGCATTCTGACCACAAGTATTGTGGTTAATGCGGACATGATTCCTTGTAAAAGGTTTCAGTTTGGTGTTTTAACATCTTAACACCTGTTTTGTTGCCAGCAAAGAGGTGAAAACCTATTCTCATATTTTGGTACTGGCAAAGGAGGTCCCATGATGTAAAAGGCTTGCTCGTTGGAGATAATGTACGTACGTATGTTGAACTTCTTTAGCACCGTACGTAGCCAACCATGCTCATCGGAGGTGGGGGGGGAAGGACAACAAACTAAAGATAAAAAATCAGTTCCAAAGAATTACATCTTCAATTTAGAGGAATGGGACAGACCCAGGTCCTATGGATTGACTGACTGAGATGATTGGCAGATGCACCAGCTGTGCCCCCTACTGTGACAATTAGCTGCACTTTAGACACCCAGGGCTCCGCTCGTTGTTGTGAGCACTCTTCCCTCCGCTGTCGTTAGAGGGCGACTGCCTCCATATCCATGAAGGCTGATCTTGACACCGCTGGTACCAGTCTTCGGCAAGTTCACTCATCTCCACATCCTTCTGTACCACTTAAGCCCACCTCTTCTGTAGATCGTGCCGCACCTGTTTAGCTCCCTCAATCTGACCAATCAGATGCTGCTTGGGCATGCGGTGGCTGGGCATGCGGGCTACATGACCCAGCCAACGCAGCCTCACTTGTCAGAGGAGCTCACCGATGAGAGACAGTTTACAGATATTTCAAGGACCTTTGAGCTCCTCACACAATCCAGCCTGGTGAAACCAAGCACACACACACACACAAGCCCACTCTCGTAAACACATTCCTGCGGAGGGAGCTGGTACGAACGTTGGGTTGCTCGGTCAATGGCCTGCAGGGTCAACGGCGGCGTGGTGTATTCCGCAAATATGCCCGACTGTGAGGGCGGGCACAAGCCGGCGTGAGTAGGTTAAACGTTGAGTTTTATAAGGGCACCACGGGGTGACCAGCCCCTCCCCACCCAGCCCCACCACTCCCACCCGCCACCCAGCCCCACCCTTCCCACCCAGCCCCTCCCCATCCTCCCCTCCCCACCCAGCTCCACTCTCCCCACCCAGCCCCTCCCCACCCTCACCTCCCCACCCAGCCCCTCCACACCCTCCCTTCTCCACCGAGCCCCACCCTCCCCACCCAGCCCCTCCTCACCCTCCCCTCCCCACCCAGCCCCTCCCTGCACGACGGAGGGACGGACACAATAATCCCCTGTGGGCTAGTGGAACCAGGAGGTTCCTGCCAGTAAAGAATGCACGTGCATGAATGTGTTGCCAAGCAGGGTCCCGCACTATCAAGGTGAACTATCCAAGCAGTGGAACACACGGGCATGTAATTGCCAGTCTCCAGCAACTTTGCCTCGGACAATGCACAGCAGTGAGTTTCCGAAGTTCCAGGCTCCACCTGGGCTGCTCGCTGTGTGCTCGCTGAGCGGCTTCGGAAAGAGTTACGGGATTTCTCGGCACTGCTGGGTGAGGTGATCCTGTGTTCATGAGTTTCTCATCATTTGCGGAAAGTGTTGCCTATTGGATAAGTGCTAAGGGGGGTTCCTATAGGGTGTCCGAGGTAAGCCCTCTCCATGTATGGGCTCTCAATAGGCACAGAGTGGCAGTGATGTGATGAGGCCTAATGATTGTAAAACTAAGTCTACGGTTGTCTGTTGCACTGCTGCTTGTGGGAACGGCCACATTTTCAACTCTGTTTTTATCTGGTGGCCTTAAACAACAAGACGGGCCACTCGTACAGCTCCATTGAGTTGGTGTTCTGGACAAGGCTGAGAACATTGCACAGGCACTCCTCGACATAAGCGATAGATGCGTTCCTGAAAAAGTGCTTGTATCTCAAAATTGCGTGACGTCAAAAGCAATTTTCCCATAAGAAATAATGGTAAAGGAGGGGGTTAGGGGGTTTCATTCACACTCGCAGATATAATTGCCTATATTCACCTAGCCTCTATGAACACACGTGTGTGTACATGTTCCGTGCGTGTGTGTACACATGTTCTGCGTGTGTGTACATGTGTACACGCACAGATAAAACGTGTACACACACGCACAAGGAACACGTGTACACACACACGCAACACGTGGACATGTACACAACAATACAAGACAACTTTACAGCACACGATCACAATGAGAGACGCGAGACAAAGGGAAAAAATGTTGTTCAGCATAGCACACGAGTTATCGTACCGCACTGGCTGCTGGCAACGCCATTGAGACGCGGTGCCAGGCTAAGGTGGCATGTGTCACGCTGCGGATGATGTTATTCCCAAAATTGCCTCGCGTATGTCAACAAAAGGTCTAAATACAAATCGCGTGTCATTCCTAAATGGCGTACCACAAAGGTGCGTAAGTTGAGGATTGCCTGTACATCAGGGACGTGCGGTCAGGGGAGGCAGGGGAGGCAGAACCTCGCCTGTCATACTCCAATGAAAATAGCTGTTACGAAAAAAAAGAATAATCAAATTAAATAAATATTACGATTTTCCCACTGATCTGTGT